TTTTACGGCGCCCGGTTGCTTCCCCAGGCGGACATTGCCGACTCACTAGTGGTTCACACTGTTAAACATGGGCTGCACATGGTTTCCTCCATGCAACCGCAAATGGAAACGCAGCCTTAGTGACCACCGCCTTACGAAGCACTGTCGTTAGCCTAGCACAGTGCCAACTCTGCAGGGAGTTCTAACCCTCCTTTCTGGGAAATGCATTGCGCAGCAGATAACTCCTGCGTTATAATTAAGGAGTCTTAGCTCCAAATCCGAGCCGCTTGTTTTCTGATTGTTGGTACCCTCTTGAAGCACCACTAATTCTTCACCGAATCGGTGTATGTCTTTATTCTGACCTTCCACATGGTTAGCACTTATCCGAGCCGCACACATAGCGGGTGTTTCTCCTGGACGCGGCAGACTGTGGGGTATCCTGGCCGACTTCCACCGTGGCATGCCCATATCGCTTCACTGAGCTGTAGGGGAACGTGTCATGAAGCGGATGCGTCTTTGAGGTTTTCGCACTGCCGCCGGGATTTATAAAGACTAGACTAGACTAGCTGGCTCCTTTGCACCACCGCTTTCAAAACCTCCGCGTAGGATTCATATCTATTTATATCTATTTCCCGCTTCAAGTTCTGAGGCCATAACGGCTGATAGTTGTGAAAACTTTAATTATCGGAAAATGTAAAATGCCAGTACGGTCAGATTTTGTATTTCTTGCACTAAAAGGTGACCTTCCCGTAAATATTGGTTGCCATGTCGTGATAAATACAAATTCAAACTGTTTGTTGGTAGCTCTCGCGCGTAGTCAATGCTCATGGCGGGGGAGCATCTCGCGCGTAGCCATTTGTAGACGGAAGGGATTTTACCAAAAGAAAGCATAACACACTCCAGCCAATTCGTTTTTGTCGTTTAATTGTAAGTAAAAAGCATTCATGTATCGATGTACGTATTTTTTGTATGTCTCTTGTTTGGGATAATAATTCAATATTATACATATTTAGCGCGTATGGTGTGACGAGCATTGAACACTAACACAGATAAACCAGATAAACAGTCTATCAATATTTAAGTGTTATTTCATGGCAAACATCACACTCAATAGTGCCGGGATCATCAGCATCACGGCGGTAGAGGAGAATGTATTCCCAGAGTTGCACGTTACACCTTTGCAAAGGCACACGGTCCCGTTCATGCCAAACCATTGGTTCTGGGTTTTAAAAGGAAATCGCTTCCACATTTTGATACTGTTATCACAGTAGGTGTCGCTAACTGGAGGTATGGGGCCGAACAGGAACTGGATCAACTGGTTTGTTCCACAATCCAAAAACGTGCCACCTGTGAATCAAAACCGAAGGTATACATTTTCTTTTTCAATGTCAGTTGCCCTTTGCAATAGAGATTTTAAAATACGAGTATATTTTGTGTTATTACGTATTCGGCGATGGTAACACAGTACCGGGATACTAAGTTTGTATACCTGAAGAATTTCCGGCGCCTCCGCTCCACGGCAAATTGGAGTAACTGTAGTTATATGGACCGTCCGTTTTCAAGCAGTACTCGGTACCAGGTGGACAGGTGACGTTTTCCGCGGTGCTAGGACTGCAGCTGGCTAGTGTATCATTGGACCGCGCGAAACCATATTTACACTGATAACAGTTAAGTGCCAGCCCTGTAATTTGGCGGTCAGTCAGCTTATTTCGATGTGTATAACTTATAAGTTTCCTGACAACAGCGGTAGCGGAAAACCGCTGAACTTATAGTCGTAAACTTAACCCCTTTCTGACGTTGCAGTTTAGCATCTACTAAGGGTGGTCTCCGGTTCGAAGCGAATCCAGTTACGATACAGCAACTCTACCTCGCGAGATGGCTTCGCATACCGTATCTGTAGGTGTGGCCACTGCATACAACCACTTCGTGCGTTTGAGTAACCGTACGGTCCGTACCATAGGGAGATTCGCTTGGAATCTGAGACCCCTTTAAATTCATGGCGCTAAAAATTAAGCGGCATGTTCACTGGCAAAGTCATTTTTCAGTCGGGTGACGGCTGCATGAACAGGAATTATTCAGCTGCAGCTTGGCTGCAGTTTAAAAAAGGAAAAGCATTACTGGTAGGGTATGTAGGTAAATCACTGTACAGTGCTCGGTTTTCATGCTCACCAGTCGATACCAAAACGCCAGCTACGAATAGCCATCCAAATCCGCTTCGCACCATAGTGAACCGGTTGCTGTAAGAGCTCTCGCAGTACGTAGAAATATCGCTACGACGAAAGCTTCCGTGAAATGGTAGTATCAAGAAGTAGGAGATCGCTCGTGTTATGTATTATAATTCAATTTATTGTGAAACGCGTGTTACATAACTGCAAAATTGATCGCTACGCTGGCATGTTAAGTATTGTTCAATCGTGCACCGTTTTCTTCCGGTAATGTTAGGCCTGCTTATCGTCCACAGAGTTCCAAGCAAACTTACAATGTTATCTTTTTCGGTGGCAAATACCGTAGACGTACAGATCTGAGTAAAACACATATGAGTAATATATAATAGTACTTAATAATTATATGATTTATTACTCGGGCTATCAGCACGCAGATAATTTGGCATGCACACAATCGACTGACATTTTGCTGTCGATAATGTCAATAATGGAAGAACGCATCACGCATCATCTAAGAGCGCGAGAGCAACGAATCATTGAGTAAATGCTGCTAGTATCTGTATTCCCTATCGCAAAATAATTTCTGTCCTTAGCAATTTTTGTGTCGGTTCCATAATTATCATGTTACCAGGTTGTCCAGCTTGAAGTGGCGCGTATTCCTAGAAAAACGTTTTTATTCATGTACAGCTCCGGGGTGTACCACGAAACACACAAAGAAATTAATAAAGAAATTGTTCTGTGATTACAGGAACGCGAACTGCTGCCACAACTTTTTACTCCTCCACCCGAGGCATCCTGAAAACTTAACGAGTTCCGTAAAAGGGAAAAATCTTACAGTTACCGTTAGTTTCAAGCCAACCGATGAGCACGTTTGATCTGCATGTAGCCATGTACAGACTGTACTGTAAAAAGCAAGGACATTTCATTCCGGATGGAGCTTATTGCACAATATTAATGCCATTTTTTGCCCCGTGCGAGGAGAAAAATTAACCGGCAGCGCATCGCCAAGTATCCTAATTCTGCATTCGAGCTTTCGCCCAAAGTAAAAAAGAACACAGGGCTCAAGAAATTTTTTATGGCTGCTAAAGATTGTTCTAAGCTCCACTGTTCACTGAAGCGCTTTCCCAAAGCTATACTCGTATCTCCACCCTCAAACCGCTAAGAAATTCGGATTTGATAGCGTCATGTGTTAACGATTACTCCAGGTTAATTCTGGCAGATCGCATAAACGCTTGCCAGTTCTCCATGAAGAAACGCTGTAAAGCAGTCCTGACACCGGAAATCCGCCCTGACCTTTGGGTGAACCTTGACAGGATCGCACATCGGCTCCCGTGGCGAGCCGCAAGTGATTGTAATGTCCATAATATACTCGCGATCATGCACTAAGCGCAGAAGAGGTAACAGATGCTGACTGGCGCAAAGATCTCTGTTGGTTATCAAAGAGCCACTGAAGGACAGAAATATTCTGCTTGTGACGTTGTATAGGAAACCGATTAGCTCGTCTGGCAATGTCGTCATGTTGTTCACTTCGAAATTGGCTGCACGCAGATGCGGAAGATTCAGCGGTGAGGATATCTTGAGCGTGGAGATTGAGTTCCATTTCACATTCAGATCCTAGATACAGAACACTGATTGTGAGAAAACCGAGTGCTTTTCGTTAAAGCTGTAGGAAAGTGATGTGGTGTAATAAACCTTGCATTGCTAGGCTTATCGGTCCAAACGTTCTGCTGTTGCTCTACGGTACTAGGAAAAATGCACGTTGGCGTGTAATTGGCAGACCGGAGCGTAGCAGCTTTTCGCTCGTGCGAGTGATAATTAATTTTTAACGTCCTGCCGGTAGCACTCTTACCATAATTACTTAGCATAATTAACAAACTAACTGTATTAACTTAGCACCAATACCAGCCGACAGCCAGCAACAATTTCGTAACGACCAACCTACATTTCGTAGCAACCTTCCGTAACGGACAGAAATCAACGAATGCATAGTGTTGAACATGGAGGACCTTCGCTACGCTCCGGTTGACTATGTACCAACGTTTCCAGAGTTCGGTGATTTTACACTGTAGTTTAACAAATTCTGTACAGTACACACCCACGCGTACGTTGAACCATCGCGTTCACAATTCGCAGTTTCGCACACTTTGCTTACAGTACCGCTCATACTGTTCTTAGGGCGGCATCAATAAATTACGTCACGCAAGTAGGGGGAGGGGGGAGGTCCTCCAAGCGTTACTGTTTGTTACATAGAGAGGGGGGTTTAAAAATGTGTGACCATTATGACGTCACCATGCTATATCTATGGAGGGGTCCTAATTTTGTCACGTGACGCTCAGGGGAGGGGATCTCATTTTGTTAGCACTCGTGACAGAGGGGTGGGGGGCATAAAAATGTCGAATTTTTGCGTTACGTAATTTATGGATGCCGCCCTATGCTGTACTTCGCCATTTCTCAACACGTGGTCACTTTTTTCAGTATATATGGTTACCCAAAGCCTCCTGTGGCTTTTTGTATTACATACAAATAGAACTGGAACTGCGATCTGCTGATCGTTTTGTAACACGCCCCATGGGACGCCGGTGACCATTTGTTTAAAATGTGCAATACAGTTACGTAAATTACCACTTGTTGACAAACATGTAAGTATAAAAATTTCTTAAGGTACGGTGTAATAATGCTGTAGGTCATTGCGTTTTGCAGACAGATGATTCACGTTCGGGAAAGTGGGGCATCGCCGCCTAATGGCGTCTTGCGGTTGCTTGTGCCAACACGTGGAGAACCGGCAGAATCACTACTATCCAAGCAAATTTCATAGTGGATAAAAGATCACTACTGCATTCACATATATTTCTAGCTATCAAAACTGAAACCACTCCTCACATTAGGAACCTTTTTAAGCACACTATTGAAAACGGTAGCCTTGCTCAAGCAGAACACCCGCTATTAATACCGCACATTTATGACTGAACGACTGCAGCCTTAGGCTATTCTGTACTATGTGGAACATGCTTTCTGGGAAAGTTTTACGATGCCGGTACCATTTTTCATTACCTTATGTGGACCTTTCTTTTTGCGATATCAAATAGCAGTTCCTTTCAGTCAATCAAGCAAACTTCTGGGACACTACATAATTATACAGTATACCATGACGATGCAAAATAATAATTTATAACATATACGTACATCAGTGCCGAAGCAGTGTACATACATTAGTGACATTGGTGACGAAGCACAATCACACCATCAAACTATGGAGTGGAGTTATAAATACAGTGCCAGAATACGACTAACTTTGGCGATTTCTGCGAGAATGTTGTTTATCGGCAAATGGCTGCATCACGACAATTAAACCGACTACATTCAAATTCCTACAGATCGGCCAGCGTTATACAGTAAGTACACAGTTTTGGCGGTTAATGCCGTTCGTTAGCATCCAGCAAATCCAAAACCTGTGTAATTACTAGATTGTCATCCAGATACCCGACGAAAATATAAGTTTTCTTTTGCAAAATAGCGTTTTGTTATTGCATGTCAAAACCTACTGCGGTGTTTACAAAGTGCAAGAACCGTCTGTTAACCACCCACAATCAAAGACAACGAATAAACGATTAGAAAAGTTGTTAGCACTTGCGCGGCTAATATATCAGAGGAGGGAATTGCGCATATGGACGTATATATACAGAGGTGTAAATCTTTTACGATTGTGTAGCGTTTTCTTTAGCTACTTTTTTATGCCTTCATTTTTCTAAAATTCAGTATTTAGCCATGTCCAGTAAAATGTAAATTTAGAAATCCAACAATGGTTTTACCGTAACTTAACCAAATCTCAAGTACTAAATCATCTTGCGAGCAACCTCGCGTGGCAGTACTGTGCAGTAATGCAGTATCCTTTCTCTGAAATATTCTGTGCCCATGCGCACCATAATTGTCCACATTCCCATGCCTATTGTTCATTACGCTTTCCAAGGCAAAAGTATGAACTAAAGAATATCGAGGAAGCAGTGTTGTGCACTACAAGTAACAATGCCGATGTGATAATGTCCATGCACGACAGTTACACGTCAGTTTTGCTTCATGATCATGACTAGAAGTATAAAAAGCGCCGACGTCTGTTGCTACTAAGAGCAATCCATCTGGCATCCACCCACTGCGGTAGTGCAGAATTCGAAACCGACCAAATGTTAATCGAAAACTATTCTCCCGATTATTTTATGAAAATCATCAACACGAGAGACGGGATCATCATTAGAATCACAGCGCCAGCGGATAGGGTATTTCCCGAGTTGCACGTTACACCTTTGCAAATACACACGGTTCCGTTCAATCCGAACCATTGCGTTCTACCAAGCACTGGTCCAAACATTTTGATGTTGTCATCGCAGTAGTTGTCGCTAGCCGGAGGGATGCGGCCGAACAGGAGCTGGATCAACGCAGAAGTGCCGCAATCGTAAAAGGAACCGCCTACAACGCGAAAGAAACATAGTTTGACAAAGGTCACTGTTGCACTATTACTTACTCGTACTTAGTTACGCTTAGCATACATAAGCAACATGAATGCAAAACGCAACGTCCCAGTTTAAACGCGGAATCTCAATGAATCACTTCAAACTCAATCAGAGAGAGATACATAACGTAATGCTACTCATTCGATTATACAGTATAACAATGTTATTTTGTAGCCAACGAACTGTATCGATAGTACGGGTAAAAACTCGCCTGATGACGTTCCCGAGGCTCCGCTAGCCTGTGTGGAGTAACTCCAGTTATAAGCACCGTCCGTTTTCAAACAGTATTCGGTACCCGCTGGACACGTGACGTTGACGGCTGTGCTGGGAAGGCAGTCACTCAGCATTCTACTGGTCTTCAGAAAACCATCCGTACATTGATTACAGTTGAGCGCCAGTCCTGTAATTTGACAGTCGGTTCAGCATTGTGCAACATGCAGTTCCACTTTATGCTACACTTTAGCGTCCACACCTGCCGATACCAGAACCCCTGCTACGAATAAGCATCCTAATCCGTTTCGCAGCATGATCAAATGCTTGTTAGAAAAGCTTCCCGTTAACTGCACTTTCGAACGTAATACCGACTGTCAACTGACGTTGGAACTTGGAAGGCGGTTAACTGCAGAAGTAAGTGGCATGCGGTATTCGATTTACAGTTAGCGCTTTCTTCCGGCAGCTGCATGCCTGCTTATCGCCAACGACGCCAAGCACACGAGTGGCAAAAGGAGTAGAAAAACGATCTGAGATTATCTTGTTGTATTGTGTAATGTTTTGTTTATTACTGTCAAATGGAATAAGTGCATTGTTGGGCCTATTTATCCCGCAGATGGTCCAAGTAAACGTACAATGCTATCTTTCCTGCGCTGAAATCTGTGCAGATACAGCCAAATTGGGGGTAGACAAATTGACACTCGCATAATGCGACTGACATAACCTTATCCGTCGGTAAATTGCAGAATGTGCAGAACTGCAGAATAAATTGCAGAACTGCAGAATTACCTGTAGAAGCAGCAGAGCCAACCATGTCTGACATAACTTTAAGGGAATTTACCAACATGAACAATTAGTCACTTGTCAATGTTTCGAACGAATTCTTATTTTAATTATTATGGCAGTCACCAAAGCACATTTTTGCGCAATTATATTTTTGTTAATCTATCGTTCCAGGCTGTAGCAATGTAAAAAGTTTAGGTAACTGAGTATAACGCTGAAATGTAAGCCGGACGGTTCGTCGACAAGCACGATCATTACTATTACCACTAGCGTTGTACTGTAATTGTTTGGGGTGTGGACAGGGGGAAATGCCGCTACGAGCGTGTCGGGAAGATCTTCAGCTGTGTTTAGCGTAGCATACACTCTACCCAACTCAAATGCCTCAGTGTCGCTCTAAAGTCGTACAGACTCAGTTGTACATTCAGTCTTACCAGAATAACAGCTCAATCGCACTATTGTAGAGCGGCAATAAATCCCGTAATCCCTTCCGGAGTACATTACAATATTCGAATATGAGGGGGAAAGCCAGTCTACGCGAATAGTCTCCCTGTATACTCTTGCTGCAATAATCTGTATTGTAAACTTTCTACTGCCGGTATGTATTTAATGCGAAATACATAGACAATTTACAATACAGATTGCAGCACCCAGTACAATACCAACCGGTTCAATTTAATCGCGGTTATAAGCATCTACCCATGTAGTCGTCTCTAGGAATAGCAATCGTAAAATTCGCCGCCTGTAAATCAGCAGACACATGCATGCTTTTGCAAAGGTCACTACGGTACCGTGTTAAATGTTCAGCGTAGGCTAGCATCACGCATGTCAAAACAACAGGTATGTTGGAACATGTTAGAAGCGATGCACAGAGTACTATTTGTAGTACTACATTGTAGTTCGGGCAGGTAATAATATCAAGGGAAGTGACCTTTAACCTCTAACGTTTTTCTAAAATTCATTTTAAAGTCTGAGAACACGCTAGGGTAGTATAGTGGATCGATGTAAAAACGATCTCCATGCGTATATGCGTTTCCATTCGAAATACGAAGAAGATCGATCCATAATAAGAGTTTTGGTACAGCTCAGCGCGTTTAAATTTTGGGAAAGTTTTCTCGCCAATGTATAGAAATTACTTGGCTTTAAAGTTTCATAAAACAATCCAAGAGGTGCTTGGAAGTGCGTGAAAGCGATAGTTTTCGTGCATGCACACGCATTGGTACCATGTACCGGGTCACTTCCCTTAAAATTGTAACGTGTAACGCGTACGTATTCAGTACTGCATCGGCTCCAGTCTACAGATTAGTTCGTAAGCAATGAAAATTACGGTTTTCCCTCATTTTGAGATAAGCCGTATACTTCTATGAGTGGACAGTCTCACCTGCTGCCCATTCAAAGCCTGGGTCGGACAAATTGTACAAGTGAACACCATCCGTTTTCAAGCAGTGCTCGGTACCCACGAGTATGTACTTTTTTTATCGCGTTCGTTGTGTTGCTTACGATTTTTTTCTCTGGGATGGAGCGCAAACTCGCCATTCGCTCTTCACCAGAATATGATAAGTAACACATACAGAGTGCACCCACACAGTAACCAGCTATAGCGGCGCATATCTGTAGCGACACTGCATCGCGATGCTTTGCATTTACGGCAGTCGGAAGATGGTTCCGTGACTTCCGCCGCGAAAAAGAAGCTGCGTAACACCTAATCCCGATCCCGTCTGAACGGATAATAAGAGTACGTATTTTTACTGGCTTACTAGAAGTCTCGCAGTTTGTGCCTCGTTGCTCAGGTGATTACTGCTGTACGTACACTGCGCTTTGCACACTGCTTAAAAAACAATTTAAAACCGAATATTCTGTGTTGTCAATGTCATCTTCGGTGCACGACAGTGACGACACTGTACATTTAATTTTATCAGAACTGCGCGAATATATTAATTCGCACTTACTGTACTACGGACAGCTATGGGTAGAAAGTAGCAAGTAGCAAATAGCTAGCAAGTAGCTACTTTATTGTTGAGTGAATAAAAACCATTATTCTCAAAGGGTCGGTCATCAATTAATACGCACGAGAAAATAACAGTGATTTGTCTCCTGATGTGATACAATGAATAAATCACGCTTTCAGATGAACGAACCAATGCGCAGCAGAAAGCTGTATATCACAAATATACGAGTACAATACACACAAGCCAGTTCAGATACAGCAGTATACACAAGCCAATGTTCTTCTGAAAATAATTTATTTGCTGCAGTATTTGAGTATGGTGATTCGAGATTTAATCACCAGCCAAACATTAAACCAGATTAATATTCTAGCCGAATTATTTCATGAAAAACATTACACTGAGTACAGCCGGGATCATCAGCATCATAGCGGTAGCCGAGAACGTATTCCCAGAGTTGCACGTTACACCTTTACACAGGCACACGGTCCCGTTCAAGCCAAACCACTGACGATCCGTTATGGTATCCAATAATTGTCCATACATTGTGACATTGTCGTTGCAGTAAACGTCGGCATCTAGACGTATGTCGCCGAGCAGAAACCGGATCATCGCGGGAGTGCCGCAATCCAAAAATTTGCCATCTATCAAATTAAAAACACATAGTTTTGCAAAGGTCACCGAAGCATCCTTAATGTTAAGTTGTTACTGTACTCTCGACTCACGATGTCTCCGTTTTGTATGGTCTTTCCATGCAACACTATACTGACGTCACGGAATTCATTGGGTTCGGTCTTTTAGGCTTAATGAACCGTCTGAACAGCTTGAACCCTTCCTTGAGTACTCCAGTAATCGAAATCAGACGGTTCTTTGGTAAACCAAAGAACCGTCTGATTCTTTCACTTAAAACTCCCACTTTGACTTTTGTTTTGATTTAAATTTTAATTTATTTTTCGGAACTCCTTTCGACATTACGAAAATAAAATTCATTATTATCACCGTGGAAAGAAACTGAAAATTTAGGCTGCGAAATCTCACGGAAAAAACTGAACCGTTACTGTTCAACGCGCTCGAAAACCGATCGTTAGCCGTTAATTTGACGGGTATTACTGCCAATCACGCTTATTGGCGGATTTATGTTCACCGGATTCAGCGAGTGTTTTGAACCGCGTACAGTGCATGACTGGCTATACTTTACAAAACCGGGACATATTGAACCGAGAGTACAGTAATCACCAGTTCACTATAACGTCTAATCCCAAGCCCAAACAGCCAGTTAGCGGGAGTCCAGTTTGATTTATTCGATCCCAGGATGATACTTAAGCAGCGGTGTTCAATATTCGGTATTAGGCATTATGGTGCTATTTCGTTATCGGATTCTCCGGACAAAAACAGACTCACCTGATGACGATCCGGAGATCCTGTTAGACCCCGCGACGTAGCTCCAGTTGTAAGCACCGTCCGTTCTCAAGCAGTACTGGGTATCCGTGGGACACGTGACGTTGTCGGCATTGCTGGGGCTGCAGCCAGCCAGCGTTTTGTTGGATCTCAGGAAACCGTTTCTGCACTGATAGCAATTAAGCGCCAGGCCTGTGAAGTACTAGTCCGGTCAGCTTTTTTGGGTGTATACACTGCTAAAACTGTTATACACACCCTAATGAAATCATCCCTGTCTTCTACGAGTAGCAGTTGCATACTTAAATCACATTATGCCGCAACGTCGTACTTTGGGATAGCGGGAATATTCAGTATTCCCACAAGAACAGGAAATATTCAATTGCGCCGTGCAAAATGTTTTTTTGCCATATGTGCGATGTTTTCCTTACTTACCTGTCGACGCCAAAACTCCTACTACGAACAAAATTCCTAAACCGCTTCGCAGCATGGTGGTCTGACTCTGATAGTTGAAGCTTTCTCAGTTTTAATTTTATAAAAGGCGTAGCGGCGCAAACTTTAAATAAGTGATGGTAGTGATCACTTGGTTATACAAATTTCTGTGATTCGATAAGACGTGAAACACCCGTTAACTGCAAAAGTGGCCCAATAAATACGAATACATAATACAGACACATACACATCGCATACAGACTTATTACGGTTTTTACCGGTAATGTTATGTCTGTTTATTGTCGAAAGAGGGAAAAGCCTTGAAAACATCGTGCACTGTTGCGAGCACGGAATGATTGAAAAGTAAGTAATCAGTATAATATGTATATGCGACCGCATTTTACTAGTTTACATTCATGATAAACAAAGTTTTTGGCTGCTGTAAAGCATACATTTATTCCGAAAAAAGTACATCAATATAATATTATTGTGCTGATTTAATCAGCTTTAGGGTTCAAGTCAGTTTACAATGCTATCTTCAATATCTTGTAGGTGCTCAGATCGGTGCAGATATGGTTCTTGTGGACAACTGCTGTTTTATGCAAAATATACTGTTCGTTGTGCCCAGCTTTGTTCGAAAGCAGAGACAGTAGAGCCAGTTCATGTGTGACATAACAAGAGCAAGAGCAAACTAATCACTTATCCTTGCTGTGAAAAATTCTTGTTTTAATTGCTACCACAATCACCGAGCAATGCGCAGTCTTGATTTATCGTTCCAGGCTTCCAGCAAAGTAGAAGTGTAGGTAGCTGAGCATAAAGCTGAAAAGTCAATCGGTTAGCGAACTCCCATTTCTGCGGTCAGCTGTTAGCCATTTGGATAGGATAAGGAAGAGCGCAGACTTCTAATCAAGTCCATAAAGGTTTGCGACGGTGGCGGCTGCCATCGTGGAAGACTGGGATCCCAGCCGGTGAGGTTAAAGTCTTTTAAGCCGAAACAAAAGGGACGTAGAACATCTTCCACTTTTTACAGTCTACACACCACTCCACAATATATCGTACAATATATATATACAGCAAGACTAATCGCATTCTCGATCTGAAATACAGTGCCCTACTGTGTACATAATTTTGAAAATTAGCACCAATGCGATATTTCCGGATTCATCCACAAACTGCCACCATTGGCTCGATTTATCATAGGTTCTTGAGAACCACACCCTGTTTGGTAATAAAATAAAAACTCACTTTCTGAAAGGCCAAAGATCAGATCGTACACGATGTACATTAACTATCTTGCAGGTTTTACATAAATGTGCTTACTTTCCGCAGCATGACTAATACATACTTCTGTGCAGGTGTGCATTGATCACACGTACGGAGCCATTTTTTTATTTCAGTTGTATTCAAAATGAGTCGAAGTATGATAACTCCCTGTATACGTACACGGTGCTATGTATTGTGCAGCCTGCCTGCATTTTGTAAATATGCAGATTTGTCCCACAGTTTGATACGGGCGGGGTTCTGAAGAAGGCTGTACTTATACCACGGCATGTCTATACGATGCAGCAAAAGCTACAGAAGCTCCCTAGAAGTGTTGTATAACTTCAAATGGAAAGTGTGAACGAAGCAACCAAAGCCTTGTTGTTTCGTGGACGCGTTCTTCCGGTTTACAAAAAGGTCACCGCTAGTAGTACGCAACGTTCCCGGCTGCAGTAAAATTTAATAAATGCAGTAAAGGGGTGGGAATCCTCAGAAGAGGTGTCGCACAGGCGATTACAATCAAAAGGGCGTTTTATAGAATCCATTTCTAAAAGGAAGGTGGTAAGACGTGATAAGAGCCAAAAGGTGATGCGAGGTACAAGCCGGATTTGAAATGGGTTGCGCAAAGAAATGCGAAAATTACAAAATCATGGGTTACTTTAAGTTAGTACGAGATACTACGGTATGCCACGCCTATCCAGGCGTTCAAGCATTTGACATAACTTATGCATACAAATATTCATATAATCATGTTCGTTGAATTACTGTTTTTTGTATCAATTGCAAGCTTTTTGTAAGTGCTGCCTTTATATTCCGGTAATATTTCCAAAGTACATTACAGCGATAATTGTAGCGTAGTGGCTACCAGCGCTATGTACCTTGCTGTATGTTTATGCTAACTTTCAAATCCGGCTTTTAATGCCACCCAATTTTGTATCTGTTTTACATTTTTTTTTAAATTAATTTTTGTAATACGATATGTAAGTCAAAACAATACAGATGTACAATTTTCTGCAGAATATGCTGTGTTTCATACAAAGTAATTACCGTAACTCATTGGTTCGGGAGCGATCTGTACTCATATTAACTGTGCTTGAACACTAAGAAAGCATTCAAGGAAAACTGAAAAGACAGCATTTTACCAATCACAGTATTGATAATCTGCGCAGACGATCGTCGCAAAAACCTTCAACTCTAGATAAAGTCTGGTTGTCTTTTCAGAATAATAAACCATTTCTTCAACATCCAAAATCAAAGAAATGTAGCTGCCACAAAGAGTACGCATTTCTCCTAGCAAATAGTTTTAATAAGAAACGCAGCGACTGCCAACGGCGCAGCAACACAACCATGCAAACCACTCCAACGTATAATATTCACAGCATTCCTGAGCACAACGCAAAGCACCATCAAACAACACCAACTGTAAATTCCAAATTTGGCTTGTCTGTTCACAACACTTATCACAAGAGATCGTCATCAAAGTAAGACTACAAAACCAAAAACATTCCCGCAATTTAGTCAAATAAAAGCGTCCAGAAAAGAAGGATTAGAACGTCATCGCTGAATGAGAAGCTTCGGGTTAAAAAAAGGAACTAAATTATCCATCCGCCGAGCCGAGCCAATGGAGCCATTTAATCAATTCATCCTGTCATTTTAATCCATGACGCACAGCGTGTGCACAACCTCCTCGTTATCACCGACATAGTATTTCGTAGTTTCCTGTTAATAAACACAGAATTATTCTCCATTAAAAATAATCATAAAAAAATAATAACAAAAAATCTATCTATATCTGGGAAAAAATAAAAATAACGCTCATTATTTAATTACATATTTCCGGGAAAAGTTGACACGTTTATCATTAAAACGTTACATTAAAAGTCGCAACATCCGCAGATACCGTATAAAGTACTGATTTAAAAAAAATGGACGAAAAGCAATTAGAAAATCGCCAATTACTACACGCTGTCATTTGCTTAATTTTTCCTTATAATTTTTTTTAAAACATACGGTAAAAATTTCTTTTAAAAAATGTACGTTAGTTTGTAGTAATGCAAACGTAGGCACCAATTAACTCGTCAAAAAAATCAAAGAATTCTCAAACTTTTGTGACAGAGTTTGAGAAACTGAGCAGTAATTACAAATTCACCAATATCGCTGGCAGAATACATACTTTATTGGAGGCAGTCCGCACCGCGTCGTCTACGACGAAGTTGTACATGTACACGGTTCCTTCGTTGACCGGAAAAGTGTATGCAAACCCTCCTTTTTCCCTGTAGCAGACGAATCGTTCACGATTTCATCAGCACCATAATAATAATCCCGTTAGAATTCAGAAATAGGTAACCGTCAATGGTAAAAAAACTTCTCAAAAGTCCCGGCAAAACACAAAATACCTTCTAATAAATAAACACTTACCAAATATACAACTGCCAAATTTTCCCCATATTTTTTGATTTTAAATAAGCAGTAGAAACTATCGTAACGAACAGAACCATGCCCTGCGAAATTTGTCCTAATTACTGTGAATGTCCAATCAGCCTTCCGTGAAAGTTGAAGAAGCTAACAATTCCTGTCAAACTTACAATTTTTCCATGGGTTTCTTGTCCCAGTTGGAGAAAGTGCCGCGAACAAACACCACATCGCCGTCCTCCGTCCACTCAATTTCCTGCATTGTACTGACCAGGTCCTCCTCATCCGTATCTTTTTCCACCAGATCAGCCGACGATTTTGTTTCCACAATGGGCGTGGCCCCAGTCTTCTGTAAAAAATCGTAAAATAAAATAATACAAGCTGCTATCACACATTCTGCTGACAACAAAACAATTGGAAATAAATCAATGCAGCTTACGAATTTCATTGAATTACCAGCGCTTCAACACAAGTGCAGGAACAACAAAATAATTAATAAGGATAAATTATATCAGTAATTTCCTATTACAGAAATCTGCCAAATATCAAAATGCTTTTCCCAAGCATACGGCCGACATTTACTGCGAAAACCTAAACGCAGCGTTAACATTACATGAATGAACTAGTAACGTTTCTTAAAATGATAGAAACCATTCTCTAATCAATTTTTTAAATTTTTATCTTTTATTTTTAATTTTATTTATTTTTATTAAATATACATAAAAAAAATTTTATTATTATTTTTTATAAATGTTTAACAGAAACCATTCTCTAATCAATTTTTTAATGTTATTAAATCGTAATGGCCGCATAATGTAATTAAAATATTATTAAATACGTAATTATGAGTACACACTACACAGTAGTACTATTTTAAAAAAATTAAAACAAAAACACGAAAATCTGAATTGCTTACTGGTTCGTCCACGAGACCGACGGGAGACTCGGCACGGGTGACTTCCGGGCGTTCTTCCGCGCGGCGCTTTTCTTCAGCGGCAATCTCCGCATTGGTCAGTTCCCGCACTTCCTGCGCAGAAAACAGACGCATTCAAAATGTGAGCGCAACATTAAACCAACGCCAATCCAGCTGAGTTAGCAGCAAACACGAGAAGGTCAGACGGAGAAAGCTTTTCGACGACAAAAATATTTCACTGATCACGACAGGGTGATGAAAGTTTGAGCGATAGCGTGAGAAAGACGGCAGCGATACCGAAATACGAGTATAAGCAGGACACACGGCAGTGTTACATACGTCATTCTCATGAATATCCGTCAAACTGTGCCCATCCATTTCCAGAATGCGTGATCCCTTTGGATAAATTTACACATTATTCTACCAGGTAATAATTCGAAATTTATAAATTATTCAAAATTCAAATACCTTACTGCACAATAAATTCTGTTACGTATCCTTTATCTACAATTTATTCGATTATTTTTAATAAATATTAAAAAACCCGACAATTGGGAATTATTATTGTTCCAGATTTCCAGTTATTCCTGACAGAATTTATGCCAACAAGTTTATTCAGTCAAAAATTAGGCGGTAGCTTTTCATTTGATTTATTTATTATTTTTCCCGACTGATTTTACATACAGTACAATGTCACTGTTTTTCTTAGTGCAAAAATCTTCCAAAATCTATTATAGTCTGCAATATTTAATTATCCATCGAGTTTTACTTTAGTGTTCGCAAAAAAATCGTTTTAATATTGAATAACAGAAGGCATGCAATTATGAGCAGTTTTCAATAACTTCATTAATACGAAGTATTGAATATCAAGTTAAATCGTTCATTACAATGCTTACCAAATCCGAATCAGGTTCCGAAACGGCGTATTCGGGCACTTCCAGCGTCACACGTTCTCCCGTGGCGACTGTCAAACAAAGATTTTTATGAAAACCAAAAATTTTCAACCAAGACAAGATTAATACGACGCAAATAATTATAAATAAAAAAGCACAAATAAAATTAGCAAACCCAGTGCCAACCAGTTTCCAGAACAATCAATAAAACAAGTGAATCCATGCAACAGCGTTCGCAAAATGTACTGTGACCGGCGTACCATAACTACCGCGTTTGCTCAGCGAGACCTCCTCTATATTCTCAATGGTGACCGTCAGATCCGCGGCGTCACCCTGGGCATGGACATGGCTGGCCGGCGCAGCCGGGGTTCCCGGCTTTTTCTCCTCAGCAAGCCCTACGAGGCAAACCATCGGCAGACTGCGATTTTGCATACAAATATCATCTCCTGCTGGTCTCCAAATCCAATGTAAAATTAAATTTGCAAATTTAACTGGCAACGATGCGCAACATCATCGAACATTTAATCGAAAAAAGGAGCACAAAAGCGCAACAAACGCCAAGGCTTTCAAATAAAATAATAAAAGCAAATTAAACCAGCGTTCCGGAAAAATCAAAAATAGTACGCAACATGGAAAATAAACGCTCACCTGGCTGCGGAGACGGTGCTGGTGGAGCTGGCAAAACTGGGGCCGCCGGCGCTGGAGCAGATTCTGGAAAAAAGAAATATCAATTCAAAACAGAAATAAAGAAAGAATTCAAAAATGTAAAGATATTTATTTATTTTTTGACTAGATTGCTAGATTTTGGTTTTTGGATGTTTGCTATATTTTTGGTTATTTGGTCCGGAAATCTATATAACTTTACTGATAAACCGGAAAAATATATATTTTATTCTGACGTGTAAAATCTGGTTGGAATTTATCCCCACCTTGACGGAAAACCACTTCCGGTTCGGGATGAGCCTTGTATCCATTCGCGACGACCTCTTTCAGCGGCTCACTAGCGGGCAACGGACGCGTGGGAGCGGGATCGGTCGGCTGCACCAGATTTGCCGGCGACTGGTGCAGCTGGATCGGGATGGAATGGGAACGTTCTCCCTTCTGCGCCTCATTCTCGCCCGGTCCGTCCGCGTCAATGAAACGCAAACTAGCCGAACGACCGGATGTGCCGTTTCCCTGCAAGAGGATTTAAATCACAATTAGTCAATTACCCAAATCTGTTAAATTTAATTTTTAAAAATACATTCCTGTCTTTTCATAATGCACCAATCGTCAAAAAAACAAAACAGATTCATATCACTTCGCAGTACGCCATTCTAAGGAAATAGGACATTTTGCAAATTTTAATGAAATTTGTTGATCATTAGCGGCAGAGTCTACGGGTAACAGCCTGACTACTGGAAAGGCCTGATTAAAACTTAACCAAACTTGTAAAAGGCTACATTAAAAGATACGCTTTTCCGCACCTACAAAACTAACAAAAACATTCAGTAATGTGAGCAATGCAATACTACCACGAAATCACAATACTAAAAACACAAACATTCCCTCCCTCTCAATTTAAAAAAAACGTAATCGTCGCAAACGTAGTCAATCAAATAACACTGAATATTATTATACACACGAAAACAGCAGTTTCTATGCCAAATTAGGCTTCAAAATGGAAGCCCAAAAAGTCCCAAAATTTATAGAAAGAAAACCGGAATGAATCCAAAAAAGGGACTACAATATTTTTAGAAAAATTCGTAATAACTTGACAAGTAAGTAATATTATTGTAACTTAACAAGTTGAAGTGGTTCATTTCGACAAGAAAAACCCATATAAACCAAAATCGCGGAGACTGCTGAAAATCTAGAGCATCTAGAGCATCTAGAGCAGCACGTTCGGTTAAACCGGACATTTTTTGATCGATAGTAAATAAAACAACAGTTTAGTTTCTCATAGATAAACAAGACAATATTTCACGACAAACCAGCGCCACCAAGAGAAACCGACAGATAAAATCCGTTCCCGACCCGGCAAAGTAGGTTGTTCACTGATCGTGAACTTAATTAGCAAACATTTGCACAGCCCGCCGCCACTGTTCGTGGTTCATTACATGATCCCGCGCATCAACACGCACCCGGCCGGCCATTTCCCGTCTGTTTCACCGTGTCAGCACAACGTCAAAATTAATAAATACGCGATAGCATCAAACGGGGAAATACCAGCGTGCAGCACGCACTCCCTGACGAAATGTTGGCACGACAGCCGTGTGACTGTGATCAAACGGTTGAACAAAAATTTACTTTAACCACGACAGCACCACATCCACCTCCATTGTGCGGTGTCAAATCAATGTCAAACCACAGACGACCGGACAAGCGTAATTAAAATGTGCGATCGATTCTTAATGAAGCATCACTTGATTCACTTCAGACTTCAGAGGGAGAAGATGATGCGCTGTTCATTTTAAATCAATCAAATCTAACAGATCCTTCCGGTGTCTGTGGCTGCGATTTATTTTCGAAATAATACGAATGGTAAACGAATCATCGGCAAGTAAAAGTTCTCAAAATTAACACAGGAAAATGACCATGACACTGCTGACATCGCAGCACAAAAACACGAATTTCTAAAGCTTGCTGATCATCTCCTAATTTCGCATAAAATACCGATGATTATCAAAACTGAGAAATCCAGAAATATTTTATTATGAATAAATTAAATTAAAAAGCAAACCGCTGCTTTAAACTTTAAAGAAAAAGCAGAAATGTGAAAGCAGGAGAAGAAAATTACAAAAAAAGCAGAAATAAATCGTCGCAAATACACATCAAATCGAATAATGAAAATAACTTTACTTAAGCCATCCCTGATAAAAAATTCATTAAATTATCCAACGAGTAAACAGCAACAGTTCAAAGAAAAAGCGAAAATATGAAGTGCACTGATGATAAAAAACTAACTCATAAAAATTTCAGAAAATTAATTCAAGCAATTAACTGCGTACGGTAAACAAAACAAACGGAATAAATCACAATCTCATGAAATAATACGAAAAAAATTAAACAAATCGAACGTGAGCGAATAGAAACCAGAATAACCTTGAAAAACAGCGCACACTGACCATGATCGCTTCCTGCACGCCCTTATCGATCCCGTTGTCCTCCTTGACGACATGCTGCACCGTCGTCTTGGCGTCGGTCGACTGCGCCACCACCCCGGCGCCGTTGGCCGTCTTCCCGCCCTTCTGGACATCGAAGGTCCCCTTGCGCTTGGACGACGTGGCTCCCATTTTGTCCAAATAGTCCTCCACACGGATTCAGATCACTGGAGCAACGCACCCGATTCTGCAACGTGATACAGCACTCAGAACGCGAATCAAAGCGAGTGGCTACGCCAATTACACATGCGATGGTTTCATCAAACATACACTCTTCCACCGCCTGCGCGACAAAACGCATGAATTATTCAGCGAGCCCAGCTGCGGCTGTAAACACAGTCAGACAACGAGAGTCCAATGCGCCGTCGTCCAAAAATACAGTTTTCCATGAAAGTACGACTGCACCAGTCGAATGACTGCGCTACTGTATCGCCGCCGCAGTGGTGGATGGCGCGTTTGGCTGCACCGGAAATCAAACATTCAAACTACGAAAACGCTTGCATAAAAACTAGGCAAAAGAAGTTAAATTTTTTTAGCGTAATTTATTGTTATAAACTTCGAATAAAAAAATGAAGTTGATCTCCCAAAAATAAAAATTAAACCGCTAAATTATTCTCGCCATCGAACCACCACAGCGCACAAATACTGCTGACTCATCGCACTGCTGGTGCTGAATTTTATCATCTCAGATTTTCTAGCCTTCAAACACGCCGTGTTTCACCAGTATTGCTCACCATTCCGGGACTATCACATGCTATGAAATTTATCAAAAATGAAGCCGACTCCAAATTGGCAAATATTTACTAAACAAACGCCTTGCGTTCTTCGTTGTAACGTGATCGCGTAATTCTGCCAGAATGCAGGGGAAATTGTTGATTTTCGTTATCGCATTTTTCGCCGGCAAAGTGCGCCCATTATTAGTGAAGAATTAACGACATATTTATCCAGAAATAAATCTTTCACAATAAATGCAGTATAATTTAACCTAGTGATACGGATGTTTGTGAAAATAAATCTAATAAAACATGCAAATTAAAATGCGGCAATAAACTGAGATAAGCGTACAAATCAGCAACTCTCCAGATCAGATAACGGCGGTCGATCAGGCCATTGGCCGCACTGGCACACACGCACACGCTGCACGGAACAGGAAAAATCGCTCCTATGGGATGTAAATGCCATGTCTAAACTAACGTCGATAAGGATCGTGAATCCCATTAATTTTTAGATTTTACAATAATAATCACGCAAAAAAATATGGCCTTGGAAAAACCAAAAGGCGAAAATTAACGAAAATAAATAAAACAAGCCTATTAAACGAAAAAATAAAAATTCCATATTAAATTTCGCTGATGCTACGGCATCCCTGTAATCTAACCAGTCGCAGCCGCGCTGTGAACAGGGATTGTCACTGAATTCAACAAGATAAATCGTAAGCAGGCTGAATGAGCGTTATCCAGAGAGCATTTTTCTTACCGTAAACGCTGCGCGGAAGCGGATAAAACTCCAATTTACGTATATACAGAAATAATCCCGGTAATCCACGAGAAAAAAACTGATATTAAAATCCAGCAAGGTACTGTACGCCAGAAGATCTCAAATGCGGAACAACATGACGAAAGTCGCGGAGTAGTCGCTGCAGAGCAGTCCACAGAAAACTGAGAAAACGCAGTGGGACAAAGACCGATGGCGTGACGAGCCGTGGCATATACGGAAGACTGCGACTTGGCACGAATGATTTTGTTTATTATTTTATTACAGTAGTCGTACTGTTAAATAACTCAGGGTTATTCCTGATTATTTATTAACAGTGTCATTTTGAAATGGAAGTCATTTTGCAGAGTGATTCACACTGATTCCGTAAGCTGGCTAATTTTATTATTTTTATTTAAAAATGACTAATTTTATTTTAACCTCTACGGGTAATTTATTCAATTTTTGAAAAATTGCTAATTTTATTTAACGTATTGCACACTGCCAAAACGGTAATTTTTTTAATCTCATACCAATGCCGATAACAACTTATTCAAAAGGCAACAACATCACATTCTCCATTGCCAAACGGAAAATTCAGAAACGCGCGCGCATTAAAAATTGAGCAACCACAAATAATTCCTGGTTACACTTCCTCAATCTGTAAATTCTGTGGTACAAATTACTGGCAATGAGCATCACATTTTTCCAACGAAAAAACACCGCGATCGGGACTAAGATAAATCTGTACAAAGGATTCCCCGCGGCAATTAACATTCTAAAAACCCATGACCTTCCCGTTCAAAATGGGTCTTCAGGATCCGCCGCCTTGTTGGTAGGTATAAACATCGATAATCTGAAATCAAAAGTGATACGTGAATGCACTGACTAAGCAGTTGTACGGTAGGTGAGAATTAAGATGCATGAAAATTTATATAATTCGAAATCGCAATTTTATGAAATAAAGCTATTCGATCCGAAGCACGGCGCACTCACGTCGCCATCTTCCAAACCAAGCTTGGTCGGAGTATCATCATCGCGAACACGGGTCCCTAAACAGAAAACAATGCCGCATAAGTTGACAGTATAATAATATGATAATAAATGGCCCACACGCCATCGTAATTCAATGCAAATTCGATACAAATTAATATCTCAAAAATCAAGATAATACGGGAAATTCCACAGGATGAACATATGCCCCTTACTATATGCCCCGACAGCTTTTCGGCTGCAGAAAATGTGTGTGCCAAATGTCCTGCGCACTGGGCAACCCCTGCAGGTTCGGTATTTTTCGAAAGCCTTCAGTTTCATTCAATCTGTTCAACCTATAGCTCAAAAAATGCAGAAAAAACTTTTATTATTGAAAATAAAAAGTTTGCAAGTAAAAAGTTTTCGGAGAAACGAGATATCAACGTCTTAAATAAATTGCAGTTAGCATACAAGTCTATGGCAAACTGCCCCGTAGAAGAGTATGTTAAACGCAAAAAGCGTTAATCGTTGATATCTCGCTTCTCCGAAAACTTTTACTAAACTTTCTATTTTCCTTATTAAAGTTTTTTCCTGCATTTTTTAAGCTATAGCCTCTACAGATTGGACGTAAGTAAAAGCTTTCTAGAGGGCAGTAGAATTACAGTAAAAAAATTCTTTAAAATTGCAAACAGTGAAGCGAACAGCAAGATTTTTGAATCTGGCGCAGCACCCGTGGGTGGCATGCGATAGCGACAACTTCGGCACGCAAACCGAGCGCGCACCTGCTTCGCACATCGATTTTAAAATGCTAAAAAGCTGTCGGGGCATAGGTAAGGGGCATATGATGAACCCGCCCTCTCGTTTTACAGTAATTAATTAAAATTATATTTTCCTATTAGATTTGCACACCGAAATCTTCCCGAGAGGCTAAACAATTTAAAGTCAAATTAAAGTACAAAACAGACCAACTGCCAATCGGTGATTAGAGTATCCGAGATTCTTACAAGCAAGTAAGCGAGTAATGTTTTATTAAATAATATGAACGACCGAATCAGGTATTTGAGCAAAGATTTACTGTATACGAGCCGAAAATAGTGCCTGCATTTAGTGCATACCGTCCACGGTGAAGCGGATATTGGCGGGTTCGAGTCCTTTTTTCCGGGCGTAGCCGTCGATGATGCGCCGGAAGAGGACGACTTTTTTCACTTTCAAGGTGACGGAATTATTCTCCTGATCGACGGCTCTGCGAAACCCACAAACCAACCATTCAGTACTTTAACTTTACTAATAACTCGTACCAGTACCAATGACTAATAACATAAAGAGGAGTTGCTGCCAGCACATTTATGTGCAACCTAGAAAGCCCAATCTGTCACGATCGTTTTAAAAGAAAAAATATTAATTTTTTTTGCATTATGTAATATTTGTATATAGCTTAACCAGACTGACCAGGACGTCGTTCAATCGCAGGCGCATCATCTTAAAATCGTGTAAACGATTTAAAAAAATGTTTTTAAAAATGCGGTACAACAGGACGGTACACTTTACTAAGTATAGGTACTTGCTACGTGGTACTACAAGTCCAGAATTTCACTGCTAAATTACTTATAATTTATCGTAAATTTTATTTAGAATCAGAACGATCATAGCGAATGTTTGAATAGAAAATACTGTAGCACTCACCGGTCAGCAAGTTAAAAATAAACCGATAACTTAACGACATGTTTTTTTAGTAATTAGTTCTCAGCATAAAAACTAAAATAATATTCGCAGCAAAACTGACAGCCCTCTTCGAAACCGCGAATACGGAATGGTAATTAACAAAATTTTACTGACTTGAGCTGGATAAATTCATCCGACGACGAATTATTGGATATCAACGAGGAATTCCCGTTGGCGGCGGACATTTTGCGTTGCTGATGAATGTGCGCGAGGCTGCAAAAGAAACACAGTACGTTCAATTTCTGCAAGTGGAGTTCATTATCACACTGATCTGAAGAAAAGCGACGCCTACTAACGGAGAACAGACACTACATAAAGGATTTCGATAAAATTCACAAAACAAATCCGAAAAGTGTAGATAGAACAGAGAACTTGAAGATTGTGGAGAACGTCAAAAACAGGTACTAAAAATCAGCACAGTCTGCAGACATGCTGCAGTGTTGCAGGCTTGCCTTATAAACCCACTGTTTACGAATTTACGAAAACTTGCAACACCAAGATCTTTTAGATTGTTATTAACTTGCATTTGTATCCCGTACTCGGAAAAGAAACAAAATGTTAAGGAAAGGGAAAATCGAACCTGGTTGCTGCAAAAAACACAGCTGGATGGTACGACAACCCTGTCCGCTCACCAAACAATCACGGAACAGTACAGGGAACTCAACGCGTGAGCTGCGTCAGACGATATGCTGCGAGGCACTCAGGTTCTTGCGCAGGAAGACAAAGAAGGAACGTCTACGGACGCGTATTCGGAGGATTGCAAACAACTACCGCAACAGTTTCGTGTCCCACTGCGACGAAGCTCGCTAAGGATAACAGAAACCCACCAATTAACCGCAAGTTCTGCCAAACAGATCTTGAATAAAACCCTTAAAAGTCTATTTTAAAATTCAACAGTAAAAAATACTAAAAATCCGAAACAACACAGTCAACACTGCGCTCGTTTCCTGAATTTTTGGGCAGAATCGAATGTGCTTTCCATTTCCATTCAGAATTGGGATTCCATTCTCATGTTTCGCTGCCAGGCTCTTCCATTTTCGTAGCTCTGTTTTGGTTCCAAAATATTATCAGCTGTCAGAATTTTTCCGTTCGGTTTCAAATTTTCCACTGTCGACAAAAAAGATATTCTTTTGAATTTTGATCGTTTTTGAGTATCTTTTCCATGATAATAATACGGAAATACTATTATGAAGAAGCTGATTGTAAGAAGTAAAACGTTGGAATTGGCATTTGCTTGGCAATAATACAACTTACCGGTCCCGACCGGAAATTTCAGTAATTAGGGAACACGGATCCTCTATCAAACTAATGTGCTGTATAATTATAGTAGTTGCAAATCCGTGATTTTTTCGCGTCTGTTTTTGTAATTTTCTAAACTTTTTTTGCAATTTTTGTATCATATTTTGTACGGCTGCGAAGTACGTTTTTTTAAAATTTTTACCGGGATAGTTCTGTACTTGGGAGGTCCTGGTGACTGTGGTGAGTAACGTATTATTTTAAAATTGCAGCAATAAACAAGGAATAAATTAGGAAATGTAATCAGTAAAAGTATGGCGAAAAACTAATAAATAAATGTTTTGTTTATTTCCCGATAAACAACTATATACCATGGAAGCATACGTGATCATAGACAATAATTTATAATTAGGTTAATAAGTGCTTAAAAACTAGAGTAAATAAGCTAGCGCAAAATCCAAGAAACAATGATAAAACAGTAGAATTAAAAAATAAAAATGCGATAATAATTATAGATGATGATGTTTATACAACACTCGCAATGGTCTAGAAGAAAAAACTGGAAATTCCCATTAACAGCCCAATTAAGGCGGCATCAGTAGGCAAAGTTCCTCCTCATGGGATAGCGGCCGAAACAGGAAATGGGATTGATATAGCACATCACCGCCGCCGAGCGTTTCCGGCCCATTGTCTGCATCAGATTAGCATCCACTGCCGGTGCACTGTCCGGGACAGTATCGGCAACAACGGATTCTGCCAATTCGGTTGGTATCTGTAAGGTACAGTACCTTACGTTAATTAACTTAACTTGATCAGTGCGTAAAAAATAAGTACCTTAATTTTGTTCTGTACTGAAGTGATTTATTGCGCGATTTTGGGTATCACAGTTTTATCAATGTGTATATAGAATGGCGCACAAAACATTTCAGTGCCTACACTTTTACTAATAATATATCAATAAATACTACAGTATATACGCGCTTTGATTGAACGTTTTATATTATTATATAGTCGTTTGTCCATAAAAATTATTAGTAAATGTTTAAACTTTTGTCATTTTATATATCCACTGCTTCGATCCGTGACCTTTGTATCGTTCCGTCTGTATATTGTACCTTTAACTTCGTTTTTCTTAAATACTGCATATCATGTGTAATACTTAATTACTAACTTCTCTACAAATATTTGTTATTCCCACTTAATGCAGTAATTTGTCACTAATTTCGCGGCTCAATTCGCCTTATATACGACTAAGGTATTTTGAGAACACCATGGAGCGGTACCATCAAACAAACAGTACAAAAATGTTGTTATGAATTAACAATAAGCTACACAGTTGATTATTTAAAACATGCAACACGCTGTTAATATTGATATACGAGTACTTGTATTGTACTCATTACACGACCTTCTGCTAGCGCTCACGTGTCGGCGTTTTACGTAGCACCATCTACTAATTAGGTAATGTACCCTTCGTAAATTAAACAGTCAATAATAACCTTTTCTTAAATTCATTTATTTTATACATCAGTCTTATCTTTTTGAATTCAAATGTAAGCGCAATAAATTTATTATAATTAAGGCGTTGTGAAGGCATATTTCACGTACATACAGTGAACGCATGTACAATTGAATATCTAATTATGTAAAATATGTGTCCCCTTCGCGCAGGAGTATCCGAAAACCTTATCTCACCGTTTCTCTTGGCGCTGCATTTTCCGCTGGCCCGTTCTCCACAATTACCGGCTCCGGCACGGTAATCAGCGGTTGACCCTGTGCACGCAGCCGCATCGGCCACATGGTCGGTACTCCCGGTCCCCAGCGCAGCCGATAGCCGTCATTATTCAAAAGGTCACCCGTAAACGTCTGCCCACTGACCACCGTGGTAACGCACACCAATGCCAACAATCCCACCCAACAACGCATTAAGGATACAACACTGGCAGAATCCATTTCTCAAATTATATATAGGTTATACAAGTATCTGTAATATCCTCGCAACGTTAATCACTGACCAAAACGGGAGATAATGAAAACCGGGTAAATGCCGAAATTCGATGCCGCTGAGCAGATTTAAAATTCCTCTACAAATCGCTACCGGCAACGCAATCTAGGTGCAGTTTTATAACGGACATATATGCCCGGGTTATATAGCCGGTACACAATTCATGGAGAATAATTGCAACACATATAAAAATAACCCGCTCCTTTCTGTATATTACGTAGACGTGATAATGAGCGGGATATCCAGGTTGGTGCGGGCGATACGATGTGTAAATGTGGATGTACAGTATATACAGCGTTGTCTATTGAAGACAGGAAAGGATTTCCGGTTGTAAAGGGAATATGCAGCACGTTGACCGCTCCCCTGAATTAAAACGACAGCCGCGACTCATTAAACCCGCAGATTGGCAGTACGGGGATACAGGGAATATAAATTTTGAATGATGTTGGAAAAAATTCAAGGACGGGAATGGGAGCATGCCCGTTGGTAAAAATCAGCAATGAGGACGTTTTCCTTTTATTTATGCCGGGAAAGTCGAACACTAAACATTTCAGGGAGTACTGAAACTTTGTACGCACGCGTTTAAAAGAAATTTAAAACAGCTACTTTTCTACGGATACGCCCGTGTGTGTAAGGGTCACGAATGTCGACATAAGCCAATCTATGGAAAGTTTCGGTTTACTACGGAAATATCCACCCATTTGTTTTTCCGGCATTTAGCAGCAGCAATTTGCTAGATCGTTCCTCTTGTTTCCGTAACTTTACTGAATTTTTCAACGAATCGTGAATATTTTTAGCGTAAATATTGCCGTTTTGCCGGCTACGTACGTGTGCTCGCCTGCTGTGCGCGGGTGCAGTTGGGTGAGAATACTTACGAGTTGGGACAAAAACGAGCAAATGGACGAACGCAGCAGGACGGTAAAAGAGTGCTGATTACTTCCGGTTGCAGTGTATTGTGAATCTGGACGACAGGACAAATTAACTTGTTGAATTTAGATCCGTGTTACGGACACATCAGTCATTTTTTCTGTAAGCAAAACATCTAAACCCCAATGTAAAATTAGTAAGCGAAGCCAATAAATTTACTCGCACAAAAAACAATGATGTTGCCTGCAATTTAATAGCAAAGGAATGCTTTGTAAATCTGTTGTAGAATTTACTTTATTTTTTTTTACTTGGGTAAAATAAATTTGTCTTTTTCCAAAATTATAGGGAAAAATCCTGCCGGCGTGAAAAAACACTGCGCCTTCTTAAGTCATTTGTTTTTATGCAATTAGATAAGATACTGTGTGTTCTGGCTAAAATTAAAAATGCTGTTAATTTGCCTATTTGCGTCAAACCAAACAATTAATTTGAGAAAACCAAATAATTTATTTCAACCACAACCAGATAAACTAGCTCTTCTCAGTGTGTGAATTTGACACAAACCAGTCACCAACTGCAACGTGCCGAACAAAAACGAAAGAAATCTTTCCCGGGAGAAATTCGCCGGATCTCCCGGTTTTCGCAGTTAAGAACAGAACGCACACACCAACTGGCCAGCCGCGCAGCAAATAACAGTAGTAATAAATATAGCAGATAAGCTCCCTTTGTAAAAAAAAGAAGAAAAAAACCACATGTAAATTCAGTAGAAAAAACAACCGCACAAACATTTTGCTAAAAAAACTCTAAAACGGCACCCGAGAGCGAACCGACAACCGCCTGAAATCCGCATCAACGACATTCCCACACCTTCACTGACTGATCCACACTCCCCGTTATAACGTACGGATTCGATCTATGAAAATCTGCAAGAAAAGAAAAAAACACCACCAATTAAGCGGAAACCAATTAAATCAAAATCAAACAATCCGAAAATACATTCTGTCATAATTCTGTCTTATTAAACAATGTATTAAAAATGTATTTACGCTTACGCAAGTTTTCAACTTATCAAAAAAGAATAATCAAAGTGAAAGTTCCAACTGAACACCATCGTTTTTGTGATACTAAAAATTACAGGAGAATTATGCAGTGCCTTGTTCAAGATTTTTAATTGTTTTCTAACTGCGCAGATTCTATTTCTTTACATCATAAAAACTAACAAAATACAGAATTAAAAATTGCGGTTTGAAACGCATGTTTTCAAAGTACAACAGTTTCGAAAAATAGCGAAATAATACAATTTTACGGTGAGGTAACGGCAATAAACAGTTAAATACAAGATACGCATCGTATGCCGAAATAAAGCGAGCAGTCACGTAAAACGGAACAAGGCAATCCGTATTACTTACCAACAGTAGTGCAAAAGTGATCATGAGCATCCAGCGTTTTATGGCAACGTTTGTTTTTAATATCCCAGATTCTGATGCTTTTATCATCCGACGCACTGACAATGTACTTCCCGTACGGATGGAATACCACGCCGCGCACCCAGTTATCGTGGCCGCTCTGTCGAACACAAACAAAAAAACCGTGTCACTCAATTAAACAGCACATCCACATCAAAGATATTCAACAGAAATCACAAAGCGATAGGGGAAAAGGTCACTACGAAACCCTTCGACGCACGCCCCAAATCATAAAAAAAACTTCGCATCATTAAATATAAATTGTAACAACATCCCAAACATTTTTGACCAGTACGGATCTTACGAAAGCAACAGAACCTACGGAATTCAATTATTTTATGCCTTTTCACTACGAAACTCCGTTGTGTATACCAAACACTTTGCAACATACATACTGTACTTCGAAGTACAGCATTTCCACAGATAATAATTACTTTATACTCGTACATAAAATATCAGTCAAAATGTCAAATACTGTAACGTAACTCGGCAGTATTAGTGATTACTAAATAAACCGTCACTCATCAGACAGCACCAACTAAACCGTGATACATACATGAGTTCAGTTGCGCCGACAGGCCCGATCGCTGCCCACTGCCCGCTAGACTGACCAACAGGCTCGGTCAGCCACTGCTGTGTATATACATAACTACTGCTTCAAACAACGCTTGCTAATTTTTCAAGCAATTTGAATGCCCCTTTTTTTAATGTGTATATTTTCGTCTTACCAGAACAAATAAACACGTCCCCGCGCCGACATCCCATAACCTTAACATTTTATCACGTCCACCGGATAGGAGGAAAGGACCCGTTCTGCTCGCTTTATTCTGCCAACCAGAAACAATTAAACACTTCAGTTTATAACTGGCACTAATCGCCCTCTGATGATCATATATTACAATGATCCACTGCGAAGAAACATTTTACAAATAAAAAGGCACATAGAAATAAGAATTACCACCAATAAAAATCGGATGCTCTGCGAAAATATACAGACAAAACACTGTCTCTCAAAACAAAACAAATATTTTAGTATTTAATTTAAAAAATATTGGCAAATCATGAGAATTTTCAGAAATCACCTATACGATCACCGCGAATCATTATAAATTAAACAATCAATTCGGATACGCACAAGCTGCATATATGCTACGGGAAACAATTTAAACAATTTTAAAGCGATACAACCATCGCAGCCGAATAAAACAAACCAATCCGGAACAGAAAGAAAACCAACTTTAAAAAGCAACTACTATATCCAACTTACATCTGCTCCGGCCGCTTCCAGAATATGGGCCGATGAGGAGAGCGGCGCCCAGGCCAGACACTCCACCACGTGCTCGTGTCCGTGGAATTCCACTTTACACTCCCCGCGTCTCCACCATAAACACCCGCACCGTCTACACAAAACGCAGGTACGTTACTTAATAGAATACGTCTGTTCTCTGCCACCGCCGAGACTGCGAACAAAACTCCCTCAGAATAATTCAGAAATAATTCATTTTACTCCGAAATCAGTTTTTTATTTTATTCAGAAGCATTTCATTTTTCTAGAATTATGAGTTTCGTAGTTTCTAAAAAATTAATACGTTAACAGTTTGTTTGTTAGGAGTTTCGTAGTTTTTAAAACAAATTCCGTTTTTTTCGCTACATGTTAGTATCATGTCACTAAACTAAACATCAATCTGCACGATGCGATGCAGAAGCCGTACTCTCGAAGACAAGCCTCACCATTTAACCACAACGTTGCCTCGCAATTCAGACCAATAATTTTCTGGGCAGAACTTACCATTATAATAATACCACATAATTCAAGAATTCATACTTGTAAAGAAAAGAAGAAAGCACTCACAGAAAAAAAAGTACGAAACAATTTTATACTTAGTGCTGCAACAACGTTTCAAGTTATCGGCGACGCGGAAAGAAGATTGGCAACAATACCACTGCCAGTCCACTACGATACCTCAACATTTATTTCGATTCTTCAACATGCATAGCATTCACCGTATCTCGTGCGTAGTTACACAACACGGCCCGCCGCCCAAATAGCAAAATGTTTCCAACAGAATGCCCCTAAAAATTATTGAACGAAAATTCCCGTTTCTCAGTCTTAAAAAAACATTTTTCGAAAACTGCGATGGCTTTCGCCAGATATTCGTATTGAATTGTTTCAAAGTCCGATGGGTAACATAAATGACACCGAGCTCTCAATATACTGCCACTACACTACGACTAAACGACATCACATTCGTCTCTTTAACAAGTACAACCTGAATCCCATCTCGGCCGTTACACAACAAATCCCGCCGCCAAAAACGGAAATACCGGTATGTTTTAATTACTTACAAAAAATTTCTCTTCTACAAAATATTTCTGGAAAAATCCGATATTTTTCCGCTAGAGACTGTTTACTAGTACTAAAACCGGTTTTAAACCATACGATGAGCTGTACCATTGTACGACATTGCCGGTACACTACGATATCTCGACGTTTATTTCGGCTTTTTATCCAGCACAAACGTTTCATCGTATCACCACCGTCGCTACCCAACCCATCCTTGCCCATGCGGGAACCACTGTCCAGTGGTCCACGTACCTGATCGTTAGAACAGCTGGCCACCAGCTTCCCGTCCGTCGTCAGGGCGATCTTCCGCACCCAGTCGGCGTGGCCGGTGATGGTCTTAACGCAGTGCCCGCTGGCCACTTCCCACATTTTGATGGTCTTGTCGCGGGAGGACGACATCAGATGGTCGCCGGAGGGCATGAACACCACACAGCTGACGTTGTGGTCGTGGCCGTACAGCGTGCGGATGCAGGCGTACGTCGTCATGTCCCACAGCTTGATGCTCATATCCGCCGAGCACGATGCTACAATTCACACCAACCCGTCTAAGAACGTTCGAAATATTACGCCGTAAAGTGAAGTTTTTTGCAAAACAACGATTTTCATCATCTGTTCGCAGTCAGCACGTTTCCACTGAAGGAGGACACGACAAAAATCCACTTTACTGCGATGGACTATCAATCTCCAAATGTAGAAAACGTAGTACAAGGGTAGAAACTTTTGTTAGCTTCGAAAATCGGATCTGAACCACGAGTTCACAACTAGCACTCCAAACTCTTTGGATTTCTTTCAAAGTTTATAACAAAAAAGGAAAATTTAAAATTTTTTAAAATCACAGACTTATTAAATACTGGCTAAAATTATTTATTTCGGTTACAGCTGAACTGCATACAAACTAAAGCTAAGTAATTATCTTAAGGACGTGCCACAGTGGCACAGTCCCACAATTAAAAAAATTATTTAACCCTAATAATTCTAATTTGGTTGTTCTTATTTTATCTCACTTTCGCCGACAGTCATAAAGTCTCTAAAAGCCGGCATCACAAGGAGCCGAGGCAAATTTTAGACCGTATTAAAAAAATTTTGAAATCAGCTGCGGTGTAAAAAAATCCTTTAAACTTCAGATAAATTTGTTTTTAATTTATATATTTAGAACTAGCAGACAAATTTACTATAATAACTGGCAAATGCGGAACACGAATCCCGCATCGATATTTTATCAAGCATCCAAGACACTTTGCACGTTAACTGCCGAAAGAACCATCACGTCAAGAAAATTAATTCAACCACGTAATTAATTTTCAACCACGTTTCAATTAATAATTAACTTAATGTCTCTTCTGCAGCGCTTTCTGTGCAATTTAAAATGTTGAACAGCAGAGGAAACTCCCCAGTACACACACTGCAGGTACCGGCACATACCGAGGCGGTCGCCCGTGGCGTCGAAGGAGATGTCCTGGACAGTGTCCGTATGGCCCTTGAGTGTCCGCTCATACTCACCCGACTCATAATCCCATATCTGCAACGCAGTTACACAGCCCGTCATAACAAATAAATTACACTGGACACACTGCTGATTTATTATTGCAGCAGACACACTCTTCGCTGCGCTCTCAGCGCCCGCGAAGTTGTTTATCCTCATCAAATACACATACTACACGGCCATAACAACTTTCCACTGCCACATTCATGCGTATATATACACACATACAGAAACTTAAAGATGGGCCAATGCCTTAAATCAACATTAATGCCAACCGGATTTTCTCCAGCCATTTATCACAAAAGCCGCAGCGATGGATTAATCAAATAAGGAAACCTAGTATCGAGTTTAGGTTACTTAGCCGAGATCAATCATGATAGAACCACGATTTACGCGAGGAAAAAATCAGAAATCGCTGATTATAAAAAAAAACAGACGGCACCATTTCAATGCAGATTATAAACATTTAAAAAATATAGTTAAATTCTGATTCGGAAATTTTTTGACGCAATTAAAACGGCTAATTCTTCGACGATCATTTCCTTCTATAAACGCACCATAATAAAGCCATGAAATGTAGGTCGAGCATCCTGACAACAAAATTCTATTAAAAGATATTACCAAAAATATTCCCACTACATTACTACTGCTAAAAACTTTGTTACAAAATATTATTATAAACAGTATATTAAAAAGATTATTCCTACTAAAATATTATTATAACTAAAAAATACTGCCAGTCGAAATATTACAAAAAAAAAGTTAATATATTTAAATTCTAGTTTTCGCAGAAGTTTTTCAAAGATACGAGCAATCCATGCCAGTTTCAAAGATTCCCCTCACGGGCAATTTAGGCACTGCACTACAATGTCAGCATACCGTTCAATATTAATAACGCACGGCTGTATATCATAGATTTTTTCTGTCCCTGATAATTCTGAATATTTTGTACTGATAAAGTTACAACGCAGCGCAGACATATGAGTGATTACCTTAATCGTGGCATCCTCGGAGGCCGAGGCCAGGATACTGTATTTGGGATGGAAGATCACCCGCAGTACGGAAGCCCGGTGTCCGGTAAGGCAGTGCAGTTCGGGGCCGCGCGGCACCCAGTCCTCGGGTTTGCGCTGCTCCCGCGTGGGAGCACCGTGCCGCACTTCCCGCTCTAACTCCTGCAGTTTACTCTCCAGCTCCATGTTCTGCAATAATAACATGACAAATCATACAACCGTGATGCCACACAACCATTATCAACGCGTGATTCAGCGTTTTTCGGTGATTCATTGTTGAAATTATCGATAAGCCGATAACTGACAAAAGTCAGACTCAGTTAGCGTCAGATTCCTGTACATTTCCATCTGATCCACAATCAACTGTGGAATTTTACATTAAAATGTTCCTTACGAATTTACTGCCGAATACTGGCATCAGTTCATCTGCCTATTTTCTTCTATGCATACAAATTCAGTCGAATTTCGTTTTAATCGAAGCCGATCACAAACAGACCAATAACATCTGCCATTTGTAAATTTAGAGACAGAAAGTTTCATAAAGTAATCACCGAAAAAAATAAATTTGCTAATCAACAAAATCAGACGAAGATAAAACCAATAAGAAAAAATTTGCTAATCAATAAAATCCTTATTCTTAGAAGGGAAATCATCACGATATATAAAATAAATTTTCTGTGTGGGAAGAAAAAATTCCAATGGTTTAAAATAAAATGGGAACATTATGTTTCAAAAACCAAATATGAAAACCAAATGTTAATGCAATATGCAAAGAAAATCATAATCCATGGGAGTCAAACGAATGGTTTCATTAAAGTTTCTGGAGCGAACCTTCTTCTGCAGCCTGACGATGGAGGTCCATTTCTTCTCGAGTAGTCCATTATACTTATGATCGCTCTCACTATCACCCTGCAACAGCGAAACAAACATCCTTAGCCGGCGCGACGACGTGTCAATCTGTTCTCCTCCCGTCCCGCGCGCTGCTCTGTCTCTCCCTCTTCTCCCGCTTCTCCTCATCATCCGGGCAAGAGGCCGAGCCAGAACGGACGCTATGCTAATTCGCCTCTTCCGCTTACCAGATCAGTGGCCCGGCGAAAGGCCTCCAGAGCTTCTTGATAACCGCAGCTGTTCAGATAGTCGGCGATGGCGTGATGTCTAACGACAACAACACGGATATATAAGTCTATAAGGCAGTCACATATAAGGGGATTACGACCCATCTACCACGGGGAGAACAAATTCATCAAAAGGGAATCATCATGCTATCATCCAATTCCCAGCCCCGCGTGTCGGCCAACATACAAGCATCGCGCCCGGCGACATATGGCGACACTGGGGATAATAATGTATTTATGCGCAAAACGGCTTATTATGTTTTCATTTCGCTGAATCTCGTGTAAAGATTCATTGTGCGTTTTGCCGCATATAAAAAGGAAATTATTAGCGGAGCGGAACTGCAAACTATACAGTTTTTGCAGTGAACATTTAGTGATTATTCAATAAATTCGAAAAATCAGAACGCTATATTGTTTCGCTGGTTCTCATTTATAATAAACAGACGAAAGTTATCAACATGAAAAAAAGAAAAAACAAATAAAAAAAGAATAATAAAGGAGAAAAACTTAATACTCCTCGCCTGCTAAAATGTGAAATTATTTGGTTGAGTAAGGTATTCGTAAAGACTAAAGAGTAATTGTAATGCCGCCGGACGACCGAAGCCTTTACACTACGTTTCACTAGCATCCGTGTTATAGCGCTGATTGACGGGGTAGCACAAATAAGATTACCCATAAACTGCTTTTGTGGAATTCTGTATTCCTGTGCTGGAAATCTTTGGAATAAATACATGACGCTTTTGCGTCAACAAATTCTCAAAAATTCTTTCATTTACTTGGAAATTTTTAAAACAAAAAAAAAACTGAGAGAAGTCGATATCGGGAAATTATTCCACAAAACAAACGGCCATAACAAAATAACTATTCCATAAAAAACAGCAACACAGGTTCCAACCAAAACCTACATTTTCAAATGGTATAAAATATTGTAAAATAAGGAAATCCTAATTATTGATTCTATATTAAATTTAAATCCTGAAAAAGCTTCCTCTGACGTAACCAACAAAAACGGCCTGAATTATTTTATGTAAAATCCGGGAAAAAATGGGATCTTTCTCCGAGATCATTTTAAGATTATCCGTTTGTTTAAGCAAGCGGTAACTAAAAACACTAAAACTTACTTGTTAGACAAACCAAAATTATTAAAGATAATTTATAATTTTTGAAATTCAGCAAAAGAGACTTTCCAAAACACAGCATCACGAAAATAGTATTTTCAGAAACGTCCACTGGCAACCATATCATCTGTGCATTTGCAGAAAATACTATTCAAAACTGAAATTTTTATTGGTAGCAACAAAGAAGCGTTTGCCGTGACAAATTCGGTAAGTTATGCTGACGCCAGAAGGCAATAAATATTTCTGTAAAATCATAAAACGCTCAAGGACCCAGACAGTGCCGTTCAAAGACTACAACTGCGCACGCTAATTTCCCATCAGTTTCAAAAGCCTCTTTGAAATCTGTTACCATATCGTAAACAAAAATTTTCATCAATAACTAAAATTCCAAAAAGAGGCAAAATTATTCAGGGTGGAGATTTTAGCAAACAGAAAACTGGGAAACCAAAATAAAATTGCGTGAATGTCGTTAGCGCATGTGCACGTGTCACTGTTTGCGAGTACACTGATCAAACGTCAACCGGAAACAGGGAAATAAATAGCTGCGATTCATTTACCATCAAAATAAAAAAGATAAATCTGGAGAACTCCTTCAACGATTGATCACAGCTCACAACGCGAAAAATCCGTACCCCCTGCCCCTTTTAAAAATGTATTCAAGTCCCGAAAATCTCGGGGAACAACTTACAGTTCATCTCTCTGCTTTTGAGCAAGCATGATTCCAACCCATCAAAGATGCCACACACACGCCAGGCAAAATCAGCATCGGTGTGTACGCGATGCAGTGTCATGCAGTATGAGCAGCCTGCAGCTCCCCATAAATTCTCCTTGGGAACAAACAACAAGGATAGGATATCCGATACAATGGCGGTAAGGACAATAAAGGGTGATGGGAATCCGATAAGGAAATCAACTCGTATCAAGGATCAAGTGGGGCACGCTCGGTGTGCTGCCAAATGCGCTTGTTCCATGTCTCTGTCGCTGCCTCTCTCTCGCTCGCTCGCATCCGTCTGCGACTCTGCGGTAGCGTCAAGGCCACCGGAGCCCGTGGCGGGCTGGGGGCCCATGGCACTTCACAGGCTAGGCAAGCCTGCAAGGAGATTCGCGGCACCCTTGCCTCGCTACGCCGCTGCTCTTTGTCACAGCAAAACATGTCAACATCCAGTATGTATTTGGGGAATTGGAAGTAAAATGTTGTGCAGCATTAAAAAATTTCATATTCATTATCATGACGCCTAACTTTTAATAAGAATGAAACTAATAACGCTGTACCAATGACATAAATCGCCATAAAAGAAATTCGATAGAACATATCGAGTGTGGTGCGGTTAAAATATCAACGTGCTGTTCACATAATATAAAATGTGCAAGGACAGCTTGGATATCTACGACTATTTAAGAAACTTATGGGCCTTAATGTACGCATATAAATAAACTTACAAAATATTACTTATAAGACTTAATATTTCCAAAATATTTTTGTAAATCTAAATATTTCTGTTAGTTAGTTCACTTATAAAACGTGCAAGTGCAGCCTGGATGGTTATAATACAACAAATTTAACTTTACGGAATGTACCATGATATATAAATATACATAGATAAATTTACAAAATATTACACGTTTTAATGCACGCACACAGGTCAAGCACAAACACAACGTGCGATCTTCTACCTGATTCAAACAAAATTTTGTAAATTACGACATTAAGCTCCAGGTCAGAAAATGAAATGCCAATGATTATTTACCTAAATAAATACATAACAATTATATGCGTGTATACGCAGCTAAGAGGCCTTATATTGTAATATCATCGCACCAGCCGGCGAGACACGATTGCCCGGCTGCATGGCGTGTTATTTCAATGGTTTTGCTGTTGTTTTTATATGCATTTTGCCGGTAACCGCCTGGTTCCACAATCGGGATGATGTCCAGGTAAAAGAATGCTGTGGCATCTTACCAGTGTTCCGGTTATTTCGCTCGATATAATGGCCTCATTCCCCAATCGATAAATGTAAAGGTAAAGGTCACTCGTACAATACTTTCCCGGTGAAACTATTCGAAACATAAACTGCACGGTGCCGACGTAGACGCAAACTGCAGAACCGGAATTTACTTGGCCTCGGCAGACACTGGCAGCATTGTCACGTGAATGAATTACGGATGCGCCTGCGACTGCCCCACTTTCACAACGGCTGTCCGCTCCTGCTTGCCAGATCCTGTTTGCTAGACATTTCAAGCCAGTGACCGCCTATATAAAAGCAGTGTTATGCTGCATATGGATGGAATTTTGTTGCAGTTACAGTTAATTTTTGCAGCTAACTTCGCCAGTGTGACCTTTCGTTGCCAGTTTCATTCGGCAAGTGGTTACCATCCACCGTTTCTCAAAATGAAGTTTTTCATGGTTTTGGCTTTATTTCTCGTTACAATCGGTAAGTCCATATAATTCTTAATCCACCCTTTATTTCTTCTTAAATGATAATTCGTTATGGCTTTTTAAATTTATTAAGCAAACTAAAATGACCTATATGTAGATTACCCGGTAGTTCAATTAGCGTGTGTTTCTACTGAACATGGAAATCAGCTTTAAATACAGCATTGGACGAGACTTTAGTTACTGTTTTTGTTATGGAAATATGAAGTACTGTACAACGCTAGGCTTTATAATAATTGCTGTTACGAAGCGATTCTGAAGAAATGCCTTTTTTTATCGTAGTATGCGGAAGCGTGTCAGCGGCTTCACTAAGGTCGAAGGGACGTAACATGGGGCGGCAAGGGCGTCAGCTGGGTGTCGGCGCCGGACTGGGTTACGGTGGACAACTGGCCGGTCTGCAGAGTCAACTCCAAGGAATTTGTAAGTGTAAACTCCTGGTACACTTGGGAAACCTTAATTCGCCGTTAAAATGTTAACAAAAAATTTAAATGCCATTTCTTGATAAAATTTTAGCTGTATTACTACAATTTTGGTTAAATGAACGGCCACGGTACTATTTTAATAGTATTTTTTAATATATTTTAATTTTTCAATAATATGATGAGCGTTGTATTTTCTCATGAATCGGTTTCTGTATAACAATTCCCGAATTTTAACAAAACTGAAAAGTCATATCGCTTGCATTTTTGACAGCATCCGGATATGGTTACGGCTATAATAACGCTGTGGGATTGGGCGGCATCGGTCAGAACACCGGATACGGATTGGCCATGCCCTTTGGGCTCATGGGATAAAACCGCATCCGTTTTGCAGATTGTCTATCATGGTTTACTATGTCAAGTGTCATTTCTGGCTAGCTGGCTAAACAGTTTATTTGTTTGTACTGTACTTCTACTGTTGATCGGCGAGTTGTACCGTTGCGGCTGGCTTCCGCTGCACTATATATGTGTTGGTATGCCACAAAAGATTGAAAATAAATTTCACTATAATTTTTGCTATGAATCCAGTATTTTTTTGACGTACCTTATTCAATTAGTTATAAAATCCTATACTATATGTATAATGCTAAAAAAGTAAGACAAGCTAAAAATTAATGCTAAACTGAATAAATAAGAAATTGCGAAATTAAAAATGTCAAAATTTAAATATCATAATCTATGAATGACAGACTATACTACATAAGCTACAGACTACTGTATACTACGAGTACAGTACTACATTTTTTGCGGTCCATAATGCCTCCGAAACTGCACTGGATCGAAATGTTTTTACTACTCCAGTAACTCCAGCTTGACCATTTTACGTAAAGGATTTTTACGTTAACAAATACAACCCATTCGAAACACGTTCCAAAATTAATATGAACCAGTGGCGAGGAAGACGTTAAAAATTTGACTTAACTGCCGTGTTTTGTCAGATCGCTAATTTCATTCATTCTCTCTTTTTGTGAAAAAAGGTAATTCTCACTGGGGTTTACATCAGTTAAAGATATGTATGTCGCAAATCAGGCTGTTGAGAATATTACACGCCGTGTAGCCTGCATCAAGCCTGTATACTACTTTTCATCGGCAAATGTGGAATAGCGTTGATTCACATAAATTATGGAGGTGTACCAATATTCGTATTATAACGGAAGGCTGATGATGAGCCTCCGTTTACAGTGGATTGGCTACACGCCGCGCCACGACGCACAATAACCGAAAGTGGTGGTCAAAGATGCAGACGTTACACAGTTAGGGAATTACAGGAATCAGGAAGACGAAAGGTCATTCCGAACGAACGATCGAACGAACGAAAGAAGAAAGCTTTCTCATGAAAGTTTATTAGCAACTGAAGAAGTGCGGGTGGCTGCGAAGCAGCACCGTGCCCGACTGATTTCCGTAAACACATTCTCATCTCCAAAGAAGCTAGAAATTCCACAGGCTACCGATCACATTATCGGCTTTATCACCGACCAATCAAATAAAACATAATTATTTGAATCTAATAACACTCTTGCTATAGTATACTGTAGAGGAATCAGATGTTACAATGGTCAGTAGATGGTTTACCTTCTTACACGCTGACACACAATGATATTAATTCTTAAAAGCAAACTTGAACGAACTTAGAGAAATACATAGATTCTTCACAGCTTGCGTTAGGATAATATTTTGATTTAAATTCACTGGTATGGATATTCCTATGCATACGGTGATGCATATTGTAAGACGCGACAGGAGCGACAGCAACCGTCGTAAAACCAACAAAGAGGTTCTTATCGCTCCTTGTTAATTCTTAATGCTATCTAGAGAAAAACTTTCACTGCTAACAGTTGTTTCCCGGTATCTCTGGCAGATCTGGCAGCTTGATGGCGCTGCACCAGGTAAACTAATGCAAAAAAAAAACAATGTAACGGAGGGACGCTCTGCCCTCCTGAGTAGCTATTCGCTGTTTCTGGGGATTTCCACCCCGCACATTGCTGCGCTGTTTTGACGGATCTGCAGCACAGTTGCACTGGCTGCAGAATCCTTCCTGGTTAGTCTGGTGTTTGCTGCGCCACGGTGCGCATTAGATTCGGCAATAAAGCCTCATCCGGGTTCACCGCTGTTTCGCTGTCGAGGATACGCGTGGCGCCCATACGGCCCCGCGTTATAACAAAAACCACGGGCGACGCATGCCTCAGCTGGGCGAAGCAGAAGCCGGGCCACCATTCGTTGGTGTGCGTGAAGATGTTGGTGAAGATGGTGGCACCGATGAAGGGCGCAATGGACATCAGCTTCCCGATTTCATCGCGGTCCACCAGACTGATCGCCACCGGCTTGATGGAGACGAATCCCAGATAAATTTTTCAAGTATTAAATATTAATTCGTATCATATTATATGATTCATATAATAAGTACTATAAGGCGTAACCTTTGCGTAATCTTGACCTTTGCGTAATCGTACTTCAAACATCCAACAGCAGCTGCATTGTAGATAGACCCACTATTCGTTGCTAATCCATAGAACAGCAGATGCAGCAAGTACTGCCGACAAGGTCGCAGTGGTTCCGGTTATGGTTTCGGAAGTTGTCAGGTACCGACGCAGGGCATGATGATGCCTTTGACGGCACCGTAAATAGCGCTGTACAGCGCAAAGTGCTGCTGCGTCAAGTTGAACGGGTGAAATTCGAAATACAGAGTACAGCTGGGTGGTTGACATGTCATGCCAGCCTAAATGTTAATCCTAAGTATTAATGTCCACAGACTCCACACTGCATGCGTGTACCAATAAAAAATTACAAAGGTCATGGCTAGTTACCAATGACATCCATGACCGCAATGATGGTTTGTCATCCGATGATCAACAGGAGAAACACCCGAGTGTAACCCGGCACACAGACTCGGCCATTGATCACGAACAATATCATACAGCTATTCAGCACGCTTCCGAGCGCGACGGTTAGCACATGTAAACACGAGGTCCTACTTCCGACGGCAGTAGCAGAAAGACGCAGGAAGTTTCCTACAATTACGACAATTTACGACAGTCACTAATTTCCTCTTCCAGAATGTTGTCTCATCTCCTAAGTTAGGTTGCAACAGTACGCATCAGTGCACGCTCTGCGCAAGCATACACGGAACGCTTCATCCCGCGTATGCCTCGTATTTGTGTAATATTATACCCATGCTAAATCGTAAAGTTGCACATTGCAGTCATTAAATTGTAAAATTGCAGATACCATATTACACATTGTCACTGGTGCGAATGAATAGTCACTTTTACAAAAAGACGCACCGCGAGGGATTCCGCAGTCTGCGGGTTCGAAAACTGTCAGTTTTTGTGCCTAGTAAGAGCGGAAACTCTGAGGTCAACATTCCGAAAACGATGAAAACGGTCTCGAACAATAATGATGACTGTGTAGTTCACAAGTTGTTTAACAAATTGAATACAGGCGCTTCTGTTTCCCAATGCGAGTACAAAATTCAAACTTTATTGATTACATTTTGTATGTATGTGTACTACTGTAAGCCAATCAACCTTAAGGCGGAGTGTGATTTTGGAGTACTCCGAAGCGCTGACAGCCATTTCCCATACATCATTCTGTAGCTAAACTGCTACTCTTTCATTGTTATTTTTTCCAAAAATTGCTACGGAGTACCCCGAAAAGCATACTTCGCCTTAACTAGACGTTTGGAGAAAGATATCGCGAAATAAAAATGTGAATGCATTATGCGACACTGGTGGCTGATATGCCCCAAATTTATGAGAATGGGATGAACCAGTAAAAAATCAGCAATATTAGATTGTTACCTAAAGCGCAAGCACTGAATGCTGGATAAACTGTGCTGGCTTTGAAGTTTGAAGTTTCTGCGAAATGGATTGCACCACATACCGGTAATATAGAATATTACATTTTTAGAGCAGTCGTACATATTGCACTTGTACTTCCAGCACATTTAATACCTCAAAATCGTCATCATGTTTTGCCGACAAGCCTCGTCGTTCCGTACCGTGACCGAATTGTTGCAATAGAAAGATTATCGACATGTGTTACAGGATTGAAGAAGCACCTGTTCTCCCAGGTGGTCCTTCAATTATGTACTACAAGATGACACGCATCAAGTTTTCCGAAGGCTTGATCTTAGCTGCTGACATAGTGACAGAAGCTGTCTGTACGCAGCAACGTGCGGTGTTTATAGCGGAAAGCAAATGGCCGGATAAGAACTACATACTGGACGAAACATCCAATATAGACGGATTCGAACCAACCGCACTGGTGTCAACCATATCCGAGAAGCCATTTTTCCCAGAAACGCTGGCATGTCGTGGCGGTGTTCCTGCTGCCAGGACTGCCGTTCAGTTTCATGATGAGAACAAAGTTGGTGCGCGTGAATTACACTTATGTCAAATATGTACGAGTATATTCGGAAGGGCTATGAGCCCCTAGGTATATCGAGACATTGGCGAAGATATGGCTCTCTATTCTTCAGTTATCCAAGTTTTTTCTACTACGCCGTACAATCTTTATCACGAACAATATGTGTACATATTATTATGATATGATCTAACGAGTTTGACTCTGAACTTACATTCTGCTTTACACGCAAAGTGTGCTTAAGCTTGGTTGTTGTGCGTAAACCGATCGTAACTGCCATTCGTCAAATCTGCTTTATGTTGGACTAGATATTTCGGCGTACTGACGCACAACCAGGAAGGTGTACGGTATAGCGTACAGTACGCTGCGGTCGGAAACTAATGCAGCCCGTGTTCCGGCCCGAAAACCAGGCTGTCCTCAGCGTGACTTAAACATTTTACAGATACGAGTATAATGCTGCCTTTCAATCAGTCAACTGCGTCTGCTTTATATCATAACCAGGTTAGTTCACCCCGGTGCTTAAACAGTGGACATTTAGCTGCGCACATCACTGACATCCAATCCTACCGGTACACATAGTTCGACGTTGCATACCATGTGAGCATCTCTGCGAAGTGCAAACCATGGGATTATTGATCAAATATTGTTCCTGTTTAAGTGCAGACAGCAGCAGCAGCCTGGTGGGGCAGTCCTGCCGCATATCGTATAGCGCTAGCCACTCTACCAAACTAAACCTGCGGTTTTCATCATGATTTTTCATTTTATCGCCACCGGAAGTTCGCCGCAGTGGATCTACTCTATTTATTTTGGAGTACAGCGCATAAACGCTGCATTTGCGATCTCTCTTTTACATCACAGCCCCGATGTCCGGATCCGATTGGCCGATTTGCCCCGTCCCCAGTAGGGTTGGTGTCCAATATCACGAAGACCACAGGGATGTCAGAAGCGTCTCGCCACACATACCAAAACCATCTTCACGCAGCCACCCCGACCTACCTCCGTCCTACCAGGAAATTCTCCCAGAAACACCGGTCCCCAGTTCGCCAATGCTCGACGACTCAATCCATGACCACGACGGATGGCCCGACACGGTACTGCGACCACTGCCGCCCTTGTACGATGATATCATCCACAACGAACGTCCTTTTGCCAGCCATCCTGAGGATGCGCGCGCATGGCAGGACATGAGAACGGTTTGCAGCGAAATGTTCAGCAAGGGTGCGACGTACTGGCGCCTCTGCCTGGTTGTGGGCAGCCTCACCGGCCTGTCCTTGATGCTCTTTTATTTATTGGAAGATGACCAAGAATGGAAGTTAACTGTCGGAAGTGTGATGTTCGCGGTATTTTACATGTTCTACCTGGTAGACGTGTTTGTGGGCAATTCTAATATGGCGTTCCTTACGAATGTTATCAGCGTAGCCGAACTGAACAAACACATGGAGCGTGTCCGAGCCGGTACGGCGAAAACACTTTCATAATCTACTCGTGGATAAGTTTAAAAAACTGCCGGTGATGTGTCTTTAAGCAGATCCTTTCAGTTTCAACATTGAAATTCTTTTCATTGTAACGTTAACGCCCTGACGGAATCGAGACAAATGATATTTTGCTAAGAGTTATTATGTATATAAATAAAGGTTAGGAGTTTTGGCATGTTTTACGGTTAGCATATATCCGTTACACAAACTACTTTCCAGCGACAACACTGAACTACTGAAAAACCGGATTTTTTCTAACAAGTCCATGAAAATTGATACGCAGCTTAAAAGCAGAATAACAGCGCGGTTTTCTTGCAGGTGTTCCTTCGATTGTGTGGCACATGAAATGCAATCAAAAAGTACAACGCACTCGGATAATGGGAGGAACAATCGAGACTTACACCGACGAGACCATCTGGAAAGGAACCAGGGCTTTTCGGTTCACGCACTGGGAGGATTTCTCCAGTGACCGGCAGCTGGACAACATTGGCGTCTACAAGATGACCCGCATCAAGTTTTTCAAGCGCTACGTCTTGGCGGATAGCTGGACGACATCGGCCTTCGAGCAGCAGCGAAAAGCATTCATCAAGGAGAACAAATGGCGGGACAAACACTACACTCTGGAGGAAGTCTTTGATATAGTCGGATCCAAGCCGGCCGTGCTGGTATCCACGACATCCGAGAAGCCCTTCTTTTTTCAGAGGTGCTGGTATGTGTTGGCGGCGCTGTTTTTCCTGGAGCTACCGTTCAGTTTCATGATGAGGATGCAGTCGACGCGGCTGCATTACACTTACGTCAAATACTTACGGTAGAGTGATGCATTATGTGCTGAAAAAGAATTTAATGACGCAGCGGGTGTCAGTATACGGCTACTGGCTTCTTTTGTCAAAGTGTCGCAACTGTAATAAAAATCCTTAATTTGAACAATCTTTGCATTCGTTATGTTGCAACAAGCTTGGTCGTTCTTGGAATTAGTGAATTACTCCATCAGGATATCTGCACATGCGGACACTAAACTCGAGTGCTGTAAAGCTTCATGCGGTATGAAATACAATTTTGTAGCAATTTATGGTTTGACTCTTCAAATATAGTTCGTCGTGGAAGCGAACTTTGATTAGTTTGTTCACGATACTGCAGTTATAAAAATCGTCAAACTCTCGCATATGATGCACATATTGTAAGAAATATCTTTTGTTTTCCTGTGAGACGAAGGACAGGTACGTGAAGCTGCAATACATCACCTGAAGTTGCTGCGTCTGTGAACTCTCAGTTGTCGATTTGAAGTTTTCTTGAAATCTTAGCGAATAAAAAGCAACAGCTATAAACAACGTGCCATTTTGAATTCTATGATTTTACTGAAAGTTGCGGTTTTTCAAAGTTTTATTTTGGACACGCGTGTTTTATGTTATGGGACGTCACAGACTCACAGCGATTAATTCGTCATCCTGCATTCATCACAGATAGTTTGGAAGGGATGAAGCCGACAGTAACCTGATTGGCTGACTTACTGTTACTAACAAGTTCAAGGTGTTTGAAAGGTCATCCACATTTGGCCTAAAGGATTTTCTGCAGATTCGAGCGCACAATGGCATCCGCGGTCGAATTTCTTACAAAGAATTCCGTGGCCAAACCAAAGCCTCCCCTTCCGGCCTTTCAGGCGGCTGCTATCGGGTACCGGTCAGATGAGCTATCAGAACACTGTTGCCGTCAGGGAGAAGTGTGATATTATTATTATTATTATTATTATTATAGCACTACAGTAGCCAAACTCCATTAAAGGAGACTTTAACCCTAAAGTGAAAACTTTTGGGTGTTTAGGCTATTGGAAAATTTTTTTGTTTAATTTTGAAAATTTTATACTTTTTTTGGTTGATTTTATGAGATAAAAGTTACCCACCTAGGAATCGAACCCAGGACATACAATCTTAAAGCCAGACGTACTACCACCAGGCTAGGCAATTAACATTAAATATTTGATTATTATTATAGCACTACAGTAGCCAAACTCCATTAAAGGAGACTAAAATGTGGCTGGGGTTTCTTCAGGACATCAACGGGGACCAGTTGTTGGTCGATTTTGACTCCAGCAAAGAAAAAGCCAGGTGGGTCGATGCTGCATGTGTTTATTTTTTGCCATGGTACAATCATTGGGGGGAATAACCAGCGCGAGAAACCTATTTATGCGGCACTCCGCGACGAAGACGACGGTCCCTTCCGGTTCCAGCCTGTTTTCTTAAGAGAAGCTATTGCGGCATGTGATCGATGTCATATGTATTACGTCGAAACAATTATCCCAAGCGGAGATCCGGGCAAGGCTCGCATCGAACTAGTGGATCATCACCAAATCCTCGGTCAGGAGGGGTTTACTGAGCCGCCTTTGCTATACCGCAACAGCGGGCTTTTATGTGCAAAATACTTTGTACCTTGCGCCATGGCTCACCAGGTTCTCAGTGAACCGGCCGACCGATCGCGGATTATTAAGCATTTCCGCGATGCTTTCGATCCGGCGGAGCAAGGAGGTTTTGCTCGCGAGGAAGTTTGTAGGTTTCGCTTGTGCATCGAAGCTACAGGTTGTGGGTTTGTGGTCATCAGCTCGGAAACAAAAAAAACTGTTTAGATTTATGCATGCTTTCCCCTAAGACGTGCGTGGCATATGTGAAGCCAATTAATCCACCGTCGGTCAAATGCGATCATATCGCCTTTGAATTCTCTATTTCAGTCCGACGTACAAAGTCTGTACCGTATATGCCGCCGAGCTGGCATATCTCAAATGCCGATGTACAAAGTTTTGTAACTGATTTAAGTGGGGTAAACTGGGTTGACCTTTTGAAATCTTCGAGTACCAACAACCGTGTAGAAACGTTCGAAAAAGTATTTGTCGAAATTGCTGAACGTTACTTTGTTTACAAAAGCAAAAAACTTCGCGGCCCTGTTCCCTATCCGATAAACATAAAAAAGTCAATTAATCGTAGAAATAAAGCTTTCAAAAATTATCGTGCTTTTATTACCAGTTCGGACGAAGCGCTGAAACGTCGCCTTAAACTGATATGGAAGAATTTGTCGAGAAAAGCTGAACGATTGATATGTAAGTTTGAACGTAGTCGCTTGAGTGACGCTGCTACAGCAAGTCGTAATAATCCTAAAAAGTTTTGGCGTTTTGTTAAGTCTACCAGTAACAAAATCGGTATCCCCCCGCTGAAGCTAAATGACGGAAGTTTTGTTTCTTCTGATTCCCAGAAAGCATCTACCTTAAATCATGTTTATTCTGAGTCTCAGGGACCATGCCAGAATCACTGTATAGGGTCAGGTCTAAATTTGCAGATAGAGAACAATGAGCCGGCCATAATAACAGAAAGCATGATTTATTACCATATTGCACGCTGTTTGTCCATATCTTCCAGTGGTCCTTTTAAAATCACTAACACCTTATTAAAATTAGCTGCTCCAGCAATTATCAAGCCGTTAAAAATTGTTTTCGAAGGCGCTCTAAATGAAGGTTGTTTCCCAACAAAATGGAAACAGTCTTTTATTGTCCCCATTCCGAAAAGCTCGAAAGACCATATGAATCCGAATAATTATCGCCCGATCTCCATGTTAAGCCCTTTATCAAAAATTTTTGAACGGTGCATTGACGAACATATTCGCGAATACCTCAAAAAACACCTTAAATTAACTGACCACCAGTTCGCTTATCGCGAGAAACGTTCGTGCGAACTGCAAAATTTTTGGTTAATTAAATCTGTTAGTGACTTTATCGAACGTGGTACCGATGTGCATGCCATTTTTCTTGATTGCTCCAAAGCATTTGACAAATGTGACCATGAAAAAATTCTGGAAGCATTGATCAAATTGGGAATCTGCAGTCAGGTAGTTCACATAATAGACGATTACCTACGAAACCGTATGCAGTGCGTTATGATAAACGGTAATGTTTCGGAATTTGTGAGAGTAACTAGTGGTGTCCCGCAGGGTTCTGTCTTAGGGCCATGTTTATTTATTTGCCTCCTAAATTTTCTTTCTTTTTTCCTTACCCACGGCAGCGAACTTCTAATTTTTGCTGATGATATCGCTGTTTATCGCCCAATAATAACAGAAAACGATAAAACTGCGCTACAGTTGGATGTCAGTAATGTGAAAAACTGGGCTGATGAGAATAAACTTTTCTTTAACGTTAGCAAATCCTTTCATGTCTGTTTTTCGAGGAAAAGGTCACTTACTAGTACGCATGAATATTTTCTTGATTGTACTGCAATAGAGCGTTGTGATAGTGTAAAGTATCTCGGTATCATCGTAGATCGCTCATTAAAATGGAAGGAAAATACTGACGCTGTCATTTCGAAATGCCGAAAAAGAATCCGATGGATAAATTTTTTATTTAAAAGAGTAGACTCTGCTGCACGCATCCAATTGTTTAAATCCTTAGTGCTACCAGTTTTTGACTATTGTTGTTCCGTTGTCCCCCCTTTTCACAAAACCAGCCGAGATAAGCTTGACCATTGCATGGAGCGATTCTTAAAAACCGTCCCTTTGGGTCACAGCGAGTTTGAAGATCAACTGAAAGAGTTAAACTGGGACTGTTTCGAAGTTCGCAGGGTGAAGAAATGTCTAACCCTCGCTTACAAATTAATATTTTGTCGCATCCCGCTCGGGGAGAGATTTTATCTTCCATATGAACACGATTCTGCTGGTTTTGTTTCTGTTGCAGGGAACACCCGGTCCGTACATCGACTCCTGAATCACCCATATCCAATTCGTCCAGCTCCGACAGTGCTTTGTGGAACCTCGGTAATGCCGACGCCAGAATCCTTTGTTCATGAAATCTGCGATTTATGGAATGAAATCGTCTTACCAAAAGACTCCTATTCTTCAGTCAACACCTTTAGGAATGCCCTCGACAGAGTCACATGGAGTAAACTGCAGTGGAGTAAACTGCAGCGGACCAAGAAAAACTGCGATACCGACCTGTTGTACTAAGTTTTAAATTGTATAATTTTACTGACAATGAACGGACTAATGACACCTGCATCCACTTTTCTATGTTTATTGTTTTGCCGGAATATGAGTATGTGCAACTAACACGTAAACGTGAAATGACCTTTAAGAAATGTTAAAACTCTTTATCTTTGATTATGTCGACTTTTGTTTTTTTTTCTCTCTCTTTTGTCTCGAGTGTCGAATGCTTTGAGGGGACCGTGTCCCGATGCATAAGACAATAAATTCAAATTCAAACCAGCGCGGATACAAGGGAGATGATCTTCACAAAGCTGGCGAGAGTGCTGGAGCGGCATTTAGCGAGCCGGGCGGATTTGATGCCGGTTTGTTTTGAGAAGGGATCCACCAGCGGAACCAGTCTCAGCACAACAGGTTGGTGTTGCCTGTTGGTTGCTATATATTGTCTGACGGGCTTAAATTAACGGAATTTTACGAAACGTGTTTTGGTTGCGTGCAGTTTGCTTATCTTGTAATAATTCGAATATGTTTTACAAGAAATTTTATCGGTTTTATAAGGAACGGCCTCGTATCCGTGGTACTTGAGGCCGGCAGTCGCTATAGATTCGAAAATCAAGAAAATCGCCGCTCGTGGAGCGAAGCAAAGCAGCATATTTTCTGCATACTTATAATTTTTCCAAGCAATGAGTGATCTGCTCGCATATAACAAAGGAATCATAATTTAGGCGATCAAATGGAACTACCATGCTCAGAATTCTTTTTATGTCATATGCCCCATTGGATCTTCAGCGAAATCTTTTCTTACATGGATCTGCATTCTCAAATGAAGCTCACGCGGTACGTTCTCACGTTATAAGGGTGGTCTATTCTGTTACTACTCCCAGTAAAGAAATAATCTGCAGTTTTCTTTCCCAGCACAGTAAAATTAAAGTCTGACAACACTGGCCAGCGTAATACTAGGTAATTGACGAGACCCGCGACATTATGTCAGTTTGCGTGACTTAATCCTGATCACCTGATTAATCCTTAATCCTGATCTACATCTACATTCTCATCAGTGCCGCTCTTTTCATTGTACAAATAGGCAAATGGTTCTGAAAGAGAGTGAATCTTTGCCCACATTTTAACCTATTCCGTTAACCATAATGCAGCGAACAGCGTGTATGATTTGTAATCTGTACATTACCAACTTATTAACTATCTGCCAATGTTATGGACAGAGTGTGCTTTTTATGGCACGAACTGCTGAGCAGTCCCGTAACAACCGAGCACATCCGCGTATGTTGGAACAGCCTGACTAGCGAAATCACTTCCGACAACTACAACTGCTACACACTGATAGCGCTGCTTACTCGCACTGTGAACTCGGCGACCAAAAGCCTGACGATAGTAACGACTTCGTTCTCCCAGATTCAGAAAAACCGGCATTTTTTGGTTTTTTTTCCTGGAGGCCATAAAATACGGCCTGGGGATTTGCGTGCCGCTGTTAGTATTGAAGGACTACATGCTAAGCAGTTATACCAAGGGCAATTTTTTCTATGAACATCCTATGACGAGAGATCCAGTAATGCTGGAGCGCATGTGTGAGAGCATCGTATTGCACAACTGGAACGTTAGCCAACTCTTCGGCCGTCCACTGGACGAAATCTTTGTACAGCAGGAATTTGTACGGTTGAGCGCGCTGCCACCTGGGGAAAAGAATCTAATGCTGCCGCTCGGTGGGGATCATACACTGGCCATTGATCAAATCCAGATCAAATCCAGATCACTGTGCCGCGCGTTGTCCTGTACCGGGACGAACACCGCACTCACCGGGTCAGCCGCATTATGTGGGCCGTCAACGAATACTTCCCGCCGGTGACGGATGCCATGCTTGCAAAGGTCAAGACCGTTCACGCCCGTTGGACGCGCGAGCTTGAATACCCGTCTGGGTGGGGCGTTGTTCGCAGATTTCTGGCAATGTAAGTTCTCACCGAAAAAGAAAGGCATTTATTTTACTGTGGCGAACAACTTGAAACATTATCTACTCCCAACCTGCACATTACACAGCACTCAAAATTCTGCTCGCATACTAAGCGTTCTGCTGTACGGGTCAGCACGGTTGCGCCCACGTCTTACATTTTCCGAAAAGCACTTGATTAAAAATGACAGTTTTACGCCGTTGTAATAGTTTACATTTTTTATCTTTTTAAACACTTTTTTATTATATGACAGAGTTACAAATAATTTCTCGAAAAGGGAATCCATTCACAAAACTGTGGACCTGTTGCTGAAACCCAAAGGTTGGGTGTTGTTGTTTTTTTCCTTTCTTCGCTTTCAAAATGAAATAAGCTTACTTGAGTATAAAATAAAAGATCAGCCTAATTTTCGGCTTGTTCTTTGGGAAACGTAGGTGATCGCTGCCCAGTTCCGTGAAATGAAAGTAATGGTAATCGATTTGTAAACGGATTCATACTGACATGAGCACTGTTTGTAGGTATAGTGGCTTTCATCCAGATGGAACGTTCCGATCGTGGTCGAGCGTTGATCTGAGACAAGTGGATCCCAGCGAACTGAGCAAAATGGCACTATATGGGATCAACGAAGTATTTATGGTTGACTAATAGTCATGCTGTGCCGCGCAATTGCTTCGCAGAACCAGCCTGCTGATTGTCGTTGTTTCCCAGTCGACGTCACCGGACAAATCAAGGATATTCAAAAGATGTGCTTTAAACTAGGGAAGTGCACCCACTAACAGGATTCTAAAACACCGAAGTAAGCCAGTCGCTGCTGTATGTTTGTTTTATACGTTCATGTCAGTCACGAAATCGGGCGCGGTTACATTGTCTCTATTGGTGGTATTTTTGATGTATCAGCCTTTGTTCTGGTATACTGTTATCAGGGAAAGTCCAAAATATTGTTTGTACATATTTCGAACCGACAGCAACATCGTTTTTGGTCATGCTATGCTGTCAGCACTAACAAAGTGGTCATTACTCGTTTCATTAGTTTTCAGACGAAGACCACGGGCGCGGTCACACACGCACCCAGGACGAAGCAGAAGCCCGGCCACCATTCGTTGGTGTGCGTGAAGATGTTGGTAAAAACAGTGACGCCGATAAAGGGCGCGATAGACATTAGCGACATCTTCGTTGACAGAAGTTTCCCGATTTCATCGCGGTCCACCAGACTGATCGTCACCGACTTGATGGAGACAAAACCCAACATCCTGACAAAGTTTTGCAATCATCAATTCGCATCATACCACACTTTTAATGGAATGACCTTTAATTTCACTTTCGTACTTTAAGCAACCAACGCCAGCTGCAATGTAGATAAAGGCACTGCTCGTTGCCAACCCGTAAAACAGCAGATGCAGCACTGCCGACAAGGTCGCAATGGTCCCGATCATGGTGTCGGAAATCGTCAGATACCGGCGCAGGACAATGTTGACGAACACCATGATCACTCCCTCAACGACACCGTTAATGGCGTTGTAAATGGTGAAATGCTGCAGTGTCCAGTTGAACGGGTCGAATTCCAGATAAAGCTGCGTGATTGACATGTCACCTGCAAATGCGCTTGCACACAGTACAGTATATAATCCCTAGCAAAAATTTTTAAGGTCAAGATTGGTTACCGATGACGCAAACACCGATGATGAGAAGACATCCAATGATCAAGAGGAGAAACAGCCGATTATATCCCGGTCGTTTTTTACTCAGCGTTCGCCAGTTGTCCTTCACGCGTTCCAGGGTGACGACATCGGTTATCTTGCAGTCTTTGATACTTTTAAAGGCACGCAGTTCATGGATCGCAAAGAATATAAAAATAAAATTGCACACGTGCAGACTGATGGTTAAGTAAAACGGCACAGACTCTCCGAACTGCGTCAACTGGCCACCAACGGCCGAACCGGCAAAACGCAACAACATATGAATGGCGTCGACGATGGCCACGTTGGGAGAGCGGGTACGATCGTTGGTGTAGTCACCCATGTAACTAAAGACGGCAACATTGACCAGCACCATTCCACCCGTGGCTGACTAAAGATCACATCGGAAAAAATGCAGTTAAGATATCTACCGTTACTGTGCTTTAGTGTTAACGCAGATAACTGGTGCATTTTAAATAACCATTAAAACGTAATTTTAAAATTCGCAGTAAAACAATTCTTCTGAAAAATACAACACCACAAAATAAAATTATTTGTGCAAAAAATCAATTTACTAATTTTTTACTTAGCGATCGAAGAGCATTCAACTACAATATTATACAGTATTTAAAAATTATTGGTATAAAATTGACTTTTTATTTCATTAAACACGGTAACATCACAAAGTTTGGTTACAATATCAAAGCGCTGATGAGTTATCGTGATAATTATTTATTATACCGTGATAAAGGGGGTTAGCATAAGGTAATACGGAGAAATGCGGATGAAAGTGTTAATCAAACTAAATCCATGCGCGATCACCAATCCAGCAAACGGTACCAGCATAGGTAATTTTCGACCATATTCATCGCTCCAGGAACCTGTTGAATCGGCTCTTCTTAATCCTTAATGGAAATTACGTTGCACATGTATCCTATCTGACGGTGCAGATTGTCTCGTTTACATACGGTAACTTCACAACTTACCCAAGAACAGTGAGAAGAACATGGCAGGAAGGCTGTCCACCAGTGTCTGGTACATCTGGATTTGGGAGGTCACCCGTTGCACGGCCTTCGCCTCCTTGGTATAGTTATTGAGATTCTCACAGATCTCGTCGGTGTAATTCAGCGCTACTTGGCACGTCTGCAACGAACAACCATGTAATTAATTCATATTTAAAAAATGGCGACTACAGAAACGTGTACATAATATTCACGTAACACGTGACGCTATGTGAGAAATGTTACTGTACTTACCGGTATACTGGATAGTTTGCAATCAAATTATTATCAAGATGTACAAAGAATACATGTAAGTACTTATAAAAATCTGGAGTAAACGAATTTATATCATACTGGGTATTAAGGGTATTACGAGAGCTCGAAAATCTTAAGCTATTTCGGGATTTATTTTTAATAAACCATAAGAGTACTTAATAAATAATGCGCTTAATAAATTATGCGCTAAACAATACCAATAAATTAGTACTTAATAAATTATGCGCTAGTAAATTAATCTGCGTTAGCAGATAATTGTAAAAAACTGCATTTATTGTGTCCACTTTTATTGAATTGTTTTCGTTGCAAATTGTAAATAAGCATAGCTAGAGTAGGTGCTCTTTGATTCAGCTTGAGTTGAGCTCAAATAATTTACGTACATTGTGCTTATAGCATGTTCACAGTGCTTATAGCATGCTCACATCAACTCAACGAACCCGAGTTTTGATGAGCTCCGTTAAAACCGGCTGCACCGTGCCCATGGCCAATCCATAGAAAGCCATCAACGGGACCATCCGCAGTGCGGTGTAGTAAGTGGGCAGCGCATCGACATTGATCTCATCCGCCACATCCGCCGCCAGCAGATCCTCCTTAGACGGCGTGTACTTCATGGAGCTGCGTCGCCGCACCGCATCCGGTGCCGGTTTCTTGTCCATATCGAAAGTGAGAGCACCCATTATGCAGTAATTAGCTAAGTAATTTAACAAACGTTATGTTAATAAATTATGGCATTTTTGATCGAATGATTTCTCAAAAAAGCGGTTTGGAAACGTTGGCGCGTGCCGGTCGGTAAAACGATCGAAAACGCCGGTACTGATCACAAAAAGCAGTACTGTAGACCTACAGTATTACCGGTGTTCCGCTCGTGATGCGGTCTAAGCCAAATGAAACTTTATCCGCTGTCTTTGCAGAAATATATCGTCCATGTCCCATAGAAATATTTTCTTTTTCGATACCGGACGTAGTTTGGGTTAAATATAAGTGTCAGCATCTAAGCAGCTTAGGCACAATGTATGCATTATTAGCATTAGACACGATGCGGAGCGGTAACGAGACAGATGGTCACGGGTGCAATTCACGTCCCCTGTTTATGAAGTTTCGCTTATGATCCTGCATAAAGCAGGTAGTTTTGGTGCTTAACCTTGATTTGCACAACAGCGTGCGCGGTGCCGATGGTATTACATGCTTATGCAGTCTAGAAAGCACAAGAAACACGTTGGTACCGTAGTGAATATAGTATACTTTATCTGCAAATCGCTGAGGTATACCGTATACGCCTTTCTGAAATGATGAAAAATTCAGAGCAACATATCCAGCTCATTTATATAAATGTCCTACTCTAGTTGAGAAATTTTGCACCGATGCGCACCCATCTTGCAAGAAATAGGATCACTGTGCGCCCGTTAGCAACTCTGCAGTTTACGTCACTGTTTCCAGTGCTCAAAGGGCAAAGGCACGCCCGTTTCATAAACAGGTCCACTATAAGGGTTAACGCAGAAATCTCGTACAATAACCAGTCGTGCAGATTATAGTGTGATGGCTGCGCTGGCGTTCTATAACAAAAATGCACTGGCATTGCCGAAGTTCGAGTGCGTAGCCTTTCTTGTTTAACAACAGTATCGCTTCACATTTCAGTAATAACAGTTAGATCTAAAAACTTTAGCTAATAAAATCTGCAGTAGTACTGCAATTGCAGCATAATACAGGACGTACAGTAACTACTTATATGGCAATACAATACGTTGTTTGAAAATCATTTTGTGATTTCCCAAACAGTGTGGCGCAGCGCGTTGTATGTAGTATTTCATGTGGCTCGTGACTCGAGTCATCCCTTTTGGGATTTCACGGTTATAGTGGTTACTTCTTTGTGACATGAGCTTGGGTTTCCGGCAATACGTATTGCCGGAAATCCATAATCGCATGCCAATAGTTGTATTCTGTGTATAATGCATTGTGCATACTATAGTAGCCGAACAAAAGAGGTCGGTTGTGAAGAAATGCATTTCATTGGTGTTAGCTGAATCAGAAAATAGCAGAATGCGATACTTGTATGAATTCTGAAATTCTGACACTTTTCTAGACTTCTGAGTATGTCGGAAGTCATCCATGCACTTCGTCTTGCTCGTGCCCTTGCTATTTTTTCCATGATGACTTTTCAGCTGATCAAAAATGGGGGTACACTTTGACGATCGTGCGTGTGGCGTGCCGGCACCTGGTGCCAGTATTGATCAACATGTTCGTATGTAGTATGATTTTTCTGCAGTTCACTAATTAATGGTAAGTTCACTTAGTCTCCCTTCACAGGCGGTCACCGACAAACCATCAAGCCTCCTTTTATCGGGGCAACAAGAAGTTGCCTTTGCAATGCTGTATCATCTCGCACAAAGTTAGAGTGAGTTCTGTATTGCAACCCTTCATAAGCACCTACGTCACTACGTGTTACTGTTGTGATATAACCCTTAATGTACTACGTCTACCACCGTAACGTACACTAAGGGAAAAAGCTTAACTTTTATTCCACATCATGACAGCTGCACTCCCGACAACTGTGCCGCCTTCCCACAGTTGCATCAACTTATATACCACATCATATGCTCATATTCGCACCCAGCCACAAAGCTAGAAAAACACATGCACCAATCCCATCACTGTGTTTCACATTAACCACATCTGCAGGCCACATTCATCCTGCCTCCTCATTATTCCCACTTGACCAGCAGTCAGCGATCTTACAGAGATAAGGAACGATACGGTAAAGATATAAATATCTGCACACACATATGGTCATAATTAATACTCGTACTAACGAGCACGCAGACCATGCACATTGGCAATTAATCAAACCACGATAGCCGCCGTCCACTTGTCAACACCACGGCCGTAACATTACCCTCCGCTTAGATTCTTCGTCCCGAAGAATAGGTCAGCTGATCTGAATGCACCATCAAGATCACGGCCATCCGGAGAACGATATTGCGCTGATCCTTAATTAACTGCACGGAATCCAATTAAATAATGGGCACATTAGCCAACCCGACTACACTGCCTCGATTATTAACCTATTATTGTTCTGTGCACACATCTTCCTCCACCGCTTTTAATTCACCTGCGGCTTATTGTTCGTGCATTGGGCCATCAAATGTCCAACGCCACCACACTTATAGCACGACCTCGCACCGCGTTGTGCTAACCTTCCGTAAACTTTGAACCCCGTTTTCCGTTGTCCTTTGTCCTGCCACCCGGCTCATCCCGGCCGCCGGCATTATACACAGTGCTGCCCGCACCGGCGCCGCCACTGTGCACAACGCTGTTGTCCTCAACCGCGTCGTCGCTGCATGCACTAGCACTATCGTCATCACCCGCATCACCGACCTGTCGCTCCCGCGCATATCAGTACTGTCTTCATCCTCTTGACGATCATCCCGCTGCCCGTAATATTTGCGGTGGTGCTCATGTTCTTCCCATTCTTCTTCATCAGACGCCACCGGCCCAGTGACGTACTTATTCTCCTTACGCTTACTGCGCTTCACAGCAGTTTGTGCAAGCACCAAATCAGCGTAAAACTCCGTAGGCGTAGTCGCTTGAGAAAGCACCACATAACCGTAGTACGATTCAAGTAATCCATCTTTCAAATGTTCGATAACATCCGCATCGTCCATTTTCGGATTAGCAAGGTAACATTTCGAAACTTTCTCGTTGAAATACGTACTTACGTCCTCATCCGGCAATTGTTTCCGGCGTCGCATCTCACGCTTGTAACGCTGAATCATGTCCTTAGGACGAAATCGGGCAATTAATGCCGTTTTAAATGCCGCCCAGTCAGCCCATGGAATCCTCGCTCCGTCACTGGTCTCCCTATCATACCAGTTGGCTGCAAATGCACGCAGGTATATCGGCGCCTGCTTCAGCAAGACAGCATCCGTCCACTCAAGTGCATTACCTATGCGCTGAAATTGCCGGCACCATTCCTCCACCACTTCTTTAGCTTCCCCGCTAAACAACGGTGGCTTGGTGTCACTGGCCAATTTCAGATCAGTAAACTCCTTCGCTAACTGGCGAGAGTTTACATTCACGGTATATTTCACACCGGCTGCTCCCACAGCGGTAACATTATCCTTGTCGCCCATTCTATTGTCGGAGGTATATGCCTAATATTCCAACAATTTTAAACCCCACGGCTCACCGTTTCCAAGCGGTGACCACTTCCTATATTGTCGGATATTATCCCAATATCTCAACAATATCCAAAACACGGTTCACGTTTCCACAGGTATGGCCTGTTCTTATGTTGTCGGATATTATCCCAATATCCCAACAATGTCCAACAGCACGGCTACCCGTTCCCACAGCGCTGATTTTCTCCTTCCGCTATATTGTTAGATATTTCCCAATATCTCAACAATATCCAGCAACTCGGCCCACCGTTCCCACAACGGTGACCTCCTTCTCCTCCAGTTATATTGTCAGATATTATCCCAATATACCAACAATATTAAACTCCACGGCTCACCGTTTCCCCAACGATGACCTTTTCCCCCTCACCCGTTATATTGTCGGATATTATCCCAATATTCCAACAATATAGCACGGTTTCGGCACCAATGATATAACCCTTAATGTACTACGTCTACCACCGTAACGTACACTAAGGGAAAAAGCTTAAACTTTATTCCACATCATGACAGCTGCACTCCGACAACTGTGCCGCCTTCCCACAGTTGCATCAACTTATATACCACATCATATGCTCATATTCGCACCAGCCACAAAGCTAGAAAAACACATGCACCAATCCCATCACTGTGTTTCATTAACCACATCTGCAGGCCACATTCATCCTGCCTCCTCATTATTCCACTTGACCAGCAGTCAGCGATCTTACAGAGATAAGGAACGATACGGTAAAGATATAAATATCTGCACACACATATGGTCATAATTAATACTCGTACTAACGAGCACGCAGACCATGCACATTGGCAATTAATCAAACCACGATAGCCGCCGTCCACTTGTCAACACCACGGCCGTAACAGTTGTTATCTGCGTTTGCAAAAATTCAGCCCTCGCAGTCAGTAGTTTTGAACTGTGATAAGCCGCCTCCAAACCAATCCGAACAAATGTTCGAAAAATGCACAAAGCCACGAGCGACTGCCAACTGGCCTCCCACAAACCTGAAAAGTTACGAGCCCAACCACCCCTTTCAGATCAACAGGTCTCCGATACAAGTAAGCTATGAAGGCTCTGTGTTCGCCAGCGATAACACGGCGCAAGGCACTTCCGCAACCCGTTATAGTTAACTGGAGGATTACATACGACACAGTACAAAGGCTGTGCAAAACCTTAGCGAGAGGCAGCTACTTGCTTAATTCAGACGTGTTCGATTATCGTTCGATCAAAATTAATATTTTCGGAAAACCCGTCAGTAGAAATTTGTTCCCAAGAATAGCAACAGTCTAAATAAAGTCTTCCTTCGTTTAGTCGTCTTGCAGTAATTGGTTTCTGATTTAATACCACATTTGCCTGTCCTTGTTTGCACTTGCTTTACCAATGGTTCTATTTTTAATGAGTAAGTTGCGAGTAGGTAGTTATAGTGTTCTGGAGTACAGGTAGTCCGTATAGATATACACTACTGTTCTGGGTGCGCTCTCCTTCTGCAGGTAGGGTGCTAAATTCTCTGGTACTGCTGCTGCTTGGTGTGGATGTAAACTCTTCGCTTTTTTCGCAGCAACATGGGTATAATGGGAACACCGCGGTATTTTCGCGAGTTGTGGTCGGGTGCGCGGGAAATCAACTACGGCAACACGGTGCTGGTAAATCGTGCGGACGGCCAGTGGTGGTTGGGGTACGTCCAGGATGTTAATGGAGAACACTTCTTCGTCGACTTCGATGCCAGCACAGTGCAGGCCGAATGGATTCACTCCAGCCATCTATGGCCGCATCATTTCCCGTTTGTTGCTTTTTTGGACCATTATGTCGACCGCTGCCTAAATGTGGCACTGCGGGACAAGTACGGTGGACCGATGATTTTCCGTCCCGCCACCGTTATTATGGAGTGGGATGTCCACTTCTTAGCTGTACGCCTGGATGAGAACAATCCTGTTAAGAAAGCTAGGAAGTCTATGGCCTGTCGCTTCGTGCATCGCGGCCAGTTTGCGGAACGCCTACCCGTGCCCGGTGATGGGCAGAACTTTTTTGCACGCACTGACGGTTTGACGTTCGTCAAACACGTCATCGCCTTACCCGCAGCGGGCGCTCTGAACAACGTGGACAGCATGCCGGCATTCGTCGGCCCGACATGCCAGTTCACTCTGGGCCAGGGTGACCGGGAGGACATGACTGGTGAATCGCGGTTCGTTATTTTCGGGAATTCTACGGATTTTTACTCCGTTGGGTCGCCTCTTGGGGTGCCAGCTGGAGACAAAGAGGCCGGATATGGGGTGTACGTGGGTTGTCGTGTGTTTGTGCGCGTAGGACTGGACACTCTGACTTTTGTTTGTGTGGAAATCCACAATGACACAGCCGGGCGCCGAATGTCCTGGAATGAGGATGCCTTGAAGGAAGCCTGCAGCAGGTACCTTCAACACTATGCAGCGAATATCGTCGAATCATTTCCAGGAGCGTTGAACGATGGTCATTATGCAGGTAGGTTACATGCGTGTCGGAATTGATTTGGGTAGCGAATTAACAGGGCATGAAATTATAATACGTATAGCATATAACATATAGCATAAAACGTGTAACATATTGAAACGGTAGTAATTGTGTGACTGATAAGAGCACACAGTTATCATTCAATATTTCATCGGGTTATGGACTTCCGTCGATTTTACCGACTAGCTGTCCTTTTCTAACATTTCTAGAATTCAGTCTTACACTCGCTTGCTACCGCTTGTACCTTCTTGCCTGATTTCTTGCACCAAAAAAACCTTGCTCCGTTTCTTTGGAAGCCTTGTCATTAAACTTGGCGTAATTTACGTTGTTGCGTTTGCCCGAACATGTGTCAATCTAAATTTCTCATCGGAGGAGTCACCTGAGTAATTGTGTTAACTCAGTCAAGAGCGTCCTCGGCGGTACCGTTGCCCGGCAACGGTCCGGCCGCTCCAATTTTCATCCCAACAGCCGCATGCTAGTTGTTAAAGGCTGATCGCCGCCCCTAGAGTAGCAGTCAGATAGGCTGTTGAGCCTGTTGTTACAATGGAGCGAAATCGACAGTTTATGGAAATCGATGACCACCACAACTGCAAATACTCGCTGTGCATTCAGAATGCACAGTGAGTATTTGCCGTTGTGGACCTGTGGTGGTCATCACACGCTATCGCAATCACGCGATTTCATGTTTTTATACCGAAGAATTGTGGCCGTGATAATGTGATTTGATGAAGTGGTGGGATTGGGAAGGGATTGCCCCTAAAATAGGTGTTTAAACGTAAAAATTTATATTGCTTCCGCTATGCCGCTTACTTTAAACTTTTCTTCTTCCAAACTCTTCCTCCTTTCTAAATCAAGCCAACGCTGCAGAATGGGAAATTTACTCTGTAGAAGCGTGGATTTGAGTATTCTGTTACCGTACGCTACACCGCTTCAACCACAGTCCATTCGATTTTCTTGTTTAAAAATTTCTTACGTGTGACTTGTTACGTTATAAACTCCACTAACGTTATGTGCTGCCCCTGGCACTGTACGTAGCTAAGTTTAACGTAGAAATTCCGACATGGATTTTATGACTTTATTTACGAAACACAATTCAAGTGACTGCTAGATGACTTCCAGTGGACTAAACCAGAGTGGACCATCTAGCATCTGCAAGCTTGGCGCTTATATAGCCACATTCGGGTAAACATCCACATTAAGAAACTTCTGGAAACTTTCAAAGCCTTAGATCACTCAATAACAACATTAACACGACATAACAAGAGATGCAGAGAAGACGGGAAATCTGTCAGTTCAGGTCTTATCAACATATGCCCAAATATAGAATTAAATGATATTCTCTCAGTTCTCTTTGTGGCTAACGATCTTGTTTACGCCAGGCTGTATCTTAAAATAGCTCACACGGGGCTGTGTGGCTGGTAACAGACTCTTGTTTTCAAAAAATGACGATGCGCATTTCATATTTGAATGCTTAAGGTACTCGGCTAAAATTGTCTATATGTTCTCTTCGTTCCACCAATCTAGATCTCATCACCTCGCGCTCATCACCTCACGTTGATGAGACTGTGATTTGAAGTGAAAATCACAGTCTCATCATTTTCACTTCAAAAATCTGGGTGGGATGACCCTACTTGCAGTACTATTGTTTCGGATGTTTTCCATGAATACTGTAAACCATAAAATTAGTACGAGTTAATTGTATCTGTACATTTGAATTTTTTTTATTTCCAACTTAACTGTAACCTGTTTGTCCACACTCCACAGTATTTAAATTACTCCGTTATTTTATTCATATGATATTATGTGCATCAAAAACCACCTTTCTCAAAGGCTCCTTCGATGACAATACCATTAATGTGAACGAAATATCCATTAATGGACTGCCATCTCCGATTTTGGAGTGTCTTTTGGGGGATGTGGATGCAGAGAGCCAGCAACGCTTCTCCAGGCAAGTTCACGTTCGTCCTTCTTTCCATCTGACAAAGACGGCTGTTCTTTATAGATCAGAAAGCGTTCTACAGAACTGCTGTATGCGGTAGCGTACAGCTGTGGTTGTGTTTCATTTTGTTTACTGCTTTGACCAGAGTCTGCGCGTTGTGGAGGGAGATTGTGGGAAAATACACGGACAAGCGGCTGGTCATCCTGGATATGATGGAGATGTGGCCGAAGAAGCCGTATATTCAGGAATTTTCCATTGAATCCGACTGCCATAAATACAAGCTCTTGGCCACGGTGGACCGCGCCATTAGCCAGGACATTACAACGCTAGTGATTATTGACGACGGCCAGAACAATTCACCTTTTCGCGAACTGCAGGAAATAATGTACGCTGCCAGTACTGTACTGGCTGCCAAGGGAATTCGTGTGTGCAGAATCATAGTAAAGAACGGCTATGATGTGGCTGCGTATCCAATGCAACCGGTAGTGTTCGTCACAATCCGGCAAGAAATGCTCGAAATGAACCAGGCGACGTGGGACGAGGTGATGAGCGTGTGTGACGAGCTGGTTTTGATCAACTACATGGCTTCGCAAGCGATCACCGAATCCGCAAACCAGCTGCTGTACGAATGCACCGGTGGGGACCGACCGGTCCCGGAGATGCTGCGGCCTGAGCGCAAACGGTCATTTGTCGACTTGGGTGTGACCATTCCGGTTCTCCGGTTTCGCAGCGGGTAGGGTTGCCAAATACTTGGCGAAGTCGAGTGTCTAATTAATAACTTGAGGCTTTGAGTTAATCGAATAAAACCTGGGAGAAAAGTCACGTCAATAATTTGAACTTATTCTTTCCAGCCAAGTCGATGGTGTCGACTTGGTGTTTGAAAGTAAGATTCTACTATCGCTTTCGGCTCGCCATGACGTCGACTTCAGGTTTTAATACAGTAATTCGACTTGAGCACTCGACTCAGGTAAAACAAATTAATAAGATCAGATGTCTAGGTAATTCAGAAACTTTGACTTTTGGTAAACCGAGTTAAAGGGCAAGTCCAGTTAGGGTTGAAATTCACGAGGCTTAGACCCGTTTGTGAAAAGAAGTGAAATGAAAGTGAAATGAAGTGAAATGAAATGAAACGTGAAATAAAAAATTAATTTTAAACTGATTATTTTGGCATTTTTTTAGAGCTGGAAAACAGCCGAAAGCAGTTAAAACATTAATATTGCAACTGTACAGTACTAGTAAAAGTTCAAATTTCAAAAAAATTCGTTGTAAGTGGATTGCTAAATTTATTATTCAGTACAGACCAAACAGTAAGCGCCAAAAGATTTTGCAACTTGCTTTTATTTGTAGTACAAAATAAGATAAAACTGTTTAAAACTAAAATATGAGCAGAAGTTTGAAAATGGTAATCGGTATACGCTCTTATAAGAACAAGGCGTACAGTAAAAGTGTTCATTTCTCAGTTCTGTTCAAGAAAACAGCGCAGTAGCGTACGGAAATCTTATTGCGTTTTGGCTACCTATGAATTGAGATCTCGGAATTCTGAAACTACCTGCAATAAAAGCGTACGAGAAACGTTTTCTTCTCTTCCAGTTGCAAGATTAATGCTTACGCGCAGTGCTGCCTAATGCAGGGAATCCAATTAGAAGCGGTTACACAAAACATTCAACGGAGTGAACATTTTCATTGCAAGAAATATTGTGAATCGCTCTAATTTCGTCCGCTTTTAATGCATTTCAAGCGATTTCACCATTTCACGCATTTCACGTTTCATTTCATTTCACTTTCACATTTCACACGAGGGTCCGCGTGATTGTGAAATGAAAGTGAAATGAAAAGTGAAATGTGAAACGGTGAAAGCGTGATTTCAACGTGAATAAGCAACTGGACTGTCCAGTTGCTTATTCACGTTTATAGCATCCCTAGCTGCCGGGAGGAAGCTGCTGAAGAATGCCGCCGCTTCTTAGTCGCCGCCAACGACAGCTGTCCGGCCGTTAGTCAGCATGTCCTGCAAAAGGTCACCGCACTGCACGCTCGATGGGTGGAGACGCTGGAATACCACGAATGGAACGGTATTCGCAAGTTTCTGACATTGTAAGCAGTACCAATTAGAGAAATTAATTTTATTGTGCTGTGGTAAAATATGATATGTTTGGGCTCAGAGAAAAATTGACAGTTTTTGGTGTAAATCAGGCTGAACAGTCTTCGTCCAACCGATACTCCTCGGCCATGGGAGACCATGGATCTGCGCCAACTGGACGTTTCTACTTTGAACAATTTGACGTTCGCAGCCCTGCACGGGTGCTACAAAGACGAGGGCGATGAAGACGATGAAGAGGACGACACCGAAGACGACGACGAAGATGACGGCGAAGATGACTACGAAGAGAACGCCGCAGTCGAGTAGCGTCAGGGTGCCTTCATTACCGTTCATTTGTTGTATTTTATTTGTTTTCTTGTTGAAGAGGAGTCTGAGGAGATGGTGTACTGATCGTGTTCTCTTCTTGCGAACCTTTGTAAACGTTGCACCAGTACTTGCTGGGTTTTTGCATTTATTCCGGTCACAGTTTGGTTTCATAGCCCATGTGTTGAACTGGTCATGAACAATCCTACATGGGTGTCCTTTAGTTGACTAAAAATTTCTAATGAAATCGGCTTGTAGTAAGCGGGTTGATTGAGTCGGAACCTTTGACTGCTCTTAGCCAAAAGTATCCCAGCTACTCATTGTACGCGGCAGTGAAAATATACAGACGCGTTTCGCTGTATGTTTTGATTTACGTTTTGCTGAATGGTCTACAAGTACGAGTATTACTGCAGCTGTGTAAGTACTCTGTAAAAGTGTAAAACATCCCTTCTCTTTTAAGGCGAATTTGCCGATAGCCGACAGGCTGCATGCTGTGGACAAAGCCTGCAGGCCGAGTTTCGCAACACGCATACTAACCTAATGTCCTAACAATATTAGTCTGATGTCATTACGACTATCTGCTGCGCTAATAACGGTTGTGCCGGTATCACTGGCCGTCTTGGCTTGACGGCGCTGCACCAGATAAAAGTTAAGACGCAAAAGACAAGATAGACAAAGACAACGGGCGAGGTCATGCATGCACCCAGGACTCGCGAATGCTGCTCACTCGCGAATGCTGCTCACTCGCGAATGCTGCTCTGAGCTGGTTGACCGAGTTGCTGTGTGAAATCCACCCTACACAGCGGTGACCTTTTAAATCTGGCGTTCTCTTCTTGAGAACTGCCGTACTCCATCTACCAGAATTACGGAACCTTTATCTTAGTCACTAGCATCATCATCGGATTGTGTTTTACCATGACTACTTCCACACACAGTCAATCCCGTCCAATCCGGCAGGAAGATCGGCTAACGCAACATCTGCATGACGTGGTATTCGGTACCGTAAGAATCGATTTAAATAATATTATTTCTGCGAATACTCCTCGTATGAAAATTTTACCGCCGAAATGGCATAAGTTACATCAGTCCGCACCGGTTCGCTTTCACTCTTTCCTGGGAGATTTTTGTAATCAACTTATTTCTGCTTGTGATCTGGGCTTGTGGGCAGCGCATGAAATTATGGAATTATTTTCATGGGGGCTAGCGGAATATGCTCTGACTGTATTACATTGCGAACAATCGACCGGAAAATTTTTCAGTAAGAATTCGAAATATGCAGTACCGGCTGAATTAATCAAGGAAAGGCATCTTGTTTCTACCGAGATTAACAAACTTAAAAGAAAAAAGCGAAGAATGAAAGTGGTTGATCGTGATTTTTCCCTCTCTTATGCAGACCGGTTGCACCATTTGAAATTAATTAGAAAAACTCTTTCCGCGAAAATTTCACAGCTGCGCTTTAATGCCGAGCGCCGCGAAAATGATAGCTGGTTCACAAAACGTATGTGGAATTTTATTGAAGTTAAAATAAAATCTTCTTCTTCGGCCCCTTCTAATGCTATGAAAATGACAGACATCGAGAATTATTTTGAAAATATCTGTAATCCTCAGAATCTCTCTCTTCTTGATTTTGCATGGATAAATAAATTAAAATGTAAACCGTGCAACACCGGCTTTATTAATTATGATGTTCTGCCTAGCGATATAAAATCTATATTTTCTCGTAAGGACGGTTCAGCAGGTTCCGGGTTGGATGGCATTAATTATTCTTTTCTTAAGCCGTACCCGGATGTTCATAAATTTCTGGCTAATATGTTTAACAGACTCTTGACATCTGGTACAACGTGTAGTTCGTGGAAAGTGGGGAAGACAGTTCTTTTGTATAAGAAGGGAGAATATAATATGCCTGGCAACTATCGACCTATAACTTTGACCAGTTGCATTGGGAAAGTTTTTCACTCTGTTATTTCAAATCGGTTAATGACTTACTGCATTAAAAATAAATTGATTAACACGGATGTTCAAAAGGGGTTTATTGAAGCTACCAACGGATGTGGGGAGCATTCTATGAAACTGCTGAAATTAATTGAGCAACAAAGGGATAAAAGGCAGGCAATGCATGTGGCCTGGCTTGACATCGCTATCAGAAAGGAAGTCCTCTTGGCAGCTTTGCGTCGATATAACATTCCTGAGTACATTGTTAACTATATTGATAATTATTATACTGGGTTGTCAATAAAAATTAACTATAACGATAACTTTTCTAAAAATATCCCATTTAACGTAGGCCTGTTTCAAGGGGATACTATGAGCTGTGCGCTGTTCCTTGTAGTTTTCAATTGTATTCAGGAATTTTTAGAGGAAAATAAAAAGTGCGGGGTTGCGTTCGATGCCTTACCGGAAGAAAAAATTGTTGGCCATGCTTTTGCTGATGATTTGACTATTATTACGAATAACAAGTCGAGCATGAATCGGCTGCTTCGGGAAATTAGCGTCAAAATGAATTCAATTGGCCTTTATTTAAATGCTGAAAAGTGCCGATGCTTCTCACTTTCTAAAGGTATTTCATGTGAAACCGCGTTTAAAATTGACGGGCAAGATGTTACTAATATTTCAAAAGATCCCATGAAGTTCCTTGGGGTCCATATTTTTGAAAAGAACCAGTCAGCGTCTAGCGGTATCTTAATCAAGTCTGCGTTTAATTCTTTAATGGAAAAAGTCGACCGGCTTAATATACGTGCTACGTATAAAGTTCGTACCTATAATGACTATGTTGTTGCATGTATGCGCTTTGCCTTAACTATGCATGACCTTTCTCCCCCTACTGTGAACGAGCTCGAAGCTATTGCGAATAAATTTTTGAAAAAGTGGCTTAATTTACCGGGGTCTTCTAATTGTGATATTTTTTACATACCGGATGGAATTAACCTGAAATCGATAAAATCAGTTTACGTACAAGGGCATGCCACATTCATCACGGATGCACTTTCTTCGAACGATGTTGTTGTGGCGCAGGTAGCGAATGATTGCCTGAATACGGCATGTGCAAACGATACGGCGTAGTTGTGGACATCGTTCAAACTTCGGCTGCAACAGGTAGGGAGCGAGGAGCAAATAAAGCGGCTATTAGGAAGCTTGTTAACAAGAACGTTAAGCAGCACATGTCGACAGCGAAGGAAAACAGGCTAGATTCATTAGTGCAGCAGGGAGCTTGGCACGAAGTAACAAAAGCACAGATAGCTGATACTTCCTGGAAATATGTCTTGTATGATTGTCAGAAAAGGTTGTTACTTTTATGGTTGAAGCGGCACTTAATATCTCTCCCTCCTTTACTAATTTGTTTAAGTGGGGCAAAATTGTCTCAGCGAAGTGCGAATTATGTGGGGCTGACAAGGGAACTCTCTGTCACATTGTCAACTACTGCCCAATGTCTTTAAACAGCCACCGCTATACTTGGCGCCATAACAGTGTCTTGTCATCTATTTTCAATTTCCTGACCGGTGTGGCTGATAATAGTAAATGGGAGATTATAAGTGATTTACGCTCTGATAAATATGAAAACCATGTTAATACTGTTCCCGTTGATGTTCTACCTACCTCTCTCTGTCCTGATTTATGTTGTATTAACCGCGCCGAAAAGCGCATTGTGTTAGCAGAACTGACCATTCCCTTTGAAACCGTGAACGGATTTGCGAATGCTGAAGCCAGGAAGCACGCCCGGTATGCTTCCTTGGTCGCTGAGCTAACTAGTGCCGGCTGGCAGACCCACTACCACCATCTCGCTGTTGGATCAAGGGGAATGGTTGCCCGCACTGCTATGTCCAGCATTGAACGAATTGCCAATACCATCCGCCACAGTTCGAAAGTCTGCCAGACTAAATCACTATTTAAAAATCTGGCAATTATTGCGCTTAACTGTAGCTATATTATTTTTCTCAATAAGTCTAATAAGGACTGGGCTGTTCCAGGTCCGAATAACCTGTTCACGTCATGCGTTCGTTAGCCGTTATTTTACTCTTCCTTGCCGGTCGTCCTCAGCACGGCCGAAAATGATGCTGCTGATAACGACTCTCATGGTGTACGATGATTGTTGCTGTGACTTCGATGTTCTGTTACAATTTACCTTATTGCGATTGTGTATTTGTATCTGTAATGGACGGGCAGCCTCGGTTTAGACAGGTCGATAGTCTCTCGACAGTTAAATTTCCCCGTCTTTCCTTTTTTCCCGAAACTGCTTTGTTTATTTTAAAAGGAAACTTTCTTAAACAATTCCGATAACCTGTAAGTAGTTGTAGATAGGTAGCGGGTTTTTGGTCAGCCGGGGAGATTTCAAATCTCAGTGATTTGTACTGACGTGCATATCTAAAAAAAAAAACCTAAGAAGTTATAAGGTAAAATTTACAACAACTACTCGACCTGTCCACCGCGGCAAGTATAAGACTAATAGGAGCCCACCGTAGACTGATGTTGTCGTATGTGTCTATAGGGACAAAATCGCAATAAAGGTTGTATTTTTTTAGAAGCCCGGCCACCATTCGTTGGTGTTCGTGAAGATGTTGGTGAAGATAGTGATCCCGATGAAGGGCGCTATGGACATTAGCTACATCTTTGTCGACATCAACTTCCCAGTTTCATCGTGGTCGACCAGACAGTTCATCACCGGCTTGATGGTGATGAAGCCCAACATCCTGGCAAAAGAAACATCTTATTTACAATAATTCGATACGTACTAAGCCAATTATTTTTATTATTTTAAAAAAAATTCAGTTAAGTAGTGATATCGTTAATTAATAAGTATCACTACAGTAGACAGTAATTAAGTAATGATATACTGTATTTCTAATTTCTATCCCGTTTCTGTAATCGGTACTCTGTATACGGTAGCCGCCAAACTTATTTACCGAGAAAAATTTCCGGAAACATTCGCAGGTCTTCGAAAAAGAGAAACGTTGACGGCCAAAGTCCAAACCTTCGAAAGCACCTGAATAATACGCCGCAAGTGGCCATCGCATGATCGCATACTAGGAGGAAATCCACAACCGTAGCGAGGGGCAGTTACTTGCTTCACCGACTCATGTAGACAGTTTGGTGTGTTCAGCGCAGCCATGAAGGTGCAGTGCGCAGTTTTCCGTTTTTCCGAAATGCAATCGTCTTTCATCGTTTCATTTTATTGCTATCGATTCATTTCAGATTTATTGCTACGTTTTGCTTTCCCGGATGTTTGCAATTGATTTACTTAGTTAAAACAGTGAGCTGCGAGCAGTGTGCTAAAACGTCGTGGCACTGTAACAGACTAGCTGGTGTTGACTTTGACGTAGGACGGTATGAAACTGTAAACTCTGGTTTTCGGTTTTCTTCGCAGTACCGCGGGCATGATCGGGACACCGCGGTTTTTTCGCGAGTTGTGGACGGGTGCGCGGGAAACCAACTACGGTAACACGGTGCTGGTGCATCGCGACGACGGCCAATGGTGGTTGGGATACGTTCAGGACGTCGATGGCGAACTCTTCCTCGTCGACTTCGATGCCAGCACAGTGACGGCCGAATGGATTCATACCAACCGTCTGTGGCCGCATCATTTCCTGTCGGTTACGGATCTGGACCACTATATCGACTGCTCCCTGCAAGTAGCACTGCGGGACAGTTACCGTGGACCGATGATTTTCCGTCCCGCCACCGTCACTGCAGAATGGAATGCCGAGTTTTTGGCTGTACGCCTGGACGAGAACGACTCGTCCAAGAACACTACGGACTGTCGTTTCGTGCATCGCGGCCAGTTCGTGGAACACCTGCCCGTGCCCGGTGATGGGCAGAGTTTCTTCGGACGCACGGATGGTCTGACGTTCGTCAAACACGTCATCGACTTCCCGGCAGCAAACGCCCTGCGCAACGTAGACAGTCTGTCAGCGTACGTGGGCCCGGCATGCCAGTTCACGCTGGCCAAGGGTGATCGTCTGTTCGGTAGATCGAGGATCGCTGTGTACGGGGGTTCCCGTTCCACGTGCTTCTACTCCGTGGGTCCGCGTTTGGGGGTGCCAGCTGGAGAAATAGAGGCCCGATACGGGGTGTACGTAGGGTGCCGTGTGTTTGTGCGCGTCGGAATCGACACGGTGACTTTTGTGTGCGTGGAAGTCCACAATGAGGCAGCCGGGCGCCGAATGTCCTGGAATGGGGATGCTTTGAAAAAAGCTTGCAACAATTACCTCCGTCTGCATTCAGTGAACAGTATCGACGCTTTTCCAGGAGCTTTAGATAATGGTCAGTATTTGCATGTTAAAATCGGTTTTAGTGGCAAAATAGCAAGCTTGATATGTACTCGTATAAATTTTAGTATGTATAGCGAAGCAAATCAGCAGTGCATGAGTGCGCATTAAGTACGGGCACTTGCCGCACCCGCTTTATATTGTACATGTACAGTACTTACTTGTCCATACCAACATGTACATAAAAATCTAATACGAGTTCTGTTCTTGTTTTTATCCCTGTTTGAATTTCTTGTTTAATGTAAACTTGATTGTATTAAACCTGTTTGTACATCATTTTTACTCAGTTCGGTATTTTCCATGTACGGTAGAATTGGCCTCCTTCAAGGATTCCTGTGCTGACGACACGGCTGGTGTGGGCGACATGTCCATTAACGAACTTTCGCCACCGATATTGACGTGTCTTTTGGGTGATTTGGATACAGAGGGCCGGCAACGCACGTCCAGGCTAGTTCACCTTGATCTTTTTTACTACCTTGCTGCAACGGCAGTGCTTTTAATAAATTATAAATTATAAGCAAGCAATAGTATCCTTTGCTGTTTGAACCAGAGTCTGCGCGTTGTGGAGGGAGATTGTGCAAAAATACACGGACAAGCGTGTGGTCATCCTGGACATGGCCGAGATGTGGCCGAAAAAGCCATATACTCAAGAGTCCTTTATTGAATCCCACTACCGCGAGTATAAGCTGCTGGCCACGCTGGACCGCGTCGTTAGCAAGCACATTACAACGCTGGTGCTGATTGATGACGGCCAGCACAATCCACCTACCTTCGAACTCTATCTCAAAATGTCTGCAGCCGTAGCTGTTCTGCAAGCCAGGGGAATTCACGTGCGCAGATTCATTGTGAAAAACGGCTATGATGTGGCTGCGTGGCCAGATGACCCGTTATTTGCCGTCACAATCGATGATGGACAATACAAAATGAGGGTGAGTGACGTGATGAAGGATGTGGCAACCGTGTGTGACGAGCTGGTTCTCATCAACTACATGGCTTCGCGAGCGATCACCGAATCCGCAAAGCAGTTGCTGTTCGATTGTACCGACGGACACCCACCGACCCCGGAGATGCTGCGGCCCGACCGCAAACGGACCTTGGTCGATTTGGGTGTGGCCATTCCGATTCTCCGCTTTCGCCGCGGGGAGGCGGTCGAAGAGCAGTGCCGGCGCTTTTTAGCCGCCGCCAACGAGAGCTGTCCGGCTGTTAGTCAGCAGGTCCAGCAGAAGATCACCGCACTGTACGCCCGCTGGGTGGAGACGCTGGGAGACGCCGACTGGAGCGGCATTCGCAAATTTCTAACTTTGTAAGCAGCAGTAATACAGTAATTAACTGAATGCAGACTCCCGACCAAATCAGATCACGGAGTGCGTGAACGAGTAGGAGTATGGGAAACCAGCACCTGCACCGTGTGTGCTACTGGTATACGCACACGCAGGGCTGTGCGCACACCGGGTATCTTCCCTTTCACGCAGTCTGTGGTTTAACGTGGTTGGGCGGCTGCAGTTCTTCACTTAAAAAATGGATTATGGTGTGGGAAAACATCGTACGGTTGGCGTAGCGAAAAGCCAATAATTTTCTGTCTGTTAAATCAGGCTGGACAATCTTCATGTCACCGATACTCCTCGGCCATGGGAGACGATGAATTTACGCCAACTGGACGTTTCCGCTTTGAACAATCTGACCTTCGCAGCCCTGCACGGGTGCTACAAAGACGACGGCGACGAAGATGGCGACGAAGATGACGAAGAGGGTGACACCGAAGACGACGATGAAGATGACGATGATTACGAGGACGACGATGCAGTCGAATAGCCCTAGTAGTACGCCCCTGTGTTTGCATTGTCCGTTTACTGGTTTTCATATTCATCACGTACTGACGTTTTATTGACCTGCTATAGCAACGTGGCATCGGCCTCGTGTGGCGAATTTTGCCGGCAATAGTTGTGTATTTTGGTACACATTTAACAACATTGTTAAAATCGTGTGTTTGTACGAGCTTCGTCTGCGTTAAGTCGTACGGCCAGTCGGCCACTCCGCAAGAACAAACACTAAAGCGTCCTGATAGATCGACTTGTAGCTCTTTGTGGATGCTCTTCTTCGCTCCGTGCGCTTCTGGACACCTACCGTATTATGGAGCATCTCGAATCCTCCCTCCCTCCCAGCAAGAGTTGATCTTGTTTTATCTTTAAATCACTTTTAGGTCTTTGAAATTTTGTTCGCGTTCTTATCAACTTTGCAAACTGGACTTTACGAACTGAATTTCCGGCAAGCCGTACCCTACGATTCGGCTATACGCCGTTTTACACGTAAAAATAAATATCTGGTTACCGGTACTTGCAATTTATTCTATTATTAATTTTTGATATTTCCGATAAATAACTTTACGCAACCGGCAACACAAACCACATAATATGTTGCAGGTCCAATACTTGGCTGTGAACGCAATTCTTAGAACGGGTACTGTAACGCGAAATACAGAAACTTAATACATAAAGTTCTGCAAGTACTTTCCGCACTGTACTTCCGCTATACGAACAAGTACCATAGAGTAGTTACCCCAGGGCTGAGACACTCGGCTAAAAGCCGAATAGGCTAGAATATGGAGTAAACAAAAGTCTATGGAAATCGGCAGAAATGGGCGTATCCTGAAAGATTGCAGACTTATCGAGTGCAGAACTTCAGTGCATTTTTCGGTAACGCAGTACTGGAACTGCAGAGAAAAAACCAAATTTAATAGACAACCAAATCTCTCAAGTGAAAATCGAGTGGTTTAATAACAAGCCCTAACATTTCGAAAACAATATATGTCTAAACTACTGCAAAAATGCATTATTAGCAAACGTTAAATGTCAACAGGCTATGACTACGAGTATATTTATATCTAAATTTTAGTATTTTAATCAGTTTAATCACCATTTGCTAAAAATAAATGCAGCGGTGTTATATTATTGAATGTTGCTAACTTGTTATGCACTATGCTGTATGCAACGGTATCAATCGGAATGCAACGGTATATCTCGGACATAACCCATTGTTCGTAATGCATTCACTCTTTCAGGTCGGCATTCTGCCGATGTTTTAGCGAATTATATGGCTTTCGAGCAACGGAGCCTTGATCCATAGGAGCAAAGGCAGCCAGCGTGCGCTGTTTGGAGTAGCTTTAGCTTTTTACCGACTGTGGTTACGCGTAGTTTGCGGCAGTTAGCAAATCGTGCATTTTGCTAAGCGGTCAACATTCCACAAGTACCATACTGTAATTAAAACATAAAATGCATCCGTTCAATTAAATTTAATAAGGCGACATAATTGCAAACTAGCCGGAAAAGTCTAACCTGTGTTCCAGTTACATAAATGAACTATTATCCGTCATTTCAACATTTAATGGCGGCTTGTACCATACAATGTTCAGGGTATTGGTGGACGGCACCTTTCTGGTGCTAAAAGATGTGCGGCTGATTTTCCCTAAATACATGTACACCGAACGTTTGACCTAATAAGACTGTCTGCTGGCGATAAATTATGATTTTACTTTTGTGAATAAGGCAATAATTGTGTAATTACTGCGTGTTCGGCTTGCTTACTCGTACAACGCTTTTCGCGCGGCTAAATATTATTTTACCTTACTTTACGCCATAGGATCCCTTAAAAAATATTGCAGCAGATAATTTTTGCTGCCGGATTGGTCCATGTTTATAACAACATACACACACATGTTGAGTTGCATACTTAACTGCAACAATGTCATAATAATAGGTGCGCAGAGAAAACAGAGTATTTCGTACATAGCCAGAAAAGGCTGCGGTACTAACAGTTATAGGAAACTTTAAAAAAAGGGTTCGAACGAACAGCCGGTTGTGTTCATACTTTAGTCTTGATGTCATCAAGACTCTCTGCTGCGCTAACGGTTGTGCCGGTACTACTGGCCGACTTGGCTTGTCGGCGCTGCACCAGGTAAAAGGCAAGAAAGACAAAGACCACGGGCGAGGTCATGCACGCACCCAGGACGAAGCAGAAGCCCGGCCACCATTCGTTGGTGTGCGTGAAGATGTTGGTAAAGATGGTGACGCCGATAAATGGCGCGATAGACATCAGCGACATCTTCGTCGACATCAGCTTCCCGATTTCATCGCGATCCACCAGAGCGATCGTCACCGACTTGATGGAGACGAAGCCCAACATCCTGCAACGAAAAATTTATTAGCTTAATATTCTTTATATATTTTATTACCTATTTGAGAAAAACGCTTTGATCTTTCTTTGTCGTTTATAGACACAAGCAACATTAACTTACTTGAGTACTCCAACTCCGGCAGCAACGTAAATCAGCGTACTACTGGTTGCAAGACCGTAGAACAATAAATGCATCACCGCCGACAGTGACGCAATCGCTCCAATCATCGTGTCGGAAATGGTGAAGAAGCGGCGCAGTACTATGTTGACCAGCACCATGATCACGCCCTCTATCACTCCGTTAATGGCATTGTACAGGGTATAATGCTGCAGCGTCCAGTTGAATGGATCGAATTCCAAATACAGCTGCGTGATTGACATGTCACCTGTAATATAACCACACGTGACCGAAACTGAAAAATTTGCCAGCTCATACACAAAGCTCACCAATGACACAAATAGCTGATATGATAATGCATCCAATGATCAGCAAGAGAAACAACCGATTATGTCCCGGCCGTCTTTTACTCAGTGTCCTCCAGTTGTCCTTCACGCGTTCAAAGGTAATGACGTCGCTCATCTTGCATTCCTTGATGTTTCTAAAAGTGCGCTTCTCGTGGATTACGAAGAAGACGTATAAGAACGAGCACACGTGCAGACTGATGGCGAGATAGAAGGGCACGGATTCGCCGAAGCGCATCAACTGGCCGCCAATGGCCGAGCCGGCAAAGCGGACTAGGAAATGGGCGGCATCCACGATGGCTAGATTGGGCGAACGGGTGCGGTCGTTGGTGTAGTCTCCGACGAAGCTGAAGACCGCGACATTGACCAGAATCATTCCACCGGTGGCAGCCTAAAGGTCATACATAATTCTCAAGCCATAGTTCGCTGGAAGGCTTGCATGTACTGTTGGTCACGCTGTCAATAATTATAATAGCTTTTAATTTTCTTATTTTTCTTATTAACAACCAAGCCGTTTTGTGCATGTAGTATATTAAAAAATTTGAGATATGGCACTCTTATTGCGTTACAAAACATTAATATTCAGGCAAAAATTGTGTTTATGCGTTAAAATATACTTAATTATAATAGCTATAAATAATTACTACGAACTCGCTTTGTATTAATTTAGTAAAGCTGAACTTTTTCAACAAAAACAAAACTGTCAGAAAAACCGTTTGGGAAAAACCGTTTGCTTACCGTAATGAATGGGGTTAACATGAGGAAGTACGGCGATATGCGGACATAAGTGTTAACTAATGTGAATCCATGCGCAATGATTAGTCCAACAAAAGGGAGCATCATGGGCAGTTTTCGCCCATATTCGTCGCTCCAGGAACCTGTTGTTAACATTTGTTAACTTATGGCTGTAGTGGTACCATTTGATTTGGCTGAACGCTGTCCCTCGCGTTTCTTGACTGTGCTGTTAAGTTCAACAATCTAGTAGAACTGACCCAAAAATAGTGAGAAAAACATGGCAGGAAGGCTGTCGATCAGCGTCTCGTACATCTTGATCTGGGATGTTACCCGCTGGACGGCTTTCGCTTCCCGTGTATGATTATTAATATGATCACAGATTTCATCGGTAAAATTCAATTCCACCTGGCAGGTCTGTAATTAGAACCAATCGCTATAACCGGAAGTTGTTTACCAGTTACCAGCATAATTTTAAAAGTTCACGTATAATGTTTTTCGAACCAGATAAGCGTTACGTTAATATTTGCACTTCTTGAATTATATTTTTATTGAGCACCGAAACCACAGTTGTCTTGACAAATTTCCCGCGCATACCCTGATTTTAATGAGCTCCGTCAGCACCGGTTGCACCGTCCCGGTGGCCAACCCAACGCACAGCATAATGGGCACCATCCGAATGGCCGTATAATACGTGGGCAATGCATCGACACTGATCTCATTATCCACCGCCAGCAGATCCTCCTTGGAGGGCGTGTACTTGAAGGAGCTCCGCCGCCGTGCCGTACCCGACTCGGGCTTGTTGTCCATATCGAAGGTAAGGGCACCCATTGTGCAAATTATATACGAGCACTACGTATTATTCAAACAACCCGTGGATAACGCAGTCCTGCTGCGGGATAGGTCTATATTAATCAGGGCATTTTGCGTCCACTGATAGTATTGTGGAAGGAGCTGGGATAAATCGATTAATGCGCCAGATAAAACAAACTCCACGGCAGCTTGGTCAGCGGCATTATGAAGTGGCGCGCGCACTGGGGCTCGGTTTACCGACACGTGATGGTATCAGGTAAAACTGCATCCGCTGTATTTACATAACGGCTGCGTCAATGGTAATATAAAACATTTTCTGTATATTCTCCGTTGCCGGTAATAGCAGATGGTAAATGGCTGCCAGTGTGTGTATAGAAGCTGGCAAGTACAATAGAGAAAATTATTATCATTCGGCATAATGCGGAGCGCTGCAGCGAGACGGATGGTTTCCGCTAAATACATGACACCCCTATCCGTGTTGTTCCGCATATGATTGTGTAAAAACTAGGTAGTGCTGGTATTCCGACAAACGTTTCCATTCAGGTGTACGGAGTGGAAATAACATGATGCGGCAGTTTCTTCGTAGTATTTAAGTATGGTGGGTCTGTGCGGCGGCTTTCTCGTAATGCCGCGTCAGGTAAAACCGTCCAAACCAGTACTACCATAATTACATGATGTGATGCTGCAGTTTTCCGCGGGTAAAGAACGCTCAATGTAGTAATGTTATGCAGTAACATACAGTAATGTACGTAAATAATACAATTTATGTTTGTGTGCACATAAACAACGTGCTCGTACTAAAATTACGTTAAATGTACACGCTGATTAGTGGGTGTCTGCGGACGTGTCCTATGTACATTTATAAGTACTAAAATTACGTTAAATGCACACGCTGATTAGTGGGTGTCTGCGGACGTGTACTTGTACATCTATAAGCCGCTAAGCCTGGTAGAAAACGCGGCCTTGTATTGTCCCGATAATTCTACGCCTAATACGCCCCGTATGCAAAGGCCGTACGGCGGTTTTAACCCAAACTTGATTCGATAAATCGTACAGTCCGTTACCTACAGCTAAACGGTACAGTGTATTGTACATGCACAGATTGTTGGCGCGCTGTTTGTGCACTATGAACGGGCAGTTGGTCCGGTTTACGAGTATTCAAAACAAACTGCAGAATTCTGACTGAAACTGTAGAGTTTCTAGCTTTCTACACATCCTTATCGGCAGATGCTTTTGGACAGTAGCGTCCGTCCAATTTGAGATACAGTAGAAAATTTAAGCATCACGAAAGGGTGCTAGGGTACGGCAAGTTGTTTGCCGCTCCATCCCACTACACATTTTTTACCCTCCCCATTTTCGCGCACTGCAAAACTCAACACCAACATAATGACAGAAATCCAGCGACTCCTCATATGAGCGTGAGGCTTGTGCATCTTGAAAAATGGAGCGCATACGGTTCCATTATCTTCTGCTGCAGCTACATATTTCGGTACACCGGCATTTTTTGCTTTTCGATTCGGTGTTTCTCAAAAAATCAATTGCAACCTACAGGTGTTATGTATTGTACAGCACACCTAAATAAGTGAGTAAGAAAATGGCTCTCCTACACTTCCAGGTATAAAGGGCTTCTTCCATTCTTATATCTTATAAAGGTACTTCGGAATATGATGCACTCAAAATGACCGAAATATGAGAAAAAGCGAAGTACCTTTATAAGATATAAGAATGTAAGAATCTCGGGTGATTACTACGTTAGTGGTTTGCAACCGGTTCTGCAACGAGCCGCTCCTCCTTCAGCGCTTATTCAGTGAGTAATCGCTTAATAAATCGTTCGTTTAAATATCAGACTTTACATAATCCGATGCAAGAGACACAAAACCCGAGAAAACTTTGTTGAATTCGGCAGTCTGCCCAGTTTTCCTACTCCAACTCCTTTGCAAAAGCACAACGTCCCAAGAGCTGGTTTCGTAGTGACACAGACTGTGGCAGAATGCCTCGTCCATTTTTATACCTGCACGTTTTTGTATAGAACCACCCGTTTTTTCATTTTAAGAGCCATTTCCTGCAAAGTCACTTGTGTTTTCCAGTGTTTCGACATAGTCTCATAGATGATTGCTGGATTAGTTTCTCCCAATTCTGAGCCACGCATTCCAGAAGTCACATTCATCAAATATTTCCACTGGGATGCTTATAAGCGTGCTGTCGAAGCGGTAAGCGCTAGAGTAGTGAACACATTACCGTTTCCGGCAAAATTAGTAAACTATCTGCGGTTTGAAAACTCTTCTATAAATTCTTTAAAATTTTGTAGCGTACTTCTTTAACATGCTCGTACGAGAAGTACATACCGTACATTGAGTATCTAATCAATTTGCTATATCATTTGCAAAAAAGGGAAGTTTCCAAGGAAATAAGAGCTAAGACTAAGGTCAGCAGCGACACCGTTCTCATTCCGATGTCATACGGCAGTAGAACGGATATCACTGCCGTCATCTACCCGGACTACTTTGTCAAGGTAACGTCCTCCATGCTACTTTTACTGCCCAAGCCTTTTGACCAATCGTAATTTCACTCTTTTAAAATGTGCCTGGGCTTGTTTTACCCTTGTAGATCCGCCTGGGAACTGGTGAACCCGGAAGGTACATCCGTGCGAGGATCGAGCGGGATGACGAGGGCAGATATACTTTAAGGGGCATCAGAAAGGCTAGCGAAGATGACCCGATTACCTATTTTGACTAAACAACCCCTTTACCATCCATGAGGTTTACTGCAGCGATAAAAAAATACAGTTTATTAAGTGCTAGTACCAATTTGCCTTCCTTGCCTTAGTGCCAAACTGTCAAATGCCAGTATTATTTGGCGACCAAGAAATCGTCCAAAGGTGGTGTTTTTGCCTTAATGGCGACTCGTTGCCAGCTTCATTTTCGTCAGCTGCATATGTCCTGCCAGTGTTTTGTTGGTTGAATTACAAAACAAATCAAACTGAATGTCAGCAATATGTAGGCTCAACTGTAAGATCACGTACGTTCTACAGGTCGCAGCAAATATCTGCTTTCACGTTTCACATGTAAATTAAAGACGTTAAGAAAAGCGTCAAAAAATCAATGGCAAAGAAATGTAGCCGTTATGCACTAAGTCATACCCTAGTACTACCGCGGCATGAATTCATTGTATTCTTATGCTTTCTTATGGCAACTATTTGTGGAGAAATTATTTTTGTTCACGTGTTTACTTTGCCCGTATACACTATGCACAATGCACACTCGGCAGAACACTGGAAATCGGACAGTAAAAGGTGCCGGTAAACGTTAATCTATATAAATAACCTACAGGCTGCCTGTTACGTAAGCCAAGGCAGTAATGCAACACAAAGTCCTAAAAACACTGCTGTAGCAATGCACCATATCCTTTTATGGCGGCGGCTTAAGAATAGATTTATATTTATGGCTATGAACAAAATAAGAACCGCTTTCGCGGCAAACTATGCTACTACGGATTCGGCATTTTGGGCTTGCAAAGCGAGAGCTCCAAAAGGAATCACAGATGTGAGCAGGAAACTGCAGATCCGTGCAATTCGATCATCAACTATATGTCGTCTACAGCATGATCGACGTTGCACACTACCGACTCTTTATTGTACACTTTATTGATTCTAATGCTCTGAATATTAATTGGCAAAAATCTCAAATAGCCGACTACGAATCGCACAACGGCGTCAGCGGCGGTGGGCCGGGGAGGTGGGAGCAGCGAGCTTACTCCTACTCCAGCGTCGCCGCCGCCGCCGGACGTGCGACCGTAAGGATGGGTTCAGATCCCATGCTTCTGACTGAAGTGAATCCAAATCGAATCCTGGTTATGTAGTCCTTCCATTCGGGCACCGTGCGAGAGTGGAATCACTACCTTACCGGGATTCGATTAATCCATTCGAGTATGTCCGCGCTTGGGTTCGATGCCTTACCAAGCACCAACATGAGAGAGGGACGGCAGTCCGAGATCGATGACGTAAAGATGAATGCTAGCGGAGGTACCCTCTAATATTACAGGCGTACAGCCACGGAATTTATAATTATTTACTCGTACTGTTTCATACTAGTTTAGATTTTATCGTTACATTATTAACTGAAATGCCTTAAGGATATCTTGCTAGTCAAGAAAATGCTGGCGGAGGCGCTGCTCAAAACCAGCATGACGACTGGTTTATTTTGACGCACCTGGCCCCGAGTGTTGTCGTGACGGACAGCTTGGTTTATACCGGCCGCGACTCGGAGACGATGTGAAGTTCCCCGGCGAACTGCCGGCCAAAAGCGATGGACGCGATGTGCCCTGGGTGCAATACGCCCGCACCGTCTTTGAAGCTGGCCGGCCGCGCCCGTTATACGTTGTTGACGGAGGACACCACGGTCCACGATACACCGACAACTTCACCTGCGTCATTCACGTCCTCATCTTTCAGGTTCTCAACGTTACCGTGGCCTCCCGGGGATCCGTATTGTGTATTACCGCCCTCTCGGGCTGCGCATTCGCGCCCTTCAGCGGGCCTGAGCTACGTTGCGTAGGTCCGCCATGGCCCATGGCCAGGAAGTCAGTCGCGCGCCGCAGTATTTTTACGCTAAAGTAGTCTGATGGTATGTGCTTGTAGAACTGCACTGCATTTAAAAAAATGGTGTTAACACTGATCCACCCGTACTTCGGCATTTCAGTCCTGTCACGCTTACTATACATTTTGAACATCCGGTTACCGGCCGACTTGTGGCGCGTTGCATGGTGAACTGGCGATCCCAGTTGAAGCAACATACAACAAGTAAAATGGAAGGAAGTAAAGTCTGATCATACACCTACAATCATACACCTAGTCTGATCATACACCTAGTTTTGTGGCTTCATCCAGTTGCGCTACTAAATGAAGGAGCGGACATAAAAAAACAGAAAGAAAGTTGTTCACAATGGATACTTCTAGCAAAAGTGACCGGTTGTTGAGAAAACCGAAGCTAGTATGCATGGCGTTATAGCATTTATACTGCTAATGTGCGAGTACATACGTATTCTCACCATCAGTGGAATATATTTATTGGCAAAACGATACAGTCACAAGTTTCCTATAAAAGTGAAGTACCATCAGTCCCGACTGGGTACACAGAAGCGCCGACCGGCGACAGTATGGGCGCGGGCTATGCATACCATCTCTACTTCCCAGGCGGAGCGCTGTCCATGCCGCAGCAAGTGATGACGAGGCCATATCGAATACGAGGACGATGAGAGTGACTGACTGCTCGAACCGTAACAGCGTCTGGTTGATTAAAATTTCACCAACTGAATTAAAACTGAATTGGGTACATCGTGTACGAGCTTACATGTTGCGTGCTTGCAGTTATCTAGATGCATTTTGGACTAATAAGCCAATTAAACGATGGCGGAGCGTCTGTATTAGTAGCACCTTTACTTTTAGTTTTATGGTGATGGCTTAAGAATAGATTTATTTTTGGCCAGCAACAAGATAAGAGACCGCTTTAGCGCCAACAGCTGTGACTTCGGGTTTGGCATTATGGACTTGCGGGCGAGTAGCTCCAAAAGAAATCATACATATCTATATATATACGAGCAGTGCAGTTTTCACATCAGTACATTTGAATCATCGAATACAATACTTCTGTATGAATACGAGAACATCGTCTAGTGACCAGTCGCTTACAAAACAGTCAGCGTTTCATAGTGCCCACTCAGTTTCGTCCTTAAAGGGAGGGTGTGCTTTATTGTACAATTTATTAATTCTTATGCTTTAACTATTAATTGGCAGAAATCTCGAAACAGTCGTTTACGAATCGTACAAAGCTGCGGCGGCAGCGATGGAACAAGGTCACAGTAGTCTGTCTCGTAGACCGCTGTGTTCTGTTTCATTGCCGCCAGCGCTGTCGTCGCCGTACGCGTGACCGTGAGGACTGGGTCACTCCCATGTTTGTTATTGTAATTGCAGTATTGGCGAGGATTGACCTTACCGTTGCGCATAATCATGCCAAAGATCCTTGGGCTGCTTATAGGCCAGTTTGCCCGCACCAACTGGTGCGGGAATTCTGGCATATAAGCAGCCCATTGATCCCAGCTAGGCTCCCAGCTGATCCAAACCGAATTCTGCTAAGGTGCCGAATCTAGTCATTAATTCAGAAATATCACTCCGAAAGCGATGACGTCGAGATGAATATTAATGCTAATGTAGGTGCCTACTTCTACAGGCGCCACCATGGAATTTACTGTACATTATTTTGGAATAATATCTAGATATTGCGTTAGATTATTACATGGTATTTTTACTGAATATTATTTTGGAATATTAAGACATTTTTAGTCGACGACATGCTGGCGGAGGCGATGCCGAAAATCCGGCAGAACGACCGGATCATTTGGACGCGGCCGGCACGAAGCGGTGGCGTGACGAACAGCGTGGTGTACTGTCCGCGACACGAGAAGAATACGACGTTCCGTTGCGAAGTGCTAGCCGGAAGTGACGGACGCGATGTGCCCGGCTGCACCAGTGCCGCACAGTCTTCGATGCGGCTGACCTACGCGTCTGCTGCCGGCAGGGGACGCCCCATCACACAAAAACAGCTTCTCCCGCCTCAACTACATCCCCATGTTTCAGATTTTCAATGTTACCGTGACCGCCGGGAACTCCGCTCCGTCCGCATCGCCACCCCCGCGTTCGGCAGCGTGTCTTGCTGCTGCCGCTGATCACGCGCCGCGACTTCAAGCCCCACTCTCCTTATGTTACCGCAACTGAGGGTAGTCGTGCCACAGTGATGTTTGGCATCCGCGTGCCCCTCTCGGAACGCATTGTACTGGACATGCTGGTCGTCGCGTGTTTTCTTGGCAACTGTTAGTGGAGAAGTTATTTTTTCCCGCACGACACTTTCTGGAGGAACGAGCGAAATCATACCATGTACTGTGCAGCATTCAGGCCATCCGGAGCGAGTAGCTCCAAAAGAAATCTTACTTACACATTGAGCCGTGATAATGAAATCACTGCGGCCTACTCTTTATTGTACACTTTATTAATTCTAATGCTTCAAATATTAATTGGCGAAAGTCTCGATTAGTCGACTATGAATCATACGGCGCGACAGCGGCAGTGGTGAAGTGGGGCATCATCGCAGTCTACGATGATCCTACTGCAACGTCGCCGCCTCCGTCGTACGGTTGTCCGTGAGGAATGGGTCATGATCCCGCGCTTCGGGTTATATATAATTGCAATACTGGCGGGGATTCTGGCGTACCGACTGCATAAGCATGCCAAAGATCTTCGGCAAGCTGATACAGAATGCAGCTGTATGCCAGGATTCCCGCATCCAGCGAATCCACATCAAATCCATTATTTCGGTAACGGTAAGGTATAGCGATCCATGCACGGTCATATTCTAGAGTATGCTCGAGCTTGGATCGGTACCTTACCAATCAGGAACATTATGAGAGAGGTAGGTCATTCCGAAGGCGATGATGTTGACATGAAGGCTAATGGAGGTACCTTCTAATAACAGGCAGCCGCCACGGAATTTACACTGTTTGACGGTTCTGTAGTTAGATATTGTTTTCGATAAATTTATGTTTTATCTTTGCATGCATTGCCATTAGGCTCTCTCGCTATACACCATGAAAGTGCTCTGTAAGTTAAAGTACGATTTCGGTATAACACACCAACCAACACATTCAAATTTTACAGTGTTCTTTGAGTTAAACCTACTATCTGGATTTCTCTAAGAGGCAGAACATCGATAACTTTGCACGCAGCAAAAACTATAAGCTGAAAGCACTTCAAGGTGTGCGGCGAGAGAGCCTATTATTACCTGGAACTCTGGAATGTAAACGTTAACATGTAATGCGTATCCTGTTAGTAACATGGTCACGGGGCGGTGCCGAAAAACCGGCACGATGACCGAATCATGTCGGCGCAGCACATCCCGAGCGAGTGTACGTCGTGACAGACAGCGTGGTATACCGGCCGCGACTCCGGAAAGATGAGAATTTCCGGTGCGAAGTATCATTCATGCATTGTTGTACTGGAAGTCGCGTAGCGGAAGCGAAACCGTTTAAACCAACGCGCGCCTCCCCATACTAGAATTCAGCCAGTTTTTACCAGAAGGTTCTATCGCGAGAGGGAAGATACCCTTTTCCGTTGCCATACCCATAATCAAAAAATAAATTGATTAGTCGTTTATGTAAGAATTCTTGCCGCGGTAAAACAATATATATTAATGACGGGCCCGTCTGCCTAGCGCACAACGCCCGGAAGCAGCACTGCAGTTGTGCAGCAGCGTCCACCATGACGGCCGGAAACTGGCATATGTAGAGCGCCAGCCGTTGTCGAGTGTCGTTGGGGTGGGGTCGGTAGCTCAGGGGAGGCCGCTGCTGGTTACGAGAGGCCTGTACGGCGAACGATGCGAATCCAATCACTATGAACCCAGACTACAGTATGTGACTGCGCATGTTCGGGAAACTATTCCCGGAGGGCGCCAAAAGTCGCGACCACCCTCGACGGCGATCACGTAGATAGCTTGAGGTTCCGTCATCGCGCACGTGATCCGCGGCAGCAGCGCAAGGCGCGGAAGGTTGCGGGGACGGGACATAAAGGCGGAGTCCGATAGGCAGGCGTGCGCTGCACTGGTCCCACGGGGGCCACGGTATAACAAGCTCAGAACCTGGACGACGAGGATGCGGTTGACGCTAGTGAAGTTTAAACTATTGTGTCCCCTAGTGTCGTCTGCCGATCGGCAAGAGGCGTGGGCGGCTGGCAGCCTGGCACTTCGAAGAATGTGCTGCTCCAGGACACACCGCGTACGTCCGATGGATTTCGGTGCAAATTGATCACGACATCGCAATCGCGTAAAACACAACTGTGGATTAAAATTTGTTTTGTGCGTTTATAATGGCGTGATTTTACAAGTACGATTACGACTTACAAGTTCAACAAATAGTTGAATACTTACTTGAACGGCGTTACACAGTGATTCAGTCAGAAAAACAATCGTAATTACAGATTTACAGTCAACAGTAATGAACAAAAACGCTCTTCTCCGATATTATCCAATGAAATGAATATTCCGGAAAACAGTAAAAACATTAAACAACTACACGATTATAACAAAAAATCACCGGGTTTGTCTGCTTCATCCATGGTCCCAGGGATTCAATGCAGCCGCGGCTGGCATCCCTGCTTGTATCCGGACGTCAAATGCGGAAATCAACGCACTAGATTAGCCAGGAACCTCCCACCACGACTCGTAATATATCCGCAGAGGAGCAACCAGGAGACCTTTACAACAACGGGCGCACGCTCCCGCCATTTGGCCGTCGGTGGGATGGTGAAAAGATTCTTCTGCTCATTCTGCGACAATGACGGACGGTTCCAGGCCCGCTGGATACCGGCCACATGGGCCATTCCCACGACACCCACCATCACCCGGCTCCGCGGACCCTCTGTCGTCATCACCGGCTGCGCCAAGAACCACTTCAACCCTTCGGCCATCACGACATCCCGCTCGTGCACGATGGCGCGCTGCACCGTGGGACACGCCGCGGACATTCGCGCTGCGTCGGCCTCCAGAAACGCGCTGGTTTTCAGCTTTTCCACATCGTCCTGGCTAATATTCCAGTGCACGCATAGGTCTCGCACTGCGATCCACAGATGCCGGATGTATTCCCACAATGTTAAGGCACCGTAGGTGCGTTGGTGCGTGATACTCTGTGGTCGATCACCAAGCAACACCGTGCAGTTGGGGAGGTTGGCGGCTTCGCGGAAGGCCGTGCGCATGTCGCTGCCAGAAATGCCTAAATTCTTGGCGTGCTGTCCGGATTGTTTCAGCGCCCAGAACACCCGGAATGCCTGTGCGACGCCCAATTGTTGGGCCAAGATATGGAAGTGTTTCCTGTTCAGTTCACTCAGTGGACTCAGTGCACGCCGGGCTTCGTCTTCATCCACAGTTAAAATGTCCAGCCGTTCTGCAACAACAGGATTTGTACCTTGCAGTCTCCCTTATATGCAAAGAATAGAAATAAAATAGTATTTCAGCTAATGATTTATAATCTATGCAAAATATAAATTTAATACGTACGTAAATAGACGCACATATACAAATATAAGCAATATAAATAAACATTAGAGCAAACGATAAATGTACTTAATAAATAAATAGCAAAAACCTGTGCACAGTTCCAGCATCACCGAATCCGGCTTGACCGTCCGAATCGTCGCAGCGACGTCTTCCTGGCTTTTCTCTCCCAAATGTACAGTTCCGACCTACAACGTGCCGAATTATAATACATAAAATAAAAAGATCAACCCCCAAAAAAATTACGAATTTACTCGATAACAGAAATAAAATAATGGGAGTAAATTAACACAACAAATATACCGTACAAAAGCGAAATGTTGCGAAATGAACAATATAATACCGTACAGGTAAACAACTAATTACGTAAGTGAAATTCAAATAAAAACGAAGCCAAAAGCCCGTATTATCTGCAGATATTTTCGCAGTAAATTGCAAACAACTGAATGAGCTGAGAAATAATTTCTCAAAAGAATTTCTATTTCGGTGCAGCGTTGCAAATACTGATTAAAACACAACTAAAGAGACAATGTTTCTATAATGACAGTAATGTGATCAAAACGTTATTTCTGCCAGTGACTCGCACACCCACATTCGGCACTTACAATGTACACTCGCCCACCGGACGGCGCATGCTCCAGCATTGTCACGGTGTCGGGCAGGACGGGATTCACGGGACGAACCGTCGGTGCTGGCAGATCAACCGCATCATCATACTGAATCGAGAGACCCCACGGTCCGGGTGGTACATCGCCAGAAGTAGAGCCGTCTTCCATTGTGCTCGCAGTCAGTGGTGGACGTCTCCGCGCACAGATGACAACCAGCTCAAACTGCTCAGGGCTAAACTATTGCCAGATTAATATTAAAATTTATTATTCAGTCCATAAAACGGGAAACAGGAGTATGAGTAAACGTGCAATGCAGAAGCTGCGTGACAGAGGAAATACGCGCGATCAGCACGTGCAGCAGACAGCAGGAAGTAAATACTGTACTGCCGCTTGCGCAATGGTCTATCGGCGGACAAAAGCTATGCACCGCACCCAGGCACCTGTTGAAAACAGAATGATCGCATGTACAACGTACAGACCACGGCAATCGCTGTTTTAGAAAGTGCTTACTGTCATAATTTTTGTTTTCAAAACATGCACACCTTTAGTTTTGATGAATTTCTTTTGATGTGCTCAATTTGGATGTCAACAGAAATCAAAGTTTAACTGTAAATGCCTGTTAAAACTCTTCTAATGGTAAGTGCGATTTTTTTGCAGTAAGACTACTGTACGTACTGCACTGACGTACTGCACTATCCGACTGGCACTCGTACGACCACTCTAGTACGATACTTCCGAAGGTACGTACTTCATACCGTTAAAGTTAATATAATATAATAAAATTTAATATTAAATTTTCGCTTTCCAGTGCAGCATACTGTACAGTGTACATTATTACATTGCTGATTTAAAAATCCACCAATCCTGAGTTAAATCCACCAATGCGCGCACCGCATTGTTCTTTATTTTAATTTATGATTTCTTTCTTAGACCTGAATCACCTGATACATTATTAAAATTTAATACAGTATAATATTATATATTATAAGTCTACTCAGGTAAGTTTATAGCAAAATTAGTTAGCAACTACACTACCGCTCAATCGCACTCTGTTGTTTTGCCAGCCGCCTGTAGGCGCACCAACCCCCCCATTTCCAATACGCCCTGGTGGAAGTGGCATTGCCACACCTCCCTTTCAGAGTGGCTAGCCAGCGCCGCACTAATCCACTCTGCTAGACACTGATGCAATTAGCGCAACCCGTTCTCCACTCTCGCAGCTGTGCGGCAGAATTTCAACTGGCTGTAACTTTTCCACTGATCCGACACAAGACGCCGGTTGGCACTGAACGAAGCGCGCTCAAGTAGGAGCAGGCTACTAGCAGACGGATAATACACTGTGTGATCCGAAGTTGCAATCGCGTGTGTGTTTTTTATCGATATTTTCGATCGCTAAAGTCTTTCCCCGTAATCCCCCCGGTGTCGGGAGTAGAGCACACGATCCGCGTGAAAATCCCATGTTCACGTAAGTACTCCGCCAGCGCTAGTCGCGCCAGGGTTTCGGGTTTCTTGTAGTTTTCTGCACTGTGATCGTAATCAGCTGCTCTTGCATCATCGCTTTTGTGGTAAGGTTCTGATCACGTGACGCGCATTGGGCACCGTCTTTTAATTAGCGATCGGAGGAGTATCTTGCGTGTATGCAATCGGAACAGCGTTTCGCATGCTTCGGCAGCGGGGCTTGAATTTTGATGATCTATTTTTATCACCGGGAGAGATGTTAAGTAAACGCGGCCAAGAGTGCCCGTCTTGACGCAGACGAATCACTCTTCTTTCGCCATTTTCGCTGTCGTCTGCAGTGTGAGCTCGGCGCACTTTTCCTCGTGGGTTAGAGAGAGATTTTTCTGAATGTACGGTGAAGTGTGGTTGGAAAATTTGTGCTGCATTTCGTCAGCGGAAAGTTTTGAATGGTGTTTTTTTGCATCAGGCTGGGTCGTCGGTTGTAGTGAGTTCTCTGTACAGCGCTGCGGATATTAACTGAATGAACAGGGTAAATAAGCGTCAACACGGTGAATTTGTTTTTTATTTCATATTTTCTTTCCGTTCTTATTTTGCAGGCTTCGAAATTATTGAGCACGTTATTTTGAAAATCATTTTTTAATGTTTACGGAATTTGTTTGTTTATTCAAGGGCCTAAAATGCGTTGCAGTTTGCTGTTTTGGATTATCTGAAAATTTCCGCCGTAAAATTTTTATTTTGCAAAAAAACTTCTTTTAAATTGTTTCTGTCATCATTAACTGAAATTAAAGATTTTTTAATAGGCAGCGTTTTTCGCAATCAATTTTGCGTGATACTACCTGTACCTTGACATCTTGAGCTGCGCCGCGTTTACCATTTAATTACCGATAATTTCGTTGTTTTTATCTGGGTTTTCCGCATGCTTGATTCTCTTGCGTAATACCAGACCGTGGTGCAGGCGGTGAAGGTAAAACGAGTTTTGATTCATATTTTAACGACCCGGACTAGACGCGGGCTGACGCAATCCCTCCCGGGTGTTTCCCAGTTGGAGCAGTCGTGTGTTTGAAGTTTGAACATCGGCTGTTTTTTTGCAGGTGGTGCGTGTTATGTACGGTGGATGTTGATTGGCTCAGCGCGGGGATTTGAGAATATATTTATTATTTAATCGGAATTCCCAGCCGCAGTGTTTGTGGATTGTTTGTCGTCCGCCATGGTGCATACCGTCGGTTTGCCGGATGATGCGCCAGCCAAGGAATCTGCGAACCATGCCGGTAAGAGCGCTCAGTTTAAATACATAGAATTTCGGTGTGTGTCATATGACGACGGCCAAATTGGCTGCAAGTAACCAAGTTTAAAGACCGCTGCGAAATGTTATCGTTTTCCCGGTTGCATTTACTGCACGCCATGCGTACCGGGTAGTGTATCGTTTTTTCGATGGTTTTGGCAGTCAGTTGGAATTTGTCCAAGTCTTTGCACTGCTTTCATCAGTATTGTTACGTTGTGGAAATTTTTGGTATTTATTTTTTGTATGTTTTGTGCTGCATGAGCGAATGCGGTATTTTTCAAATAGAATTCCTTTTAATTTAAATTTTTTTATTTTCTATAACGTTGAGTAAAATTTTAAACATTTTTCTAGTTTAGGACGCGATACTTTGGTCTTGTTAGCAAAATCACTTTTAATTCGTTTTTTTTTCTGAATTTCGTTTGTTTCATTTTGCTTTTATGATGCCTATTTTAGCCGGTAATTTTTCGTATTTAATTTTTTTCCTTCTTTTGATTTTACGATTTAATTCCAAAATTAGGTAATTAAGCTCGTCCACAGAAAGTGATACACAAAAAATATACGGTATTTTTTCTAATTTTCCTTTTTTTTTGATTTTACGATTTTTTACGTCCACCGAAAGTGATGCAAAAAAAGATCCAGTACTTTTTATTATTTTTCTTTTTTGATTTCACGATTCATCTTTGAAATTATGTAATTAAGTTCATCCACCGAAACTGAAATTTAAAAAAAGATCCGGTGGATGAGCATTGAGTACAGAAATATTTGCAAATATTTTCCTGTAAAGTTTTCCGGCTTATTAAACGCTAATTGGCCTCAATCGATGTGTCGGGGAGCTGTCGGCTGAATACAAAGCCCCTTCCATTACAGCACGGTTATATTAGGCCGAATTGGTGCGCGCTTGGCTGCTCCGTTTTTGAATAGCGTGATAATATGTTTTGTTGAATGGGGATTTTGTATCGATCAGAGCAGGATTGGCATATGAGAGCAGGGGGAAAATTTGCAGTTTAATTGTTATTCTTTCCTGTGCGTACATTGTGGCGGACCTCGGTGAGAGTGGCTGTCGGCTGTTTGCTTAACGATCGGCGATATTATAAATAGCTTGTGGTCAGAAAGAGACGCGCGATGGCTACTGCACGACACGGTGTTTATTGTAATTCCGGTCAGTCGACGCAGTTCAAGCGGGGTTTGCAGACGGCTGGTCGGAGTGTTGTCCAAACGTGTTAATGTTGTGCGTAATAATAACAATTTTCCGAAGCAGTCGAGCCTTGCTGATGACATTCGCAAAAGATGGAAAATAATTTTAGAATTTTAATAAGACGTTTACGTGTCAATCAACTGTCAAGGGTTTAGTCAAAAAGTTTGATTTTATGTTTACGATTTTTTTCGACAGGCTCTCTTTAAAATTGCATCGTGAGGTTTTGCGATTTTTCAGCTGTTACTATTGTTGTAAATTTTTGTAATATTTAATTCATGCTTTTTAATTTGTTTTGTTTTTAGAAAAAAATAATAAGAAGTTGCGCTTTTTTGAGACAGTGGCTGACGGAATTTTTTAAAATGACAGAATTTTTTGTTTTTTTTTTGCTTTGAAGATTCTTTAATTCTTTAATTTCATTGGTTTTTAATTTAGGATTATTTTTAAAATGACAAAATTTTTGTTTTCTTTGCGTTAAGTAAAACCGTTAGATTGATAACTTGTCTTATGTGTAGAGAAGATACGTTTCAGCAGATTTCCGGGAACCATGACAATTGTCGGCACATTTGCTGAAAATTTCCCCAAAATTTTCCCTTGTGCAAATATCCCGGCTTCGCTGTCTGATAAGGTGTATCGTGGGAAGTTGGAAAGATTGTTCGGTCTCTTTTCTGTCTATTGATGAGCACCAAAGGGTGCATCATTTATCGGAGTGTATTTGAATTATTCAAGTGCACATAAAGAGGCGACTTGTATCGTATCGTATCTGATTGAAACGGAAACGGTTGCCTTTTTACAACCACATTCGCTTGAGCGCTCACATGCTGCGTTTTATTAGCGTTGACGACGGCTGTGTGTGTGCGCGAACGGCGAAGGTATGTAAATAGTACACAGGGCAATCTAACGAAATAAAATATACGCCGTAAAATAGATAATTTATATCCTTGTCGGTACACTTTTGCAGGGCAACCGCGACGCTTTAATCGCTTATCAACTATCTGCTTAGCAAAGTCCATTTCGTGGCAGCACTGCAGCAGTGCCTAAAGGCCACGCTGGCCACCTAATTGATTTTGAGGTTTCTTTCAACGGAACCGTCAGTAGCAAGCTGCAACATTAGTGGTTTGTGTGCGACAGCATATTTGACAAAAAAATTGAAATACCGGTTTATTACTTTTGCCCGTACATTACCATGTGGATCGCAGATCGATCGTAGTGTATGGGCATGACCAAAGTAATTGTTTCCTTGCTGGATTCGAAAAGTTGACAAAAAATCTGAATTTCGAAGAAAGAAAAATATTATTTTTTAAGAATTTTTAATTGATTTGTATAAGGAAATGAAATCAACATAAGCCATAGGAAATAGCTGACAGTTTCAGTTTTTGTGGAAATTTTTCGCATTTTATTCATCTTGAATTGTTTTTCCGATTGATTTATCTTTACGTGGGAATAATTAAATGTTTAATAAACTGCATAGAATCACCGGAAATCTTTAACTGAAATCGTATTGATAACCGGTTACGAAAGTAGGCTGTCGCAAATCTCGCGATGATGATAACAAGTGACCCCAGACAGGGCCGTTGCATTGATTAATAATAATATATTGATCTGTAAACATTGTTGAGCACATCGCCGTACAGAAACGCGAGAGTTTAGTCCGATCAGATTGGGAGATAGACTGGAGAGTGATAAATGGATGATAGTTATGGAGGGATGCTGAGAATGTAAAATTAGCCATAAGGGAGTGGCCTTGATATGGCCGCGGAAGATGTTTCACTCTCGTGAGAGGTCGGTGGAGTGTGGCGCCGGGTCCGGTCGCTAACTGTGGGCGAGAGTTGAGGAATGTTTATCGTGTGTGCCACTTGGGAGTCAAGTTGGGACGTGAGGAGCGGGGGGTGTAAATTCTGGGGCAAGAGTGTGCGGTAATAATACCGGCTTCTGTGATTATGGCGATTTTAATCGGAGATTTATCACAACTGTGTTATTCGTGCTGCTGTGGGCTTGTGCCTGTAAATTTCGTGATAGTGCTAAATTTGCGAGAAATCCGCGAATAATTTATTATTTTTTATGATCCAAAAGAGGTAAAATATCTGGTCATCGTTGTCTGATCTAAAATTATTGAAAATATTCATAAAATCGTTTTGACAATTTTTACGAGTTGAAAAATTCCGTTCTTCGTTGCGCAGAACTTTTCGCTTCAATACTCGTACTGTCGTACGGAAATATTTGGCGGTGTTTACCGTTGTACTTACATTTTTGGATGTCAGTGCATGCGCTTTCGGTTGTGGTTAAAAATTAGGAATTGAAATCTTTTTGGATTGAAATGGTAGCTATTGTGGTTATAAATAGTTTGTGGTTATTGTGGTTAATTTTTGTTTTAATTTTCTGAGTAAAAGATATATTCGGTATTACGAACGCGGCAGGTGATAGTTATAACTGGCTGAAATTCGTAGTGTAATGGCTATGGTAGTGGTGCATGTCATCCATTTCAGTCATGGTCTCATGGACAAACAACAAGCAGGCTATACGTAGCAGATAGTAACTGTACAGTTTGCGACTGATAATACGTAGAGCGAAATTTAAAATTAATTTTTTGCAATAAATATTGTTTCAGATGGATCTGTGGTAAATAGCAGCGGTGATAGCAAAGGCCTCTCGGTGGACAGCATGACCAACGGCAGCCACGATAATCTGGCCGTGCCGCCGGATGAGAGCTCATCCCGTGAATCTCCCGGTCCGCCCAACAGTGCCTCCAGTCCCACCCAGCCGCCGACGGCGACGTCGGTGTCCGACGCCAATCTGCGGGAAATTTCCCACTATCTGCCGCTGTACGTGATTCCTCTCTCCAATCTGGAGAACCTGACCAGTCTGCAGCGGCTGCAGGGCGCCGATGGCGGGGAGGGCGGGGCCGCCGGCGACTCCGCTGCCGGCCCGTCGGAGGTCCCGGTGTGCCAGGAGAAGCAGATTCTGGTGAATATTTCCGTGCCTCAGGGAACGGGTGATGAAACCTTTCAGTTGCCGGTAAGCCGAAATATTTTTTGATTTTGTAGTAATTAATTTGGAATATTTTATAATCGTTCTGAATGTATAAAAAGTCTTTAAAGAGTAGTGGCGACTACTTCGGCTTTTCTTTTATGAATTAACGGATATTTTATAACTCCGCAATTTTCATTTCACTTCTTATGGTTAGTTCTTTTTATTCCCATGTCGCCTTTTTCACATTATTATTTTTTGGTTTAAAATAATGTCTCGAGTTTTTTCATATTTTATATTTTCTTTCTTTTCCGTTTTTTGTATCCTTAATTATTTTCTTGTTGTATACTGGTATTTCAGTTCGCATTTTCTCTATAAGTACGCACTACGTATTTTACCTTCGTAGTTTTTTGGATCCTTGTATTTTTAAAATTTTAAACTTGGTGAATATTTTCGGTTTTTTTTGCTCGATGAATATTTTCATTTTTTTCCTAATTAATTTACACGGTAATCTTTTTCTTGGCGCATTTGATTTTCTAGAGTGTAGATTGCATTTTTATTTGTGGTTGGACAGATGAACAGTGGTGATTTGGTGCACGAAATCCGGTTGGTGCTGAGTGATCGGGAGTCGAGCTGTCACCGGACGTGCTACTCGCTGCAAGTGGACGGGACTTCCATTGATTTATTTGCCGAGATCAAGCAGTACGAGCAGATTAAGGATGGATGCACGATTCGTCTGGTGGATGGTACGGTATATTGTGTGTGACATGTAGTTAACAGGCTGTGATAGTCGACAGGTTATCCCCTGGATTTTTGGGAGTTTTTTGCAGACTGCGGTAATCGTCGTCGCAGAGGGTGGTGGGAAATTTTGTAGTGCAGTGTATCAGTAACTGCCCTTGGCGGTTTATTGTTTCAAATAAACGATTTGATACACTTCATGCAGTTAACGCCCTTCGATAATGCATTTTTCTTTTTATTCTGTCTGTAGGTTATGTTCTGATATTTGTGTACATTAGCTGAATTTCGGAAATACGGAATATTTTCACTATTTTTCCAGCACGGGGGTATACACTGTATTATCATTTATCAGCTCGTTGCTACTGTATTAGGAAGTTTTCTTCATTAATATGTACCAGTAACCTTCGAAAAGATGCTGTAATTAAAATTCACTCGATATCTTTACGGTGACTGGTGTAGCGAACCGAACGAAGAGTTATCGTAATTCTTAGTGTTTTATTACGATGTTGTTCGGCTTGTATTCTTTGAATTGTTGTTGACCGTTCTTCTTTGTTAGTGACTGGAATTTCCTAGAGTATCTTTGACATTAGTCAAAGCTTTACGCGTTTTGCTTTTCGCAGAGCCTTATACGCCGCTGGAGGTGCGACGGCATGTGCGGCAGTTCCTGGATTTGCAGAATCCCTTGGACAACGAAACGGCATGCCGTAATGAAGAAGGTCAAGCGCCGTCCTTCCTGATTCAGGCTACCTTTGAAGTGGAAAATATCCGTGAGTTGCTATGTTTCTTGTACTGTGTTTTGTACCTTCCCTTAAATTAAATTTAATATAATTATAATTTTCAAATCATATATTCTAAAGTTTTTTTACTGCAGACTCTTTGCGTCTTGCGTATCTGTAGAAATTACTCGAAATGTTTATGGTTTATCTTAATTCCAAATCTGGTGTACTTTAAAGTTTAAACATACCGTAATTTATTGAGTTCGTGAGTACATTACTAAGTAAAATGTTTTTTTATGCGCAGCGTCCTCTGAAGGCTTTTTTGATAGCATTTTGCATATTTGGAATTTGCCTGATAATTGTGCATTTCTGACAGAGCAAAAGCACGGTGCCATTGAGAATCCGGGCGTGTTTGATCCGCCGGAATATTGCCGGGCGGATGTCAGTGACGTCTCACTGGCCCATCTCATTCCCGGCGTGGAGGAGCGGCAGGCTAAATGTCTGAAACGACTGGAACCATCCGGCTGGAATCCGCCGCAGGGTAATCGCCGCATGAAGGGCGATCTGTACTATTACTACGCGGAAACCCTGGAGGAAAAGAAATTCCATCTGACGGCCGGCGTGGCGGGCTTTTTTATCAACAAGTAAGTATTGTGCATTGTATTACGCGAGTAAGTCCATTATTCCATACATTCATATTAAGAAAGTAATATATTGTTTCTGTTATCATTAATACGGTGATTTTTTTCTTAAATGTTTTCACATCTGAAATGATAATGTTTGTCGAAACATAATCTAAAATCCGCCGGCTCAATTTGGGCGTTCGATGCGCTGTGCGAGTGCAAATAATGTAGATTAATGGCGGACAATTGTTCGGATGCTTATTGTATGTGCTGTTTAGCAATAGTGTGATAAATGTTTAAAAGTTGCTGAAGTTTCCGTATTTTTTGTACATTAGAATTGGAATTTTATTTTTTTAAAGTTATGTTTTAATAAGATGCCACAAAAAGGCGTGTGGGCAGCAGTTGGTTGGTTGTTAGTTGTAATAAGATTTATGGAGAAGTTGATAGTCAGACTGCAGTAAGATCGGGTGAAGGGATTAATCGGTGTTTTCTCCCCAGATCGACGGAATCGGAGTTCAATCCGGAAGCGGAAACCAAAGCCGTGTATCAGACGTTGGTGGATCTGTTCCGCGATGTCAGTGCAGGGTTCAAGCGCAATTACAACGCGCTGATTAAACGCCGCTTCAAGTACGTTGGCTATCTGAGAAACGGATGACTGTGCATTCAGGTTTATTCAACTTTTCTTTATGGTCGACCATACAGTTAATTTTCATGGTGAAACCTTTGACTGAAAATTATATTAATATTTTGCCACATCGTGCTTCACTCTTCGGTCTTACTTTTGCTCTTATACTATTTTTTGCGATTTTCGAACAAATAAAAATGCCGGCTTAAACGTCAGCGAACCTACTTTTCATTTTCGGCGGATTTTTGCTTTTCCGGTATTGTTTTCATTTTATAATTATTTTTTGCAGAGCCATGCTGACGCCCTTTGCCCGGGTGGCACTCAGCCGACCAAACTACCTGTGGGTGGTGCCCAAAGTGAAGCCTACATGGGATTTCTTCCGCTGGGAAGATTGTAAGTTACGGAACGCATTCGTGCTACAAATAATGATTTCGTGTTGAATTTTTTTGGTAATTTTGTATTGAGTATATATGCGTTAATGCAGGATAAAATTATTGACATGAAGTTCTTTGTTATCTGAATATCTGATGTAGTGTTTACTAAATACAGATACATAATAATGATAATATTATGTACATCATTAGAAGTATCGTGATATTGTGCAAAGAAAATTAATACTGTTGGTGAAGCGTTGACGATTCCGTCCTGTAACGGTTTGGTATGTGGGATTGCAGCTTTGCCACAGTCGGAATTGTTCTGCTCAAAAGGATACGAAGATGTGATCCCGTTTCAGTGTCGTGATTGGAATGAGGAACTGCAGACGTTTCGTGATTTGCCGCATAATACGCCTCAGGAAATTAACCAAAGAGAACGCTCACTGATGCGAGTATGTTGCTAACTATCTTCATTCCAGTGTTTCTTGCTCGGACGCCAGAAAATCAAGATAATTAATATATTAATCGTAGAGTAATCAGTTTATTATTAAATTTGATTAAATTTGTAATATTTTTAGAATGAATATATTTCTGAAATAAAAACTTGATTTGACTTAATGAACGCCCGAGCGCGACGGAATCAGCGGGTTGGTAGAATGAGGAAAACGTAGTGTTGGGGCTGGTTACAGGCGCGCCCACTTCTTGACAGTCGAGTTTTCATCAATCATGTAATTACATATGTGTAGTATCGAGTTTGACAAATTCTTGTTGTTTTTCAGTTTCTGGGTAACTGTTTTTTAAACGTAGCAAAAATATTTTATTTATTGTCTCTTCTGCTAATTAAAAATTTTAATCATATTAATAATGGATCTTTTTGTATCTCTTTCGGAATTGAATTGTGGTTTATTTTGCGGACCGGGCTCTGGCTGACTGATAATGATGAATCTTTTTTCCTGAATATTGTCCGTTTTTAGACGCAGTTTGACTTTATCCAAATGGCCGTCCGGGGCGCCAAGGGCGTGGTGGACGGGAGTATTTCGCCGATTAACCCGGCGGATGATTATCGCAGTCAGCTGTTTATCTGGAACAACATCTTCTTCAGTTTGGGCTTCGATGTCAAGGATCATTTTAAGGATCTCGGCGGTGATGCCGCGGCGCATGCTGCTCCGGTAAGCAGCGATTATTTACAAATAAATCGCGCCGGTTTTTGCTGCTGTAAAAAAGGTGCATGCCATCGCAATCAGTTTTACTGTGCTTCTGTTTTTGCATTAAGAAATTGCATGTTTGCATGCCTTTTTTGCATTTTGACTTGGTGTGTTTTTCTGTGAATTCTCTCGCGAAACATCAATTATTAACTTTTGAATTTGTTATTGAGCCTTATGTTTTGAGTGAGTACAAAATTGCGAGGTTTACTTATTTTTTTTTTGCAGAATAATGATTTACTGGGCTTGAAGTTTTTGACGTTTATTCCCTCGGATGAGAAGCTGTACACGCTGGGCACCGCGGTCATTGATTATCGCGGATACCGGGTCACCGCGCAGACAATCATTCCAGGTACATTAAAATTCCACTTTTCTTGTTTAATTGTCGATTGTATCGGGCATAAAAATTAATAATTTAACAATCGTTAACCAAATAATTGTATTTTTTGGAATAGGTATTCTGGAGCGGGAACAGGAGAATGCCGTTCAGTATGGCTCCGTGGATTTCGGTAAGACGGTGCAGTATGATGAGGAGTTCGCGAAGCGACTGCAGACGGTGGCCAAATGGTTCCATTTGGCACCGCATATGATTCGCAGTGGAGACGGCAAAGAAATGGAACTGACAACTTCCGTTGAATTAAAGGTAAATCAAAATTTATTTCAAATTAGTTTTCAAAAAATATTTTCATTGTGTGATTTTCTTAAAAGTCATTTTCAAGTAAAATAAACGCTATAACTGTGAATACTAATTGCTTTTGCATTGCAACTTTAAACCAGAATATTAGAACTTGGCATGGAAATGGTGACCAAAATTCAAATAAGGAATTGACGTATTTGTTTTTTTGTCAGGGAATCGTTGGTAATGACAAGCGGCATTACATTCTGGATTTGATTCGTATGTTCCCGCCGGATATCCATTTTATGGATGGTGTCGGTAAAGAAGCCAAATTTATGACGCTTTTGCAAGGTCTGTATGCGTTCAATTCGGCCTCTTTGACAGCGACTGGCAAGGATGTGTGTGAGGAAGCCCGCAGAGAAGGCTATCCGCGGAAATTCCCCCATAAACTGCCGTCATATCGGCCGGAATTGGTTGATTCCTATCTCATGTACGCCCATCGCTTCATAATTATTGCGCTTCGATAATCGGTTTGTAATTTTGTTAACTTAGCTGTAAACTGCTGGTTTATCCTGCAGGGAGAAAAACAGGAAGCTTATGAAATGCGCATGAATGCCCGAGCGCGACGGAATCAGCGGGTGAGTAAAGTTGTGGGAAAGCGTAGTGTGGAGGCATGTTGATCGGTTCGTCTGACAAATGTGAGCCTCGATTGGAAGTAGTGCTAGTCTCATTTCACAGAACATTTGCAGTACGGAAAATTGAGAAAATCCCGTTGTTTTTTCTGGCGTTTTTCTTTGATGAGATAGTAGTAAAATTGCCGCCGAAAATTTCGATGTACAGCTGTAATCAGACCTGAAATTCGTGGGAAAAAAATGCTACTCTGTGTGTGTTTAAATTCTACGTGTGAAAACTTAGGATCAATAGCTAATAAATAAGATTTATGAGTAATTAATTACTAAATACATACAATAAATGACATAAATATTAATTTTTTCCGTATTTGTGTGGTGTCGTGTAGAAGAAAGAGCTGCAGAGTGAAGATGTGGTGGAGGACGCCGAGAACCGTCCCCCGGAGGCGGCCCCGGCTCCCCCGCCCGCCTCCCACCCCGAAACGGAGGCGGAGGACCCTGTGGAACCCGAGCCCAACATCCGTTTCAATCCGGACGTGTTCACACCATCCGTGACGCAGGTGGACGCCAGCGGGACGGAGGTGGCGCAGCAGAAGGAGCAGATTGTCAGTCTGGGCCGCTTCCTGCTGGCCCAGCAGATCCCGGCGTTCGTGGCGGAGTTGACGCAGTTGCGCTACGATCCCATGCTGTCCGAGGGGATCTTGGTGCGGCTGCGGAATAATTACGGGATTAATATACGGTATTTGGGACTGCTGGCGGACAAGTTGAAGGCGCGCGCGGATTTGTCGTACCCACTGACGGTGATTATTGGTACGTGGTTGGCAGGGATTTTTATTAATTTATTTATTCTATGGAAATGTTTATTACTATAAATCCATTTGCAGCCGCCGATTTTTTTAGTGTTGCCTTGATTATCGATGGTGTAGTGGTTAGTTACAATGGACTTACTTAATATTATCATATCGTTGTTAGTTGTGCGTAGTACGATGGCTCCATTGCATACACATGTGTTCCATTGATTGTGTTCCATTGATTGTGCTAACGACAACGGGCAAAATTGCAGTTAGAGTTGTTTGTCTACTGATTTACAAATCCACACAAAAAAATTGCTTTTTAATGCGAGTGTAGTTTGTTAATTAAAATGTTACTTTGTCAGGATTTTATTTCGGTAGACTCTGTAGTCGGCGTTTTTTTACTGCTTTTACACATCAAACCCGTTGTCCGCCGTTTTCCTTATTGCCCATTTCTCACCGATTTCTCAATGTACAATATAGAGTAGGTTAGCGTTATGAACTTAGCGTAGTGTAATGGCTTCCAGGGGGGATTTTCTTAAGTCTCTATATGCTAGCTAGAATATATATATTATTGGCTGTACGTGATAATAAATTTGCAGATCTATACAAAAGTTTTTGTTGGTATCGCGGTAATTCGAAATTTTTTATGACGGTTTTATTTATGTAATATTGTATAAAAATGGATAAAATTTTTATATGAATAGATGGTGTTGGATCAGGTTTTTCATGAGTTCGTTTTCGTCAAACAGGGGAATTAATTGGCCGATCAGCCAAACATTTGTTCCGCCAGTACAGCCAGTCCGTGGGACAGCAGAATTTGGCCGGGGCCGTCAGCCATTTCCTCAATTGCATGTTCGGATCCTGCCCGAGTCCGCAGGCCCCCACGCCGCAAAGTTTGGTAAGAAGACAAACTGACGATTCTGTAAACAAAAATCCTGATGATAAATGTATTGCACAACATTTTTTATTGATTTGATTTTTTGACATTATGGGAACTTCTGCAATAATTCGGCGATGCGATAAATAAAAATAACAGTCGATAAATATAATTCATGCTATTTTTCCATTGGTTTTATTTCATGGAATAATTGGAAGTGCTGCAATAATTCGGAATTATTGACGGATAAAATGATTTGATTTTGTGGCGGGTATTTTTGCAGGCCAACGTCCAGGTGCGGAAGCGGCGTGCCAAGAAGGGCGCCCAGGCCGAAGTGCACCGGCAGCAGTCCATCGACTATCGCAGTTTCACGCCCAAGACCCTGTGGTCGCGACTGAAGGCGGATATGGCCGATTATTACGGTTTTACGCTGGACGGTGATTCCTGCGACACGGTGCTGGCGGCGTACAATCTGCGGCGGGTGTTTTTACTGCGTCTGGTCTGCAAGAAGGTGGGCATCCAGATCGCGCAGAAGGACTACAATTTCACCAATAAACGGGCGCCGCCCTTCACCGAGGACGATATCGTCAATTTGTTCCCGCTGGTCAAATGCGTCAGTCCGTTGGTAAGCTCAGATAAAAAAGAAATAAAAGGGCTAAAAAGTCTCAGGTACAAAAGTGCGCAGGTAAGATGCGCGAAAAAGTTTTGAAATAATTAAATATAAAACATTGGAGCGGTGCTTGTCGCGCGAGTTGTAGTGCAATGGTTCAGTGGTAAGGGAAGCGATTTTGCGAATGCAATATACTGAACTGTAAATAGAAAAATCGAAGAATCTGCTAATTGACTGGTCGTTGAGTTTTAATTAGAATTTTTCTCAAGCGTTTTAATAGCTAGCAACTTAGTCGGCTAATATGTGTGTAGTGTAGTGTAGTGGCAGCGGAAAGAAATCGTAAGAAACTGGATACTGGCTTGCTCATAGCATATAAATGGAAAGAATTGTGATGGCATGATATTTGGGTAGTAGTTCAATTAATTTTTTAAAGAACAATTTCTATTTTACACGACTAGGTTCAGTACGTAATAATGCGTCGCGTTCTTGTGTTTTGTTTTCTTCTTTGTACACGCTTTTGATAAAATTAATGGTATGGTGAATTTGGTAATTTGGGGCAGAATTTGATTGTTTATTCTTTGTAATTAGTTCAACATGTAATTTACTTTACAAGTTTTAGGCACTATTTAAAATATTTTTAGCTTCGCTTCGGTCTTTCAGTGCTAGCAAACGGCGGTGCACTTCCCTAGTTATTTAACTTTCATTGATGATTACGTTGGTCTGTTAACTGCATGGGGATTTTACGTTAATGTTTTCCGGATACTCTTTGCAGTTGAAAATCATTCACGAAGCACGGACACTGTCGGCGGCGGCCTTCAAGACGGGGAATATCCGCGGTGCTCTGGATGTGCTGTCCGAGTGCCTATCCAGTCAGAGTGTCATCCAGGGCGGCATTTCCATGGAACTGGCGCTGCTGTATTACGAAACGGCTCAGCTGCACTATCTGTCGGAGGAAGTCGGCTTCGTAAGTGTTGCGCTGATAAGCAGTTTAATGTTTTTTTAAGAAACTGCTCCATGTCGGTAAAATTACGAAGATATGACCTTGTGTGGTTTCTGCAGGCTGTATTGGAAATGGAAAAGGCGTTGGTGTGTGCGGAACGAGCACGTGGGATCGACGACGAGACCACGTTCCAGTATACGCTGGTTTTGGTAAGAAAATCAACCAAGGTTTTCCGAATGGAACTGTTTAATTTATTTATTAACTATTTTTAAAAAAGCCGCTTAATTCGAATTATCTAGAATTACTAATGTTATTCGCGCATTGGTTATGGATTTCTTGACATGAACGAAAATGGGAACCGCTGATTTTGCATTAAACAGAAACTTGTGATTGTAAAATTTTATTAGTTCTTGAATTTTTGAAACTACAGTAATTTTCTCAGATATTTTGCGAAACTCGTTTTGTCTGTTTTTGATGCGTTTTTGTTTTTTATTTTTTTGAAAATATAATTTCAGAATGTAAAAGCTGAATGATTTTGTAAGATTATCGTAAAATGTGTCTGATAGTGCAAATTATGACAAATCGATTCGTTTGCAGGCGGTGATGCTGTATCATCATGAGAACCCGTTACTAGGCCTACGTCTGGCCTATCGCGCCCGCTACCTCCTCAATCTGCTGAACCCGTCCACGGAAGCGCACGGCTTTCTCTTCCGCATCGATCTGTCCATCGGCGTGATGCTGCACGGGCTGCGCTACCACCAGCACTCGGTGGCCTTCCTCACCAGCGCCGTCCACGTGGCCGAGAAGCTGTACGGGCCCGAGCACCTGGAGACGGCGTTGGCGCACTACATCCTGGCCCGCGACAAGGCCTGCCGCGGGGAATTCCGCGAGGCTCTGCAGCACCAGAAAGTGGTGGTGGGCGTGTACAAGAAGATCCTCGGCGAGACGGCCGTCAAGACGCTGGAGGCCTGCCAGATCTATGGCCAGCTGACGGAGCAGGGCGTCAATTATGCGCGACAGTTGAACGAGATCCAGCGCAAGGGCGCCAAGGCCATTACCTTCATGCAGAACAGCTTTGTAAGTTGCAGCTACTGTGCTTTTTCATTAGGAAATTAAATTTGAACAGCATTAGAAGAATATAATAACTTGATGTACAGGACAACCGCTTTGTAGCAGTTTGGGACACTTGTTGAACGTTGAACAACGGAAACGCAACTGAACTGTACAGAACAAAATTCAGCAAGTTGTTTTTCTGGGAAAGCTGTAGATGTTTCTGGTTTTAGTATATAATATATAATAATAATTGTGATCACCGTTAATTATTAATTTTAATATGATATACAAAGCATGCAGCGGACGGAATTCAGCTTACTTGATGTCTGCTGTTAACTGAGTTTTGTAGTGCAGTGGCAGGTTGTCACCTCAGCTCGCAAATCGTTAGCTGCTTGTTCTAAAATCGCCAAAAAATCGAAAGATCGTCTAAATTGGTAGCAGTTTTGATTGAGGTTTTTTGGAAACGGTATCTAATTTTATTGGCTATAGTAATATAGATGTACCTAGAAAAAAAGTATCCTGTCTGCGTGATTATACTACAGATCGATCGATGACACTTTGCATTTTCAAAATTATGTTTTTAAATCTAGTAGCCTAATTGGAAATAGTTCCTAGTTGTTGATAATTAAAGTAAGTAAATAAGCGAATTTTCATGAAAGTGATCACCAGCATGATACCAAAACCGAAATTTGTATTTTAATATTAGAAAATCCTCATAACAGAAATTTACTGACATAAATAATGCATTAAATTTGCTGTCTTAATAAAATAATATAACTTTGAACTTCTGTCATAATTTGTTTTCCACTTAGTAATTTTGCGGTGTTTTGGATAGATTTTGCCGCTGACCCACATGTCCATCTGCGAGATCCTGTCCATCAAGAACGACATGCGCTACCGCGTGGCCAATCTCACGCCGGGCCTGTACCTGTGCAGTTGCGCGCCCACCCCGGAAGCCGATGTGCTCAACCAGGTGGCCGCCCTCCTCGTCAACTCTTCCAACAACGCCAACAACACTCCGGCCATCACGGAGGAGAAAAGCGCGACGGCCGCCCTGGTCAAAACGCCGCAGGAAAACGGACACGAGTACGCGCCCTTATCCACCGAGGAATTGGACTAAATTGTGCGTGAGGGAGGGGATTTTAATAGATGTTTGCTGTGGTGGATTGGTTGGGCGGGGTTATGGCGTTCTTCTGACACAAATGTTGTTGGTTTGTTTTACTTTGTTATCGTGTTGGTGCGGCGGAAGAAGGGAGGAGGAGTGGATTTGGTGAGAGGATGGGCCGGATGAGAGCGGACAGTGAGGATGGTGGTTTCTTCGGTGTGTGGTGGATTATTTCGGCGGTGTGTGCGTGTGCGTGTTCCCTGTTTTTTTCTTCTTGTTAGCGTTTTTTTTCGATGGGAATGTGAGCGCTTTAATAGTAATGCACTTTGGATGTGTGATGGACGGCACCCCCCAGTTGTTTCTTTTTTTTCTATTTGATAGTATTTTGCTCTGGGTTAATAACTTAACTGATCAGTTAATATTGGTCGCGCGGATTGATAATATTATTGGGATAAAATTAATGTGGTTCGTATTTTGTACGGGTTCAGCCGTACTTCCACGTTTGCTGCGTTGCTGACACTTTAATGGTTTGAATTCGCGTAACTAGATTTCCGGGCACAGGCAGCGATAGCGATTACTACGATTAGAAATGATTAAGTCACTGACGTGCGCAAAAAGCAAATCCAGCAAAGTTTTTCGGCGTGTTACACTACAGATCTGCAGCCTGTACAAGCTTGTACCAAAATGTATGGCGGTAAATACAGATTCAGTTTATTTTTATGCCTTTGAGCAGACCAACTGCGCTCAGTTACAATAGAGCAGGATGCCTGTTATATAGATATCGAAAAACAACGGTCCTTTCCCGAAATTTATGTTTGAAAAATAACGGCCCCTTCTAAAATTTATTGTTTGGAAAATAAAGGCACCTCCCCGAAATAAGCGCACCTGCTCCATGGTATTCGAACTATTTGCCGCCCAGTGCGGCAAATTCGATAATTACGGTTCACGTCTTGAACATACACATATAGTGTAAGAATACATCCGTTAGATTATCGCTACGCAAACAAGGTACGGTATTCTGCTTTTACTTAACTGGTTTCCCGTCTGCACGAGGGCCGCGTGATTTATCAGTAATTCAGGCCTATACTGTTTACTCCGCATTATTGCCGCATTTCACTGCGATAAAGAGAAATGATGGTTTTTGCTAAAATTAGCGGGATACCAGAAAATACAAATACTGTAACGATCCCCACTTTCTGTTGACACTGTCAGATTTGTAACCGAAAATTCCATGGCCCGTGTAAAGGTTTGTTCAGTGCAGCGATATCAGGCCGCTAGTCACGCTTCGCACACATTGCTGTGACATCAGCGATCAGTGGAAATACCGGCGTCCGCTTATACCACCGCAACTGCGCGCTTGCGCTAGTTCAGAATACAAGGGTTAATTTTGGTACTTACAAGGTTTAAGCAGTACACCGCAATTGTGTGTTAAACTGTAATTCATCATAATATTAAACTTATGTAAAGAAAAATAAAAAAAAAGAAAAAAAGTAGAAAATTATGTAAAAAAAAATGGAAAACTTATACAAAAAAATATTAATGAGCATCCGGTATAGAACATACAGATATGTATCCAGTGATTTAACAAGCGGCCTGATAAATACACGACCAAACACTGAAGTCCCGTTAACCGGGTTGTCTGCTCTTGATAATAATGTTATGTACGAGTACATATATCGAAAAATGATTGAACGAAAGAGTGCGGCCGGCGCTTATAGCCTTCTCTGTGCGGTAGGTTACCATCTGCTTTGAATATGAAAATGTGTTCATTTTGATTTTATGAGATATCGTACCACGCTACATCATTAAGTACATAAGGAATGGGAAATTTTAAAAAAACAAATTTAAGAGAAGGCAACCGTATGGTACGGAACGGTACAGAACGATGAATTTTGTCGGCACACGCTATGCCGGTTTTACGTACAGAGTAGACATGCGCAACAGCTCTGTATTTTCGACTATTGCTTGCGGTATAATTCCGGAGGCATCCTCGCCAGCAGAATTTCTATAGCAGTAAAACAGACGGGTAGCGCCAATTACCAATCGTCTAGGTGGTAAACGAGCAGTATTTAATCGTACTCTCAGAAACAGCCATCGTTACTATTCGAAACGATTTCATCGTTTCCGAAAAATTGACCACAAGGCCTCCGCTCTAAAGTTCTAAACAGCCACCAGAACTGCCATTAACGACAGTTTTCGGAGCTGCCGAATGCGAAATCCACAGCTGTTCGTAAAAATGATATTCCGATGGGTTCGTACCAATGACACCGTGCAATATCTGCAAGTAATGCATCTTACAATCTGACAAAGAGCAGCTGTATGTTAAGCCGGACGAAGTGTATTCAGTAATTTACAAACAATCATGCATTTTTTTTGGGTATTTTAACACACACACACACACACACACACACAATTCTTTTTCAGAATAAAGAAAACAAAAACAACTTATTGCTCCATTTATTGCCGGTAAAACAATGTCAGCATAACTTAATACAACTGAAATCGTTGTGGTTAAAAAAACATTTCTGTAGGAGAAATAAATTTACCGAACGATGGGTGGTATAAAACTTTGAATCAAATGCGATAAAAATATTATGTCATTTCCGAGCAGTTGTTATAGTCGACAACCATTATGGTTTTTCTAGCGCTCCCTTGAAATAATTATCCACCAACCTCAAAGACTGGGACCATTCTTTGCTTTCAAACGGTGTCTTCGACTAAACGAGACGATCCACCACACCGCGATGCACAACAACGCATCAATACCTTTAGTTTGTAAATCAGCTGCTCCAGTTTGTAGTGGTTCGCCTTGCACACCAGAAAGAAAAATGCCGTAATTCTTACTAGAACCAAGTGAGCAATCAGAATATATAGGTTTAATTCGGTGGCGCTGTAATCCTGAATGTCAAGGATGATCAACGCTTTGGACACTAACCCATCCGGGCAGCGATCCGACCCGTAAATGACGTACATTTCCAATTCATATGTTTGTTTAGAAAAGGACAAATACTGCGCCCAGGAAATTGCTGGTGGTAAGTTATCAAGGGGGGCAAAGAATCCACAGAGAAGCAAGTTGAACAGGTATACGCCCACTGACATGACATTGGCCAAATTGGCTTTCGAATGAGCCAAAGTGCCAATCAACAAACCAATTCCCTGGGCAGTAAGGGACGCCAGGCAGAGAACACCAACGTATTTTCCGGCGCGAGATGTGTCGTTGATCTGATTGCTGAGGTGGTAGGCAATTAAACCATAGCCCACGCTTACTGCAAGGCATAATGGAAGCTCCACAATAGTTCTTGCCCAGAAGTAAGATGCCGTTCCATACCAACCTAAAAAATACCATATTAATCCAGATTCTTCTCGGTATCAGTTTTTTCTGCTGTCAGGCAGGAGATACCGGATATAATATCCATGGATCCGTGGTAAAGCTACGTATATCATTAAGTGTACTCCTTTTTCTTAAACGTTTTATAGTTTTTAAAGGTCGCATACTGAATGAATGACTAAAAATAATTAGTAATAATCGTTCTCGTGTTCTCGTATCCATTTAGATGGCAAATGGCAACCTGCACAAAGTTTTCGTACTGACAGTTAAACATCTGAAAGGTTCTGAGGTTACCGTTTCTGTGCTCGTTGACGAAAAGCAGGACTTCGTTGGTAAAAAGCACTGCAGTTGGCACGGTGATCAAGAACTGTAAAGCAAGAAACGCGAAAAAGTGAAGCCTCATGTTATGGTCCAAATACAGAGCACTGCGCGATTGGTACCGTCTCGTTACATGTCCGAACTGCAAAAGCTTCAGTGCAGACAGGATCAGTGCCGACATCCTCGCTAAACATTTGTGTCAGCAGTCAGCGACACTCCAAGCAACAATGTCAGGAGAATCTGCACCGTGATGGCTGCCTTACGAGCTTTAAAAGCATGGCATACGAAGCGGCAGATAAGAATTTCCAGCCTGGTAAAGGTTGGAGGACTGTTAATGCACGCTTTCCATGTTCTACTTCCGTTTGACAAACGCCAGCCTTCCTGCCGCCGTCGATTTTCCAAAGCTGCCTTACTGGTGTTTGCTTGGGTTGCCAGACGTTGGACAGTCCCGTTGTTTGATTTGGAACTGATATGTATCAGTTGATCAAGCGGATTATCACCTTGATTGACAGACAGTCCAATAGTTCGACTCAAATACGATGCTAACATCCGCGGGGAACCATTGTACACACAATGCCCGCCCTTCGCCAGCACATAAAGATTGTCAAACATGTCTACTACTTCACTCGAGGGCTGATGGATACTAGCTAATACAGCGATGTTGTAGCTCACAGTAATCTTTTTCAGGTATTGTGTTAATTCTTTGGCCGCGCAGCTGTCCAAACCGCTAGTTGGCTCATCAAGACACAGCAGTCCAGGTATTTTGGTCAGCTCCATAGCAATGGCGATTCTTTTTTGCTCGCCACCGCTGCATTTTTCCACCTGGGTGTCCTGCTGTTGTTCAAGACTCAGCTCCTTCAGTATCTTATTGATTACGTCGTTGTCGAGACTATGCCGCTTATTTTTCAGCTTCCAGGCATAGATAAGTGATTCACGACACGTAAAGCCGCTAAGTAGATGCTCCTTTACATCCTGTACGATCAGGCTGGTCTGGATAACATTATGCGGGTCTTCGTAAAAAATCTGTTGAGCCGTCCACCTCGCTCATTTGCCGCCAGTTAATGCATTTTAGTAGTGTTGACTTGCCGGCGCCGGATGGACCCATCAGAGCGGTCAGTGTTCCCAAGTCAATTGCTCCATGAATTCCACTAAGAATGATTTTGCGCTTAAATTTCGGGCAGTTTCTCCAGTTTAGTCTTCTTTCACCGTAGAAAGTCAATCCAACAAAGGCAATGGCCAGTTGACACTGTTGTTCCGCCATTTTGTCTGCTACAAAATAAAATAACGTTTGGAAATCAATTACGCTACACTAAAACCTGTATTCATACAACTGTAATCCTAGTCATGAGATTGCTTAGAACCTGCCATTGCAATACCATACTGAAATAAAAACGTTGTTTGATTAATCCTTTCCATATCAGAAGCAAATGGTGACCCCGGTGTTGTCGTATGCAATATACTACTAGTACTTAAAAGCGCGTAAGTCAACCGATGCAGAGTTTTGCGCCAGTGTGAGTGCGCTACAGAGCAAACATTATATTAACTCAAATAAGAACAGTCTTTCTAAGACGACAACGGGATGTTTGACAGAAATTTCAACAAGCCAGCGACTGTATGACAGCCTTTATCCTCATTTGGGTGTACCTTCCTGCACCGAACTGGAACTGAATCAGTGTACAAAAAAAGCTGTACGACCAATTAAAAAAAGACGACCAAAAAGCTTAATAATTGTGGGCAGAATGAAGAAAATCTATTTAAGGGCGCTTTCGAGGAAAGTGCGCTGTTTGACGATTTATCCGAAGGCTTCGGTATATTACACAAATGTAACTTGGCCGTTGCAGCACACTTACAATGTCAAACCAGATTGGCACACCGGCGATGCAGAGAAGGAAAACTCCAAAATTTAATACACTGTTGGGTCCGTTCTACCACCGCACACTTTTCTCGAAGTCGAAAGAAGGCTTCTAAGTACTGTTCAGTTTGCTAAATGATACTTTTCAAGATACGATTGTTTGCCATGAAATCGAGTTAATAATTACGATTCTGATTGATTCAGCAGTCGAGTTAAAATGTAGCTAACTACATAATATATTCGGGTTGTTTATCGCTTTACGGTTTTATATGTTCCTTCTAAACACGCTAATCAGGCTTTTCGCATTCTTTACCATTGCTGCGTCAGCTGCAAACCCTGGGTGCAAGCTTTTGAGATATAGCTGGAATTGTTAAAAATCACAGAAAAATGAGGACGCTGCTCCGCTTTTTGTTGACACTGGCAGATTGGTAACCGGAAACGCGATTTTGTGAACAGCGCATAAGGTTTGTTCACCGATAAGGCTACCGCCAGTCGCCCTTCGTACGTACCGGCGGCTGCCATAAACATTGCTGGCGCCGCCGAAAAATCACATTGCCTAGAGTTAGTAACCAACTACTCAACTAATTGCAAGGCTTTTTCTCACTTGCACCGTGAACTGTACTAAACAGTTACACGCAAGTTGCAACACGACCGAAATCTGCATGACACTTTAAATCCACCATGTACAGTTTCTGTGTGTGCGTATACAAATATGCTCGTATTGTACAGTCCATAAATTCACTAATCCGAGCTTGATCTGGGCAACGGCCGCATTTTCGCGCCCGCTGCAGTTTAACTTCTTTGTTGAACGCAGTGCACCACTTTAACTCAACTTCTTTACTCTAGCGTAAAATTTAAATTTAACGTAAGTAAGTGTAATTATCCAAGCGTTTCAACTGCGTCCTCTTGGAGCTAAGCGGCAAATCCAGTAACGACAATGCCGCCAGCACCAGCGCCTTTGTACAACGAGCTGCATTCCCGTCAGTAGTGAAGACCAGCGCGGCCGACTCAAATCTGACAATATTGCCGCGAGGAAGGTAGTTTAAGCTACTCGAAATACAGATACATCTGGAGCTGGAAGGGCACGAATCTCTCCCAAAAGTACAGTTTACTGTCAAAAAATGGAAAATACAAAAACGAAGGAAAAAGGATGCAATGCACTGATAGTTTCATACACTAGGAAATGCATGAGTTACAGATTACTCTAGCAGCTTACCGAGGCGGCTGCTCAGTTCATCAAGCTAAGCACGTCTAGCTCGTCTATCAATTTGTATTTACCCCCCATTTATTTTCCGCGACGTGCCATTCGTTGCCGCTGTGAAATCCGCTTTCGGCAGACAATCAACCAGGACGAGTTTCAGTTCCTAATTTTTTAAAATGCGTCGTTATCAAAGTACAGCTGCTGCTCCTGCCATAACCGACTCGTACACGTTTTTTTTGTGGCATCATCGCACCGTCTGATCATTGCTGCAGCACTTCGATAAATGAAAATTTAATCGATAATTTTTTTAACATTGCAGCAATTTGGACACGGTACGGAAGGATATACTTTGCCGGCGCATCGTGATGCCGGTTTTTACGTAAATAAGTTCCACTATACTGGAGTGCAACTGTTACTGTATATGTCGTAGAAGTATACATCGTTCATGCCAAAGGAGCATCACCGCAAGCACAATCCGTTTTATAGCAATCCAGCGCATTCTTATTAGAGTTTTATTTCGCGTTTTATTTCGCGATACAATCATATCTCCATCTAGAAGTTTACTCTGAAGTTAAAGTTTACCCTAGTGGCCAGTGGGGACAATGTAAGATGGAAACTTGTATTAGTGGATTGTACTTGAGTTTGGTTCCCGACAAGACCCGGCCCGCTCTCTTAAATGTTTCTTCTATATTTGCTTTTCTGCTGGAATGAAAAGGAGAAATTTCTTGCTTTTTTCGGGTCCGGTTAGGCAACGGGTTACTACTACTGTATAGTAATGCGAATGGGTTTTTGTAGGCCACTGCCAAGTTTTATCGCCTGCCAGGAGCCACCACTGCCAATTGCGGGTGTCACTGCCACTTTTACACCCTGACCATTTCTGTACTTCGCGTGATCGATCGCCGGCATGTAATGACGTTCCGAAAACCGTTTAAACGTCGGTGCGCTGATTATACAGTAAAACCGGTACTTTGGAGATATTAGTGAGTCGGCGATGTCCGCCTGGGGAAGCAACCGGGCGCCGTAAAACGCATTTAATCAAGGGAGCAGACAGAAATTCGTTAGACACACGCTCTGTCTAACTCTGTACTTTTGATTAAAAGCGGTGCCCGTTTTACGGTTTACGGCGGACTTCGCCGACTCACTATTTTGTTCCGAAAAACTAGCGCAGTCCGCAGTTGAGAATCTTTAATGTGCCGTCGCCTTGCTGAGCTTCACTAATGGATTCACTGGCGTAACGGTGCACATTCCTGGTGCTTTTTATCGCCTACTGAAAACAGAACAGAACTAGATTTGCAACCGGAAACGCCATCTTTTGGTTGAGGCGAAAGATTTGTTTAGCGATAATCGTGCCACCAGTCACGCATTGCACAAAGTGCTGTGACATGAGCGATCAGCGAAAACTGACGGCATTCGGTGATATCCCGGAAATGAATTCGTTCGCTCTTTTCGGCCGTATTTGAGTAACTTACATATTTGAGTACCTTACAGTATAAGCCGTATGAGCCGTATTTGAGTACCTTGCAAGTTTGCTTAGTACGCTGCCGGCTGCACCGCTTAGAAACATGTAATATTGAGCGCTATTGTATAAATTAAAAAATAAGCTGATTACATCGCAGGACATATTATATTCTTCGGTTTTTCTCAACAACCAGTCACTTTTACTACGCATTGTGAAGAGCCGGCTTAATATTTTCACAACTGGTTGAGTTGCCCAATTTCCGCATAAAATGGGCGAACATAAAATATACGACGAATCATAGAATGACTGTCACAAATTAAAATAATGGGTGCGACATTCGACCACATCGATTTACACTTACAGCCAGTCAAGCATGTTTGCTAATTATAGTGACAATCCACGCACGTTAAATAAAAAAATTCATAAGATATTTATTACGTAATTTAAGGACTGCATGGCCGATTACAGAAAAGCTGCAAAAATTGGAGAAAAGTAAGCCATATCTTCGCATCTTGTTGAATCCGTTATTCTGATGCAACGGGTAAAATATTCATCGATGAACGATGTACTTAAGAGCTGATATCTGCAGCTCTACCGTATAATTATATTTAGCATAAATGTATTACAAACGCACTGACAGCATTCTCATCATGAAACAAAACGCCAGTTCGAGCAGCAGGAATACCGCCACGACATACCAGCGTTTCTGGAAAAACAACCCTCGCCCCTCTGATGTAGACCATGTAGTAGATACTAGCGCGACCGACTCGAATCCGTCTATCTGTATATCGAATGTTTCATCCATGATGTACTTACAACAGTTTCTATCCCGACATTTGTTTTAAACGCCGCACGTTGTTCCTCCAAGACCGCTTCCGTCATAATGTCAGCAAAGATCAAACCTTTGGAAACTTAATACGTGTCACCCTGTAAACTCCGATGGTGTCCAGCTGCCGGGCGTGGGATTAATCTTCTCAGTACGTGAACTAAAAGGCCTCGCTTCCCTCCAAGTGGTCTCCTTAAAGGTGTACGTGTCGATTACTTTTCCCACTGTATCTGTAAAAGAGTAAGTACGTGTACGTTTATGGCCGATTACAGAAACGTACACACCGGCTGCTTATGGCCGATTTCCCTTTTGGTGGTATGTCATGTGCCATACAATCGAAGGAGCTCCTGCAAGAACAATATTAGCGCTCACCATTGAAGAATCTCGAGATTTTCAACGGCCAAGAATCTGTGACTAAAAAACTGCGATAAGGATAACCGTTGTGACTGGCCTGTTTTTCGATGACGCATGATTCTTGCCGTCTGTGCACACACCCACAATCTCGACAATATCGCGAATCAAAATATCTACTCTTGAGTAGATATTTCAGCCAAATCTCGATAATCCACATACAATTCAACACAAGCGCAACATCAGCTACCACAATTATCGGCACGTCTCACGATAAGCTGCTACATGAAAATGCGTGAATCATGAATTACGTGCAACTATTGGAAATTTTTTTCATGTGTCACAGATTATTGTTTTGGTTATAATCTCGCAAATCTACAGCCCTGTTTGATGGTGAGCGCTACTAATGCCAAATGCCGAAAGATTTCGAAGATATAATAAAGAACTTCTTCTATAGTAAGCACCAAAAGTTAAATTATTTCTGTACCGGATCGAACAAACTCCACGTGTTCGTTCAGATCTGCACACTAATGAAATTAGTAAGGAACGTCATATTAGAATTACGAGTACACACGAACACGTCCGTTAGGTAGAGCATATAGAACATCGCAAACATTACTACCCCGGCAATGCCCCCCCGTTTTCGGTTATATTCCAACAGGTAAAGAAACATGAAGACCAGGCCGGTGATGTTGTCCACAAGCTGGCAGACGCGCCAGTACGTGATGTATTTGCTGAACTTTTCACTACAGGCCGCTCCGGTGCGCTGCCATGTGCGCGCATCCTCCGGGTGGTTGAAAAATTTAAAAAAGACGTTTGTATAAGGGCGGCAGTGGCTGGGGTACTGCGTGGGGTTTTCCTTCGCCTCCAGAAACTGAGCCATGAAGTAGTGCCGAGCTCGGAACGGACGTGTCCTGGACGATTTCTTGATAGGACAGAGGGTGGTCGGGAAGGGCACGATAAGATGATTTCGGTACCGGCATAGAGACGTTAATTTACGACGTTCCCATCGTAATCACAGCAGCGATCGTTGGTGCTAATCGGCCAATTCAATCTGGACATTAAACTGTCACACGATACAAGGAATCCACTGTATATAATTTTTCTGCACTGCTCTATAGAAACGACATCGGTTGTGAACTTGTGCTAAATTCCTGGGAATCAATAGAAATACTGACAAAGTTAAAGGAGTCGTAGAGCATTTAGAAGACGTGCTGGACCAACTCGTGACGAGCAGCACACAACCATAATCAGTATTTCAAGAAAGTTTGGCTTTTCGTACGGCCAATAAACGAGTCTTGGTTTTGAAAACAGTCTGCAGTAAGAACTTGCGCACAAGTTAGCAAGCAAAGCTCGGACTCTTGGAATGACAGATGAAATAAAATTTTCTTTTGAAGAAATGCTATGTACGAAACGCACAGCATCAGAATACGCATTGTTATACAGTTTTCGTGAATGCAGTGTTAGAGTACAGGCGTCACTTCTCACATTCTCGTTCTACTGTACTGAGTAGGATGGATTCTTTCTGCGGCAGGATCTCCCTCTGACCGCTGCTGATGCGCTTGGAAAATGGAATATTTGATCGCTAATCTTTCTATTTGCCTGCTATTAGTAACGACGCGCAGTGGCGCGTCGTGATGCCGGCTTTTATGTAAGTACCTAATTTATGTGACAGCTCAACATGAACGACTATTATATATAATGATACGGTATAATTCATTTGCCGAAGCATCTTCGCCACCAGAACTCATGTGCAGTAGCAGTCAGTGCATGTGCCTTGACGGACGGTTTTACGGCTTATTGTTTATTGACGCAATGTTTTCTTGAATTTCTGCATGTCAGCCATCAGCGACGCATAGTAATGCATTTAAATTGTATTTCACTGTGTCTTCCTCTAAAAGTTTGCTTAACAACTTAAGAATAAGACTGATTGGTTTAGCACAAATACGAAACCAAGCTGAACAGCTGAGTGCATTAAGCATGATGATTCAGTAATCTAATTAGAATATTTGTAATCGCGTTTTAAAAAGAAGGGTACTGGTAGTAACAGGACTATTAAACGTTCAATATTTACTCGTAAATTCAAAACAGCCATCATTCCTGGTAGGTACAGTTTTCGTCGTCTTCAAAATGGTGTCCACTAGGTTTCCGCTCTGAGCAGGCACCAAAACTGCCATTAACGACAGTTTTCGGGGCTGCGCAATGCGGAATCCCTGGAGAAGCAGGTACTTGTAAATACTGCACTCAAAGTTCGCTCCTGTAACACTGGGCAGTATCTGTAATTTAATGCACTTTACAATTTGGTATCTGTACATTTTGCGGTTAACGCGCGGATGAAGCATTCCGGGTGATGTGCTACTGAGCGTGCACTGACGGGTACTGCCGCAACTAGTAGCGACAAACGGCATCAGCGGTGGCTTTGCGACATCACTTTGAAGTTTGATGTATTGTCAGTTAAGTAATAATTTTGTTTTGATTGTTTTCGTAAAACTGTGAACTATCGACGATCTGGTGCTGTACAACCAATATGACAATAAAGGCTGACACACTGTAGTAATTACAACCGACAGAGAGCAATCCTAAATGGAACCATGTCGCAACAATGCGGAAAAGAAAAATTCTGTTGAGCGGTATTACCGTACTTCTTGTGTAAAAAAAAACATGAAACTGCTATCGAAGCACAACGCTAGGAGAATGCTTTGTGTAGGGTTCACGTCCAACAACAAAAGACGCACAAAATCCTTGCCCCATAATAACCTTAGTCGCGTACTTCGTAAATTAGGAGCTGTTTGATGAAAGTACCACCGGACATGGCTCTGCCGATTCTAGCAAAACGTATCTCTCTGAAGGTTTTTCGGGATAGAACTTTGCCCAGTGATGTAACAACGCGGGTCAGCCCCAACGGAGAGCACCCCAACTTACCCGGCGGCCCTGCCCAATGCATCTACCAGTTCCGCAATATCAGATTGGTCCACAGGGGCACTATCGAGTGTTGGTTTCGTCCACACAGAGAAAACGAACTGCTGAAGCTTTGACTAATGCGTCGCAGTACGGAAATCCAACGTTTTGTATATTGTGACCGCCAGTCCGAAATGGCTTGAAATTCTGGAAAAACTAAAACCAGGACAACATGCTACTGACCGACCGGATGTCGATGGCCGTTCAGGTTTTCAATGCACCAAAAGCAAGGAAAATGTATATGGGAAAAAAAGTGTACTGCACTGAAGTTACCGAATTTCAAAAAGGAGGACTTTCTCATGCCCAAATTGCTTTGCAAGTTGCAAGCGAGCCAGTCAGTAACAACTAACAATACTGATTGCACTAATTTCCACCGAATTACCAAACTCAGAAAACGAAGAAGTGGTAACGACTTGCATATTTCACCATCCTACACCACACTGTTGCCAAACAGAATACCAAAAATGTATAAAATGGAGTCAACATCGTTTAAAAACTGTTTTCTGTTACCGCTGCGCTTTCCTCCACTGCCGACAGAACTATCCGAAACCGATCACACCGTTCACATATAAAGATCACCACTGGCGCATTCATGTGCGCCAAAGAAGACAGTATTTGTTGTGTATCGCATTGCCGACCTACTTTTGTTGTTCCGATGTACGTTTGGCCAAAAGTTTTTTGCAGAACTTTTCAATATAATCATGCGCAGCCTAATTCATGGCATCGGCAACACCGACAGAGTTGTGTATTTCGGTGTGACTGTCTGTGCGAGCTTTTTTCATGGTTGGACATCACACCTAAATTAAGCGTCATGATTGAACGACCTGACTTGTCGGACAGCAAGAATTTTTCCAAAATCTGGAAGCAAGAAATAATAGCTAATAATATAATAATAATAACAGCAACGTTATGCTGCCAAATTCACATCACAAAAATTGTATATTCACTCTGGGATAACAAAGGTTTACAGGACGATCAATCTGTTAAGCCTGTCCTAAGGCTCTGTGATCCTTGTGGTATAGAGCCGCAACGCTGACAGACAGGCTTAAAGAACAGCTTGGAACTGCTGCGGCATAGGTCCAAGAGATTACCGTTTATCACATGTATTTTAAGGACATCGCACGACAACAACACCTATTCTTTACAGTGAAATTTTGGCAATAGCTTGCGCTGCAGAAAAAACCTTGAATGGAAGAACCCTACTTACGAACGTACAGTAGATACCGGAAAAAAGAGCTTAAATGCCTGCGTTGGCCGTACGCGCTAGCATTTCCGAAGAGAGTCTCCGAACTCGTCTGGATAAGTTCAAAACCAGAAAATTGGCTCTCAAAGGCATGATCGTGGATTGGTGTCAGATAGCCTTGGAGAGAAAAAAAACCCCATCCATTTAATACAGTACCCTGTACACGAGAAAATGCTTTCAGGGTCGCATGCTATACAGCAGCCACAAAGCGCGCAAATACTAAATTGCAAAATTTTCGGCAGAAAGAGCATACGTGCTCCAGCTAGTCAAGGGTGGGATGTCGCTTCGTTCTTAACAGGACTGATATTGCAATGGTATTTCAAAATGCAGTAACAAAAGCTCTTCCACAACAAATGACGTTTCCAGGTTACGATTTGTTCAGTCGTGTATGAAAACTGTTCAGTAGTTCTTGTTTCCTGTTAGTCACGCCGCCAATCTATCCGATCAATCAGCTTCTCCGAGAGATGCCGATGGTGAAACCTGGTGAGACGACTCTCCAACAAGCCGCTTGTCGCGAGCCGTTTAGGCCTTTGCGCAGCGCTATTTGGAGTGGACGCAATGCAGGCGCTTGGGCGGTCGTGCTCCTAGCGCCGGAACAATCAAAAACAGAGCGGCGTTGTATAAGCGCATATGTCAAAGACAGAATGAATCGG